CGTTTGTGGCAGGGCTGGAGTTCCTGAGCGAGGTTTTTGTCAGCGGGGTGGATATCAAGTCTGCGAGTGCAGCAGTCGAGGCTGTTGATGGGAGTGTGGAATCGGACCGGGGACACTGATTTATTTTTCTTTTTCTTTTTTCGCATCTACTGCGTAATAGACTTCTGGGCCAATACGTGCTGTAATATATCTAATCTAGCGTGTGTTTATAGAACTTGGATGGAATGATGGATCAATTATTGGTGTTTGTCTGGTACTAGTAGCATCCTGATACATAATTCCCCCAGATCGACAATTATAAGCGAAAGATTAATATAATGACAGTGTAGATATGTGCATATCTGGATGCTGGACCTCGGCATCACAAGGGATTAAGATTCTGGGGTTGCGGAGATTGCAGAAGGATACGAGCAAGTACAGGATAGTTAGATACATAATAGTAGTAAAATGGATATACAGAGCCATAGCAAGCAGCTGGTATACAATACAATGAACCTGGTCTGGAGTGGCAGTAGAGTAAGGCACTTAAATGCAGTCGCAAACTCTTCCCGAAAAGGAAGTCACAACGCTTTTCCAGGGCCAAATGCTGGTCTGAGCGTGGAAGTAAACCTGACATATGCGTACGAAGCACAAGCCAGTAGTGAAAACAGTATTTCCACACACCTTCCCAGGGATCCTCGCGCTCCGTCTCCCTCCTGGCTGCATTAACCCCAGAACAGCCAGCACCCTTGTCCATCACTTCGCAGGAAGAAATTATTTGGTGTTTCTTCCTTATTGCTGTTTGTTCTCTGCAGTGGCTACTACTACTACTGTTCACTTTTGAACTTTCCCTGTTTCATTAACGATCTCGAAAATCGAGTTGCCAAAAAAAGGGCCAACGAACCCGGCCTGACTAACGACACGCTCGAAACTGTCGACGCTTCCATTCTTTGATCTTTCTTTCTTTACCTTCCAACGACAATCCAACTGAAACGCATCTATATTATTTTACCTATTCTAATTATTGCCCTTCAGCCTTTACTATTAGACTGGATGGAGAAATAAATATACCCAAACTGCTTTACACCAGGCAATGAACACCGCCGCGGACTCCTACCACGATTCTGCTGCTCCTGCTGCTTCCTCCAAAGCCTCCCCGGCCCCGAGTACTGCGGGCTCGACGGGCACTTCGGGGATTACCGTGCGCACCGGTCCAAACGGCCAGATGAGTTTTAGAAGGTGGGTTATACCTATGAGTGGTGAGGATTGGGTGGTGGTTGCGGTGCTGTCGCGGGGTTGAGGGGATGCAAGTGAATGAAAGTTGGAATGGATGGGCTATAATCCGGGGTAAAAGGAAACGAATGACACATGCTAATTTATCTATCTGATAGACAACGGGCGTCGCGCGCTTGCGAGGTACGTTTTCTATTTGCTCTCGCTGCTGTCTGGTCGTTTTTTTGCTTCCTTTGAGAGTCGACGCGACTGTATGAGCCGAGGTGCCGAGGCTGTCTTGGGCGGTGGCCGTGGCTTGCAGGCACGTTGGTGCATACATACTGGCGCATATCTATCAATCTATCATTATCTTCTTTTTTTTTTTTTTTTTCTTGTTTCATTATTATGGCTAACATGAAATTTGCATTATAGACCTGCCACGCTCGAAAAGTGAGTCGTCCCGTCGCTGTCCCGTCTGACCCCCGACCGCTGACCGCGCCCGTGTCCAGGTTCGTTGCGATGCTGCCAGTCTAGGTGTGCCATGCACCAACTGTGTAGCCTTTTCGATCGAGTGCAAAATTCCAACACCGAAACGCAAAAAGAATGCAAAGTCGAAAGAGCCGAATGGGTATGAAACTGGGTATATATTGTCCGCCGTGCTCCCCGACCAGACTGACTGACCCGAATAGGAATGACGAGCGCAACGACATAAAGCCCCGGCAAACCGTCTTCCCTTCGCAGGAGAAAGATGCTGCTTTTGGATACCGAAAGGACCGCATGGCCGTCGACGGCATGCCGGTTACAACCCTTACAGACTCGCAGGCCGAGCAACAGGATTCCCAGAACTCCGCCTATGCCCAACTTATGAAACCCAAGTTCGCGCGCGCACCGATAAAAGAAGCCGGTCGAGTCGCATATCTTGGAGAATCATCAAACTTGTCTCTTCTAGTACAGGATCGCCATGGCACCACTGATGTCGTCCATTATCCTCTCCCGCCGAATGTCAGGGGATCCCGCTCTACCTTGACGGAACTGGACAGTCTTGAACTCGACATCCTCCACCAACGAGGTGCATTCCTTCTACCACCGAAACCGCTCTGTGATGAATTGGTGGATGCATACTTTAGATGGGTCGGTCCTGTCGTCCCCATCATCAACCGCAACCGGTTCATGCGTCAATATCGCGATCCTAAGAACCCGCCATCATTGCTGCTGCTGCAAGCCATACTCCTTGCGGGCTCCAGGGTGTGCACGAACTCTCAGCTCATGGATGCCAATGGTTCGACCACTCCAGCGGCCATGACTTTCTATAAACGGGCAAAAGCGCTGTATGATGCAAACTACGAGGATGATCGTGTCACCATCGTGCAGGCATTGGTCCTCCTGGGCTGGTACTGGGAAGGCCCTGAAGATGTTACCAAGAATGTCTTTTACTGGACGAGGGTTGCCATGGTCGTCGCACAAGGATCTGGCATGCATAGAAGCGTCGATTCGTCCCAGCTCAGCAAGCCTGACAAGCGACTGTGGAAGCGGATCTGGTGGACCCTTTTCACGCGGGATCGCTCTGTAGCCGTGGCACTTGGACGCCCGATTGGCATCAACACGGACGATTCGGACGTCGGGATGTTGACTGAAGATGACTTCATTGAAGACGAGATTGATATGCCTGCCGAATATGGCCCCGATCCGGTGCACGTGCAGTTCTTCCTCCAATACGTCAAACTTTGTGAGATCATGGGACTTGTCCTTTCACAACAATACTCAGTAGCATCCAAGTCCAGGCGCATGAATGCCATGGATCTCACCCATTCGGATATGGCCTTGGCCGATTGGCTTCAGAATTGTCCTAAGGAAGTGTGCTGGCAACGGTCCCGCCATCACTTTTGGGCCGCTCTTCTGCATGCCAATTATTATACCACTCTCTGTCTTCTGCATCGTGCGCATATGCCGCCGGCCTCGTCTGTTCCGAGTAGCTACAGAGTTGAGGAGATGGCGTATCCATCACGGACGATTGCGTTCCAGGCCGCTGGAATGATCACGTCTATTGTCGAGAATCTCCAGACACATGATGAAATTAAATATACTCCTGCATTCATGTTTGTCCTACTGCCTTTCATTTTGTTTGTTGTTCATTACTAACTTCCAACAGCGTGTATAGTCTGTTCTCGGCATTGATCATGCACGTGTATCAAATGCGGTCCTCCGTCCCCTCTATCGTGGCAACCTGCCAAGAGAGAATCAACATATGTATGCAAGCTCTCAAGGATGTATCCAAGGTGTGGCTAGTGGCCAAGATGGTGCACACCCTTTTCGAGTCCATTCTGGGCAACAAGGTTCTCGAAGAGCGCCTACAGAAAGCTGCCGGAAAGCGACACCAACGTGTACGGCCTGAAGGACAACACCAACATCCCGCTCCGCCTCTGAGACGGCCCGACTTACCTCCCAAGCGCAAGTTCGACGACATGGATCTGGGTCTGCCGAATGGAGGCCCGACTCCCCCAGTCTCGTACGAGCGATCTCGTCCGCAAACTCCTGCGGCTACGCCGTCCAGGGATGACTTGCCACCGCCTTCGGCATCACATCTTGCTCAAGGTTCGCCCGGTGTACCTCGAGAATCCTTGACTGGTACGGGTCTGTCCCGTGGGAATACACGGCCAACAACGCCTTTCAATGGACAATTCTCTCTTCCAGCAACTCCTCCCGATCTGTTCCTTGTCACAAGAACCTCGCCTAATCTATCACCGTCCCTCTGGGAAAACTTCCAACCAGAGCAACTATTCCCCGACGGCACAGCATTTTTCCCCGAATTAGCCTCCCCTCACGACGGTGCAGTCGATCCCCAACTGCAAATGCAAAACCATCTCCAAACCCAAAACATGCAACAACGCATGATGATGAATAACCAACACATGCCCCGTACAGTCTCCGGCGCCGGAACCCAAGGTAGCCCAGAAATACTCTCCGCCATGCCCGCCGGAATAAGCGTGCAACCGCAACAATCACAGCAGATGTTTGGCGTAGAAAACCAACAGACCTGGCCGATGCAGGGCCTCGATCCAGCGCTCAGCACGGCCGGGTTGGAAAACGCCAGCCAGGACGATAATTGGAGTAGTAGTTCTCGGAGTGGACCTACTGCACCGACGACGTTGAATGTTGAGGATTGGTATGTCCCCTTTCCCTCTTCCCTCCGACCTTCACTTCTATAAATGGTGTATGCTAACTCTATATCTTTGTAGGTTCCAATTCTTCGGCATCAACGGCAGTTTCGGGGAAATGGCTGGTTAATTTACAGGTCGGTTTAATATATTGGGCTTCTCTGTATATAGTTTCGTATCTTTGCGTCGTGTGCTTATTCGGAACTACCCTGGCTGGCGCTCGGTTGTGTAATCTAGTTACGGTGGAATGTCTTTTATTTGTGATTTCAATACATATGTACTGAATTACAGAGTCCAATTTATCTCCAGTAATATGTAATATGCTAGTGTTTCAACTAAAAGCTCAATGGGTTCGCTTGCACTACTGTTCGTATAGGTGTCTTAGCCAAACATGGCAGACAAGTCAAATATGATAAACAGCGCAAACAAGCAAGCGTAACGAACTTATATACACTTTATGCGGTCTAATGCATCACAGGCCATCGAAAACAGTGCAAACAGCGCAAAACACGCAATATCCAAACAACCCAAACAATCCAAACCACCCTCTACCCTAATTTGGACATGTATAAGAACCCCCAGCTCCTGCACACTGATATCCCACGATATACACCACCGAACAGCCCTTTCTAGGCGTAAGCAAACAAAAAAAAAATGTCATTTAATCGCATCGCCATCTACGGCCACCGTGGCTGGGCCAGCTCCGCCATCGTCGCTGCTCTTATTGACTCAGGTGCCCCTATCAAAATACTCTACCGACCTGGCTCGGATGTGTCGAACATACCAGATACAGTGGAAACCATTGAGGTTGATCTAGCAGATCAAGAAAGAGTGGTTGATGTGCTGAGGGATGTTGATATCGTCATGTATATTACGCTCCTCTCTTCCTTTCCTTTACCTCCTCAATCGAGTACAGTGAACTAACTTCTTGATACAGTTCGCTAGTCGGCCACGAAGGCGTCACCCTCCAGCACCAACTCGCAACCGCAATTCCCAAAACAAATGTCCAGTTATTCGTCCCCTCAGACTTAGCAGCTCGGTACGACGAGCAAGGTCTCCGGGTCCCCGTGAATAGGGCTAAAAGCGAGGTGGAAGCTGCTGCGCGCGACGCTGGGATTCCGGTAACGGTTGTTTTGGTGGGTAATTTTGCGGAATTTGCGTTGGCTACACCGTAGGTTTTATCGAGACTTTTCTGTTTTTTCTTCTATAGGAGAATTTAAGCTGACGATGATAGGGCGATGGGAATTGATATACGGAACAACCGTATGATTTTCACGGGGGATAGTGCAAATCAACCTGTTAATCTCTGGTTCGTTTACTCACACTTACTTTTGACATTGGTTACCCAGTCCACTGACGACTTCAGCACCCGCCCCTACGTCGCCTCTGCCTACGCCTCCATCTTCGCGACAACCCCAATCACCACCCTCCAAAATCGCACCTTAGCCCTATCCGAACTAACCCCCACAGGTGCCCAAATCGCTGCCTCCCTATCCCAGAAACATTCCTCGCGAACGAAAACCACAACCGAGACACTCGCTTCCATAAACCAGAAGATTGAAACCGGGTTGGAGGCTGGTATGCCTATTGTTTTGGCGTATTATTGTCGGAAGATTTGGGGGACGGGCGAGCAGGGGGGTATGGCTTGGGGGGGTGGTGATGTTTGGGATGTGAAAGGGTATGAGAAGGCTGATGTTGAGGGATTGGTTGGTGGAGGGTTGTTGGGGGCGTACAGGGATATGCCGCCGACTGTGGGGAAGTTTTTCGGGAAGGAGTTTGAGGGGTGTCGGTAGGATGGCGAGTTGGTGGTTTGGGCCATACGGTTCCACGTTGCATAAGTGTTGACTATATAGGAAGCGGCTGACTCTGTCTTGTGATGGTTGGTCCTGTTAAGATTGAGAAGAGCCGATGTTCTGATGCCGCCTATTTCGCACATCATGACAATCGCATACTTCATTGAACGCATTTCCTGCCCCACAATCGTTAAACCACATCTTGTTGGAAGTGGGAGCCATCGAATCTATTGGATTTGACGGAGGCTCTTATCCTCCGCCGGTCAACCATGACCGTAGTCTCATCTCTCTAGCCACATGGACTTCCGAATCATCCCAGGCCCACCACTCCAATGTTGCTCCCCTAAACCAATACAAGAAAGCATTGCCAATAGCCTCATCATCTGGAAGACCATAATGGCCCATGAATATGATAAGATCCAGGGACTGCCTTGCTTTTGGTTCACGAAGCCTTGATCCTCGCCGATGTTGATGATGAGGTTCTCGTCCATTCCTATGTTGTTTCCTCTGCATCTAGACCTCGCCTTTGGCACATTCTTCCCACAAGTCCCTTGCATCGAGGTGGTAGAGTTAGTTTCTGGGTTTTGATAGCAGGGAGTCTGTGCGGAAGGTGATGGGTAGGGGTTCTTTTTGGGCCTGTGTGTGTTCGTCTTGCTGCTTCTGGGGAATGCCATTAGGTAACAGTGAATATCACAGTTCTATTTTGGCTTAGATGCTTCTTGTTCAGGCCTTTTAGATTCACGTAGAGAATCGTTGCCCCTGGGCTATATTGGCTAATATAGCCAGAACTATCCAACATGAAAGTAGATAATCAACCAATCACTTAGGCATTTTCAGCCGCAGGAGATTCCATCGATCGTAGCCATGACACCTAAATAGATAGTGTTTGCGAATCCTCACCAACCGCAATATATGATACCCTTGGACCCAGCGATCATAACCTCCTGGTGAAAGCTCGTGGATACTATGGTCATGTGTGCTCATTTCTGGGAAGTTGGAGGTTTCGAAACGTTACGATTTTTCGGTTTTGGCTCGCTTCAGGTGGGCTTTAGTAGTGTTGTGGGGAAGGATGAAGCCACCGGGCCCGAGGCCATCTTTTGAGCTGCTCCAGTAGAATATGCAGGGTTTGTTGAGGGTGTCGTTAAAGGGTCCGTGCAAGGTGAGTATGATTCCGGATTTGGCGTTTTTGTTTGGGGGTATATGAGAAATTTGGGAGTTCGAAGGATAGGGTGATATTTGGTGCGTTTAGTCTAGGTGATAATAATTGTTCGCTGCTGCTACTGCTGCTGGTCTTGGATAGACGGCACGGCTATCCGTTTCAGAGTATTTCAGAAATGGGATGGTGCGAGAATCATTCATTTTGGCAATACGTTATATTGTGCGCTCTCATCTGTTAGAAGATGAAGACGAAGGTGGGGGGATTTTTTATAATAATTGCTTGATTGACTGGTTTTTTCCTTCGACATAGTGCTGTTCACCTCGGCGTTTCAGACAGTCTTCGCATATCCCATGGTCTACTGTGCCCACATTGAACAGATTCACCAGGGAATAATGCTTGTTTTAATGTGCTGCTGGAGAGAGAGGGACCGAAGGTTTCTAATTACCTACCATGGAGCATTCAGTCGGGCTCCAACAATATATATGCATCATCAGTGTCATTCGTTATGTGAAGGGATACAGTTTCAACCTGAATACATCTAGCTCACTAGAATTTGTGTGCCATGAATGGTCTGACTTAGGAGGGAAAAGCCGAGGAGTTTGATTGTATGTTGTGTCATGTAAGCCCTAAAATATACACTAGAACATGAAGCCATTCACAATGCCCGATTTGGATCTTACTAAGGCGAGGCCGATGACGACATCGGAGTTGACCAATCAGCATTGAGGGATCACGGGATTTAAAGCAGATCGGAGTCCGGGGAATTTTACCAGTGGTTTGCCTCTCAATTCTCAACGCATTTGTTTTGATTCATCTTCCCTTTGCATCCAGGTTGCCTCTTTCGTCTCAATTGCTACCGGGGTGTTTATATCTGTCCTTTCTGTATTGACGGCGCCCTCGTCGTCCCCTGAGTCTCCTCTTAAATCTCCGCCCCGCCCCGCAGCGATGTCGGCGCCCTCGTCTTCGGACGTGCTGAAGAAGGCCGTCCCTCACGTTGACATTGACGGTCACAATCTTCCTCCATCGCCGGCTCCGTCGAGCCCGCACACGGGAAGGAAATATGCGATTGCCACCGAGCTGGTGTACACCGAGAGCAATGACCAGTACAATGCTAGCAGTGTCCCGATTTACCAGGTGAGTCATGGCGGTAGCAGAACTTGATTTTGCGCAAGGAGTACTGAGGCTAATTGGCAATCTCTGTAGAGCGCTACCTTTAAGCAAGCGTCTGGCGACGGTGGTGGTGAATATGACTACACTCGCTCCGGAAATCCCACTCGAACTCATCTCGAGCGCCATCTCGCCAAGGTCATGTCGGCCCAGCGCGCCCTGGTCGTGACATCGGGTATGGCAGCGCTGGACGTGATTACCCGGTTGCTTCGTCCTGGCGACGAAGTTGTCACTGGAGACGACCTGTACGGCGGTACAAACAGGCTCTTGAAGTATCTGTCGACCAACGGCGGTATTACTGTGCACCACGTCGACACAACTGTGCCGGAGAAGGTGTCTGAAGTGCTGTCTCCTAAGACGACCATGGTCCTGCTCGAAACCCCCACCAACCCGCTGATCAAAGTCGTCGACATCCCACAGATCGCGGCTGCCGCGCACCAGGCCAACCCCAACTGTCTAGTGGCAGTCGATAACACCATGATGTCTCCGCTGCTGCTGAGCCCGCTCGATCTTGGCGCTGATATTGTTTACGAGAGTGGTACCAAGTACCTATCGGGCCATCACGATCTCATGGCCGGCGTTATCGCGGTCAACGACTTGGCTTTGGGAGAACGGTTGTACTTCCCGATAAACGCATCAGGATGCGGTCTGTCGCCGTTCGACTCGTGGCTGTTGATGCGTGGAGTGAAGACACTCAAGGTCCGCATGGACCAGCAGCAGAGCAATGCCCAGCGCATTGCCGAGTTCCTCGAGGCCCACGGCTTCAAGGTTCGGTACCCCGGTCTGCGGTCGCACCCGCAATATGACCTTCACCACTCCATGGCGCGGGGGTCTGGAGCAGTGCTGTCGTTCGAGACGGGCGATGTGGAAATTAGCGAGCGCATTGTCGAGAGCGCGCGCATCTGGGCTATCAGTGTTAGCTTCGGGTGTGTCAACAGTTTGATTAGTATGCCGTGTCGGATGAGCCATGCCAGTATCGACGCCAAGACGCGCCAGGAGCGCGCCCTGCCGGAGGACCTTATCCGGCTGTGTGTCGGCATTGAAGATGTGGATGATCTCATTGATGATTTGCGCCGTGCGGTAGGTTTCCTTTGTGAATATATTCTACTCCGACTAACATGTTGCATAGCTCGTCCAATCCGGCGCGGTCAACATCACTCCGGACGACTTTCAGGCCGTGAACGCGGCCTCTGCGTAGATACATTAAGGGTTACATGTGCAATGTGTATGCTTTATGCTGTTTGGGATTATATCATGGCGTTGGGGTAAATAGAAAACTGCATATCTATCATTTGAAGTGTATGCATATAGTAAATAAATGTATGCATCATCGGATCTCCGGACGGCATCGGGCACAGATCTGAGCCGAGACTCGCCGAGCGTATTTTCTTTTTCCCCGGACGAATTGCATGGCGATTGCGAATCGCAAAGGATAATTGCACTTATCAGAGCAATGTCTTTGTAATTCTTTTTTACATTTCGTTTTCTTCCGTCGCATTTCTCCCACCTTCCATACCTTTTTATCTTTATATTCTTTGAGGATACCTTGAGAACCTGCGCATAAGATCCGCGCTAGCTCCGTCCTCCGCTATCGCTGAGCTCCGGGAATGACTCGAAATGCAATTCCTCAGGAAACACCATCCCTCACCATGACTGCCCTTTCTGAACGCTCGAAGCCGTCAAGAAAATGGAATACAGACCGGCTAGGCGCTCGGCTAGGCGTGGATGTTGTCAGTGCTGCTACGGCCGGGTTACTGACATGCCCGGTTATCACTGTAATTGATCGGTACATTACCCCAATTAACCATTCCTGCAACAGATAGACAGAAATGAGAAGCTAACACATTCATAATGCAGAGCAATCATTGAAAAAGCCGCCAAAGGCCTCCCAATCCGAAATACCATCACCTCATGCTTCAAATCGATGGCGCGCCATCCAGCCGGGTTCTTTCTCAGCACACCTTTCTTCCTCATATACACCCTCTACACGGGAACATATCTGACAGCGAACACAATTGACACGATAACATCCACATTGCGCGATAAACCCTTTGCCACTGTTTTCCCGGGAACAGCCAAGTTCTTGGCCACCACGAGCGTGAACATGGGGATATGCGTGTACAAGGATGCGGTGTTTGCGAAGTTATTTGGCGCTTCCCCTTCTCCCTCTTCGTCTTCATCATCCTCGACCACGTCTACATCGACAGCAAAAGAATCCTTCTTCTCCCAATCCCCCTCTACCTGCCACCCCCACAGCCAAACCAAAACCGTCCCCAAAATCTCCTACTCTCTCTTCTGCCTCCGCGACAGCATCACAATCTTCGCCTCTTTCAACATCCCCTCCCTCGTCGCTCCATACATCCCCGACACCCTGGCCACATCTCCATCCACAAAAACTGCTCTCGCGCAATTCTCATGTCCCGCATTGATGCAGTTCGTGAGTACGCCTATGCATCTTCTGGGACTGGATCTATACAATCGGCAGCCAGCTGGAGGGTTGAGTTTTTGGGGTGATCGGTGGCCGCGGATCAGGAGGGATTATATCAGTAGTTCGTTTGCGAGGATGGGGAAGATTGTGCCTGCTTATGGAGTTGGGGGTGTTGTTAATGTTAGGATGAGGGAGGGGTTGATGGGGTTGTTGGGTGGGTAGCCCTTTCTGGAGAGGGGAAGGAGGGAGGGCAGGGTTTGACCTCGTTCATTATAGAGTACATTTTGCTTCGTTGTTGTGTTATTTAGATGGCTTTTGTTTGTTGGATGATCTTTTGTATATTTGGTTTATGTTGATTGATGGCACTCTCCGCTCACACTAATGATGCTTGCTTACATTGGACATATTAGACCGAGCTGGCTCAGAAGGCGTCTGTCGGTTTTTGTCGTTATGAGTACTGGCGTTGCTTGGATATATTGGCTACTATCTTTTGTATCTACCTACTGGGGACATGGTATAGAGGACGATTAAATAGGGAGTAATAGAGAGTAATAAATGTATCTTTCACGGCACTGTGTTCCTCGCGGCTTTGGACTGCGCCGACGAGCTTTTTGTAGGTCGAGCTTGCCGTTATGATAAACCACTTCGTTGACTTATCTAGTGACGCCTTCACGATCCGATTATGGCGGTGGATTTCTCGAAGTAGTAGACGACACTCTGGGCATCCACGAAATTTCGCGTCGCTGTTCACTACTCGTCTTGCCAACCTAGAGCTGATAATGGTGTCCGTTGCAGGGTCGACGTTGTAGTATTCCTTAATTTCCATAATTCCGTCGAGGCTGAAAACCGTACAAAAGTGTCCATAGGAAAGGAACACACATGGGTCTTCGTCGACGTTGTTTCCTCGTATTTATCGAGCGTGATTAGATCGACACTCCGTTCAAGCACAGCTGCATCGCCGCATGTTTGGCAGAACTTCCGATCAGGGCATTTCTCGCTGCAGATAGTCGGAAATCAGTGCCCGCAGGTTACTATCTTCTCATAGCTCTTGCCGCAGGGGATTATGTCGCACGGAACTGCGCATAACATATTGCAAGTGTGTTTTTGGCGATGAGTGAAGCCCCATCCGCAGCTCTCGGGGCAGAGACACACTGATCGCTGCATCTCTTAGTGTATGTTCGCCTTTTGATTTCCAACATTCCTAGCATGGCCTCTGACAGGTATATCCACAGTCTAGTAGCTGCTGACATGGATGGAAGCCACTTCTTTGAAATGTCTTCGTGACACTTGACTCGAATGTCATGACTACACCCGGGCAACATCTTCACCACAACTTGCACGCATTTAACCGAGGCGATTTTATCTCTTTTTCGACATTCAATCTCCGTTGAAGACCGCAAGGAGAATGACATTCGAGACCTCCTCGATACTCTCGCCACAGTTTTCATAACATCTCTGTGGACGCGAGTGTCCGCACTTCTCCATTTTGGTACACAGCTTCATGCACTTGACCGGATCATGCTTGTGTTGGAATGGCACAGGTGTGGCTACAGGGCAACCTCTATCTGGGGATGTCGTGGGCATTCGAGCTCTAGCTTGAGCCAGATGTTGCCGCCATCTTCTAACGTTCTGGTCACTGACGACCACAGTGGAAAAAATGACGCTGTGTCAGCATTTCCAATGATATGCATGCCATGTTTTGCAGGATACGGCAGAACGCTTATTCTAATTTTACAGTGGGCCACTTTCTCCACTTGTCATCAGGCTGCATTAGTGGCCGTTTAGGTTCCGTGGATCCTGAATCAGTTTTATTTCTCAATTGGCGTTGTCCACAGTCACTGAAGACCTCTGAGAATCTAGTACACATTTAATATATTCACTTATCTTTCCATTCGATCTACTACACGCTCCTTTAGCCACCAATCGACAGTCTCAGACACGCAACTGAGGTGAACAGCCTGTATTCATGGGAAGCGAATCACGATTTTATGCTCCAGATGGTCACTATAACGCCGGTAGTACTCCGGGACCTGCTCAATGTCGATGACCGAACTCACGACAAAGCTCGGGCTGGCGCGATCCGCAGCAACAAGATCAACCAGCGGTTGCGCATGTTCCAGTGGCAGGACAATCCCGCTGCCCAATGACAAGGCCTTCTCCCAGAGGGATGATATGGATATCAGAACTTCGGCGGGGATGGTGTCAGCATAGGGGGCGCCACGGGTGCTGTTCTGTCCACCGGTGTAGACGCCTCCGATGGCGATACCCCCTTGCTGGGCGGTGACGGCCAACAGGTTGCGGGGAATCAGGCCATCCTCGCGGTGACCGGTGGCATTCACTGCCTCAAACCCAACACAGTCAACCGCTCTCGTGACGCCGTTTGGCTCCTGGGCCAGAATCTGCTGGATGGGGTCGGAAGAGTTGAAGCTGATAGGCACAGCTCCGATTGAGGCAGCCAAAGCCAAGCGGTCTGGGACTTGATCAACCGAGTAGACGCGCTGCGCACCGCGAAGCAGCGCGGAGTATGCAGCCATGATGCCAACCGGTCCGGCTCCGAAAATGGCCACGGAGTCACCCGGCTGGAAGCCACTATAGGTTAGCGCATGCCAACCCGTGGTGAAAACATCCGAGATCATCAGGTAGTCTAGCTCCTTGGTCGCATTGTCGGTGTTGTTGCGGAAAGGAATCGGGATTAGGCTCTCATCAGCGAATGGAACCCGGGCGTATTCAGCTTAGAAAAGAAGTCAGTGCCTGGTGGTTAGGCGAGGTGAAGGGACTGACGCATACCTTGTAGCCCTCCATAGTTGGGTTGGCCGGAACCAAAAGAGATCGGGTGTTGCTGTCCATAATGGCCGCTGTGGGCATTGTCCGGGATGATCACATAGTCGCCCACCTGAAGGGATGAGATGGAGCTGCCAACCTCCGAGACGTATCCAACCGCTTCATGGCCCAGACCCCAAGGGACATTGGCAGCGCCGGTGTAGCCGTGGTAGAAATGCAGATCAGAGCCACAGATTGCTGAGGTAGTGATTCGAACAATCGCATCTGTCTGGTTCACGATGCTCGGAACCGGCATGTCGATGACGGAAACATTATAAGGTTGTCCGAACCAGGCCACTGCTCTCATTGTGGCAGCGAGAGTTGCGTTGAGCGACATCTTGTAAAGTGGGAAAAACAGATAAGACACTTCTGTTGCCAATTTGCCATAGACAGTCCGGACTGTCTTATATTATCTTTTGTCTTCGCTTGGTATCAATATCATCATGGAGTTAAGGCTATCTCCGTCATCTTGATAACTTTAAGATGACCGTAAGCAATGTTTGTCTATAAGTCATGGCATGAGACTCTATGGTCATTATTCAATTTTGTTGGTTGTGAAAGGCAAGTAGTGACCCACCATTAGCGCGTAAGTGGTTTCTTTTGGTTAGAAGACCCTAATCAAGCAACCAAGAATGTAACTGCCTATCAGTATACTCTATATTGACTTCTAGGCCGGCGTCGGTAAAATATGGCAAAGTCCGTACGCGAAACAGAAACGTGTGTGTATTATTGATATTGAAACATTGTCGAGTCATTTTTACCAAGGCTTATCGGTCAACAACCAAAGGCATCAAAATCTGCCTTATTATACAGCTCATACAATCTAATATTCTAACATGGATCCTACCATATAGTTCTTGTTGCGAGATAAGCCTCAAACTAAGTTCCATGGATAAAGCCGGAATTAGCGTAGGCTAGATGCCTCTTAACTGCTGACAGGATCGCCACTCCTTGATTATGTCCAGCAAGATTGATTACAAGCTTCGCATGGGTCTATAGAACAGAAACAACCCACATTCGTCATAAGACAATGAGCACCACAGGGTATAAATAGCACAATCCTAGCTCAAAAGATCAAATCTCGTATCCTTTCCACAGATTCCATATCTCCCGCTTTCTACTGAAATCATGAGCCCTCAGGTCTGGTTAATCACTGGTGCTTCCTCAGGCTTCGGTGCACTTCTGGCTGAAGGTGCCCTGAAAGCTGGCCACCACGTCATCGCCACTGCACGCAATCCAACCAAAGCAGCCCAGGATTATCCCCAGATAGTATCACTGGGTGGTAAATGGCTTCAATTGGATGTCACCGAGACTGATACGAAAGAAAAAGTGGAAAAAGCCGTGATGGAGAATGGAGGATACATTGATGTGGTCATCAATAACGCAGGATATGGCCTCCTAGGTAGCATTGAAGATATCAGGTGCGAGGTCGTTTTCATTTGCTATAACAACTTGGTCTTGATTGCTGATTAGGAGATATCACACAGTGGGGAGGAGTTGCACACTCAATTTAACGCAAATGTGTATGGAGTAATCCGCGTCATAAAGGGTGTGCTCCCTTTAATGAGAGGACAGCGAAGTGGTACCATTGTCAACATCAGTAGTATAGCTGGGTTTGTGGCTGGCCCTTCTACTGCCGCGTATTCCATGTCGAAATTCGCAGTTGAAGGTAAGAAACTCTCCACAGACCAACCTTGTAAATCCTAAAGCTGACCCGAAATATTACAGCTCTCGCAGAATCACTATCAGCGGAGCTTTCTGCGTTCAACATTCGGGTACTAGTCGTGGAACCAGGTGCTTTCCGCACCAGTTTCATTGGATCTCACAAACTTCCTGCTGCCGGGCTAAATAAAGATTACGAAGATACTATTCTGGCTCGGACAATACACATATGGGACACTTTGGCCGGTAAGCAGCCCGGGGATCCAGTCAAGGCAGTGAGCCGGATGCTTGAGGTGATTCAAGGGACTGGGCTGGCTGCCGGCACGCCACATTTTCTTCGATTGCCGCTTGGAACAGACTGCTTTCCTCGGATGCAGGCGAAGTTGCAGTTGGTGCAACAGAACTTGGATGCAATGAAAGAAATTTCTCTCAGTACTGCCGTTGATTCAGAGTGAGCAATGTTGAGGGTGAATGGAACACGTCATGGGAATTTAGACTAATCGAGAATCTTTCCAGATTCCAATATCCTTTTCCGAGTCTTTTATGTTAGATTGAAGATGGACCAGTATAGATATTGAGTACAGAAATAAGTGATACAATGCATTCCTAACAAAAAGATTTCTTCCAAGTCAGCTTTTTTTGCCCCCGCTTCTCCCGCCAAAAATTACTCGACCAGATAATCTCCCGACAACCCGTAACAGCCCAACCCCATTTCTGTAAAAAAAGCTCGGTGACTTCCCAGTTCATAGGGTCCCAGGGATCCCCCCACACTAGCATACAGTTATCTTCCTCTGACGGCATGGACCAGAACCCCATCAAGTCCCGACAGAGCTGGGAGTCATCGACATGTTCTTCTTGTATGATGAGATTGTCTCTTAGACGGGGGAAAGGAAAGAAGTCGAGCCAAGGATGGTGCGATTGGCTTTGCTGGAGAGGTGTTGGGCGCAGACTTGCCGGCAGAAGGGATTGTGAACAATCGCCCGTGCACGGTCCGGAGTTGCTGAACGGAGACAATGCATCATCTGTCATGCCTTCCAAAGACCATCCGAGGGAGGTGATGTTCAACTGGAACGCGCGGAACACATTCAACTTCACTAGCGTCAAGCGATGGTCGACATTAGGGGATCCGAGATAGCTTTGATACGCAGATACTTCGAAAAGGGCCAGGAGCCGGTAGATATCTGGATTAATGAGTTGGCATTTATTTGGCTGGACATAGTCTCCGGGTTCCTGTTGGACGGCGTGGACGAATCTGGTGAGGTCCGGAAGTGGAAATTTTGTCAGTGCTGAATACGCGGCACTTTGAACTTGAATCTCAGTCACACGTCCTAATTGCTCTCGCATCCTCTTCCTTTGCCCTGGAAGATAGTAAGAAAAAAAGAAAAGAAAAGGCTAACCCCCCCCCCAAAGCACAGCGGTATATTACACGAAAGGTCAAACTCACGCCACGCCTGCTGATTGATCTGATTCTGCTGTCTGCGCCGTTCCATTCTGGTCAAACCCCTACCACCCGGCCGATTGGCGGTGGATGTATCGGCTACCTTGCATGGAGTGATTGATGGTTTTGATGAAACTTGTGAGGACATGGCGTGCTGGATAACATGCAATAAGAGATTGGGGGAGGGAGGAATGGAGTGCGGTTTTATTTTAAATTACAATATGCCAGACCTGTAAGCCGATTGCAGGCCCGGAACTTGGAAACTCTCCAGCCGTTTCTCATCATTTAGGGGGTACATGTTACTAGTTTCTCCGGAGTACAGATAACAAGTCAAATGCGATCATCCATAAAACAAATGACCCACCGTTAGCGTGTAAGCATGCAACAACCATTTTATTGGCTATTATATTTATGACATCGACTATGTATAGTCGTTCTAGAGAATTATTGTTTGCGAAAATATTACCACCGTCGAATTTGTGTGTTTATAAGTACATGACTCTCATTGCCCTGTATTCCGGGGCATTGCAACGGGTTTAACCTGGGGCCGATTTTTGTCTTCTCATTCTCGTTTTGCCTTGCTTTTCTGTAACCAGAACATTATGAAGGCTATCTTCGGGGCCATGAACATTGGCGATCCCGGTAAGTTATTGGCTTTATCTTTCACTACTGAGGACGTCCGTTCATCAGATTATCTTTAGGGGACAGTAGAACCCGGGTTCACACCGTTGAAGAAGCCAAGCAGATGATCGACACATTTCTTGAGTACGGACACAAAGATATCGACACTGCCCGGATCTACGGGAATGGATCGTCGGAAGAGTTTCTGGGCAAAATGAACCTGACCGGCGTGAGCCTGGACACGAAGCTTTTCCCATCGGCTGCCAATGTGACCGTGGCGGCATCTTCAATTGAATCCTACCACCATACTCCCGAGGACTTGCGGCGCGGACTGCTGGCCAGCCTGAAGGCTTTGAGGGTTTCCAAAGTGCATGTGTTCTATCTCCATAGCCCCGACAGAACAGTTGCGTTTGAAGATACATTGCGCGAAGTCAACAGGCTATACCAGGAAGGGTATTTTGAAGAACTGGGTATCAGCAACTACCAGTCCTGGGAGGTGGCCACCATCTGTCACATCTGCGAAAAGAACGGGTGGGTGAAACCTAGTGTCTGCCAAGGAATTTACAATGCGTTTCATCGTGCGGTTGAGCCCGAATTGCTTCGCTGCCTGCGCCACCACAACATCTCTTTCTATTGCTTTAACCCACTGGCTGCCGGTATGTTGACCAGTCGCTACACCCGGGAAACTGATGAGTACGTGGCGGGAGGCCGATTTGATCCCCGAACCGGGCCCGGTAAACTCACTCGCAAACGGTATCACCACTCCCTTTATTTCGACGCATTGGATTGCCTCCGGCCCGTGGCCAAGCGGTTTGGAATCAATGAAGTGAGCTGCGCGCTACGGTGGCTCTCATATCACTCGCAATTGAAGAGTAGTCTTGGCGATGGAATTGTGGTTGGGTCTAGTAGCGCGGCACAACTCAAGGAAAACCTCGAGGCAATGAGAGAAGGACCTCTTCCCCAGGAGGTCGTGGATGCCCTTGACGAAGGCTGGCGGATCATTCAGGGCAAAGAGTTGATCTACTGGCACTGAGTGTAGTGGATTAAGGTAGCCTTGATATCATGTGCCAGACCTGGTACTGGCAAAATTCAAATTAGGTATCTAGCCTTGTAGTTGAAGCCTTTCATCACCAGTATAGCCTATAGCAAAACAATCGCATAGTTTTGCGCTACCATTTTCTTAATGCAACTTGCAGCACTCACCGATTATGATTAAGGAGTGGCATGTATTAAAACACCATTAGTTTCAATAAAGACCGCGGTACCATATTCCTCAATGATGAACACGGCCGTCTACCGCCATCCCAAGTCATGTTGGTGCCAATGATTTTCTCCTATTTGGGGTCCCAACATGTCTGGATTCTCATGGCTCATCATGATGGTACTGATCCGGTTATACATCGGAATGAGTTGTTTGTTTTGAGTTGGAAGATTGTGGGTACTTTGGGGTTGTTTTTGGAGATGGTGGTGTCCTGAGAGTGTGGGGACCGGGAATCTATCTAGTCTCTCCCTTCTCTCGGTGGCTTGATAGTCATGGATGAGTTTGGATGGGTAATTGCGGATGGTATGATCGGCAACATGGTTAGGGCTAAAAATATCAATTCGGACATGAAGGACTATTTCTTTGCAGGAACGCACTAGGACACTCTGTTGAGTATCTAGGCTATGAGATATAAACAGTGGTATTGATATGTATCATCTCAATTCAATATACAAATGCAACATCTCCGAAAAAGCCAACAAACGGAAAAAAGAGTTGGGTATGTAAAAATAACACAATGAAAGGAGAAATCACCAAGCCTCATCTCTAAAAACCACTCCTAAAAAAAATTAATCACTCTTCTTCTTCTCACCCGCGCCAATCAATTCCTTCAACATAGCCACAGGCCCAGAAGACCCCTTCTCCGCACGCTCCAGTCTCCGCTGCTCCTTCGCCCGCTCTCTCTCCTCGCGATACTCCTCCCACGACATTGCATCAGTTGCAGAAGACACAGGCACGGCATCTGGATTCTGAGAGTCCAAGAAATGCGAGAGAGAAGTCGAGTCCTTCTCGTGGCCAGAAGAGAGAGACTTGACGGCGTCCTTGCCGAAGAATGAGCCGATGGCTGTGTGGAAACCGTATTCGACGGCTTCGTCAAGGGGTTCATCGAAGATGTAAGGCATAAGCGGGACGACGGAGAGACCGATCTGCTCGCGTTAGTATGTTTCTTAATTGATTGGGTTTGGGGTGAGGGACGTACTCCGATAGGCGCCCATGTGCGCAGAAGATTACTCTTATAATTCTTCATTATGCGCCCCGAATACTTCACCACGGAGTGAATGGTCAATGCTGGCAGCGCCATACTCGCCAATCCCTGGAACACGGCTCTCTTCGCCATGACGACCCGGTAATCCTCAATCAACGGGATTCCCGTCGTCTTCCACGGCATCAAACTTCCTTCTGCATACTCTGACGGTCTCGAGTTATTTCCCGTGGTCAAGTTGCCCGTCGCCATTCCCTTGAGCACCTCCTCTTGCGTAAGATCCTTGGCATCCTTGTAGGCTTCGCCGGCCGGTGCTAATGCTCGACGGTTCCGGAGGTACGCCTTGTAACCCTCGTGTCCGACATCACCGAGGAGGTACGTCCAGGAGATGGCGTAAGCAGAGCGCACGAGGTAAGGATGCGCGACTGGACGGAAAGATTCACCAATGTCGGAGGTGTAGGCGACATAACGCTGGGCGGAGAGAAGGAGGGTGCGGATGCGATTGGCGTAGGCAGCGTAACGATAGGAGGTATCGGTTGAGTTTACGGAGCTGTTTCATTAGCATCTATCTTATTTTGTACAGATGGTGGTGGATGGTGTTGGTAATCATGACGCGCTGAGACCCGATGGTACTTGCGGGGATGGATTTGCGGGGTGGACGCGGAGATAGTCCAGCCAACGTGACCGGTCGAACAGGGCAACGCAGTAGAGCAGTTGGGGATAATATCGATGGGGAAACATACTATGGGGAATAGACATCGTCGTAAAACCCATCATCATGGTCTACCAATTTCTGAAGCTGAGGAGGGAGCTTGCGACGGGGGACAGGCCCTAACGTCGCATCGGACGAAGGGGACTCTTGTCGGGATTCCCAGACCATGTTGACTGGGATAGGAAGCAAGTATAGTATTAAGAATGAATAAAAGACGGTAAAGTGAGAGGGAGAGAATGATGACAGAAGCAAAAAAAAATCGAAATGAGGAAAAATGAGAATGAGAGGAAAGAAGGTGGAGGAAGCTCGCTAAAGGGTTACAGCCAGTATTAAAACGATGGTATGACCGGTCTCACAGCCGGTTAGTCTAATGCCTCAGTAAATATTAACTATGTACTCTTAGTCCGGTCCATAGCAGAAAATGCTCAATAACCGTACAGCCGACAGGGAAGAGGTCACTTCCCCGAGGTAAGCCGTTTTTTAGCCCTCGCCATATTCTTTCACGACACACAGTATGTGTGCACTGTACACTGTAATACTATAGTACGTGAAGCCCCAGATACCATAGAACCATAAATCAACAATTAACTTCACGACTGCATCGGGATGCCGTATCTTGTTCTCCGGCACTGTAGTCGTAAATGATGTCACGTTCGTGTTATTCCCGCATCCAATCCCGAGTGTCACGTGCGTCGGACCTTTCCGGGATATCACATGACAGTGTATGCTGACTCAACGCTGACTCATGGTAGCCCGCACTAGTCCAAATCAAGTAACGACCACAGGTGACCCGAACCTCACTCAGTCCCGTTCCGCAGGTCCTTTTCGCATCAACGCCCCCATTGACACTTCGAGACCCTCTGTCAACCCTTCAAATCAACCCCCCAGTTCAATACCGTCATAATGGTCGTCTACTACCAGATCGCCGGCAAGAAGGTCGGCTCTCACGTTGTATGTGCCGTCCTTTAGCTGTGTTCCTCCCCTCCTTCGGTCCGATTGTCGGTCGGTTGAACCACCGTCAAACACACGTCACTTTACCTGCGAAACTACATTATGAAAGTATGCAATGCTAATAAGACACACGATATAGCTCGCCATGGGTGTTCTCGGTAGCACTTTCGCTGGTGCCTACCTCTCTACCCGCGGCGGCAGCAAGGAGCAGCAGCAGAAGCAGCAGGGCCCCCCTGTTCAGGCCGGCTCCAAGGACGAGGAGGATTTCATTCAGTGCGTTTTTAATCCCGGACATACCGCAAAGATGCTAATAAAAACAGGAAATTCCTGCAATCAGCGGACGGCGGTGACCAAAAAGCCCAGCACTAAAAGTGACATTCGCGCGGTACACTGACGGAACGAACATCCACGCGAGAGTTTCCTAATCGACTGGAACTGCTTTTTCACGACGCAAAAATAATGAGATGTGGCTTTGCGATTCATCGGCCATGCCGGTGAACGCAAAGGACGGTGCAGAAGTGGCATTGACATTGGCCATTGTGGAGATGTGAATCTGTACATATAGAGGTATAAATGCATTGATTCGCCTTTACCTTGTTCAATTGGTTGCCATTAAGTTTGGTAGTGAATGGGGTTTATAAGCTACTGCATATGCCGTAGATTGATAGTTATCTGATATACACAGCACATCATAAAGTTTTATCCGCGGAGGTGACTACACCGGATTATGTCCGAGTGATATGCCGAGCATTGATTGTAACGAAGCCGTGGATCTACAACTACAACATTTCTACAACTTTACCTCCAATTTCTAACCTCATCTGTACCAATTCAATGCTCCAAAACCAAAGCCAAACCACCACGTGACCGACCCAAATTCCCCATCTTCATCTGTATATCCTCCGCTACCCCGATCTCGCCGCCACCACCAGACCAACTAGCCACTTCACACCACCAGCGCACCACCACATTACCACAGCAAAAAAAAGCCATGAAACCACACCCCTTCCCTCTCTCCCTAAACATCGGCACCGATATCGTCCACCTCCCCCGCATCGCCCGCCTCGTCTCCCGCCCGAACGGCTACCTCACCCGCTTCACCCGCCGCATCCTAAGCGACCAAGAACAGGCCGATTTCCGAAAACGATTTAACCTACCCCCCGGTGAAGATGTGCCACTGGAATCGCGGTTGTATCCTACGCATAGGCGGTTACACGTGCCGACAAATACGAACACGGGTGTGAATGGGAATGCGAACGGGAGTACGGGGATAACCGCAGGCGCAAGCGCAGGCCCAACATCCTCACTAAGCACAGAAATGGCGCGCTGGCTAGCCGGTCGATTTGCCGCGAAAGAAGCCGCTAGAAAAGCTGCGCCGGGGGGCGCGGCGAGTGTGGGGTGGAAGGATGTTATTGTTATTCGGGAGGATGAGGGGACTACTGGATCATCTGAGAGTATAAATACGGTGGCGGAGTTGGAGTCGGGGCCAGGGACAGGGAGTAAGGGTAGGACTAAGACGTCTGTTGACAGGATTCGGGAGATGCGCAGGGAGAGGGGGAGTGGGAGGCCGGGGATTGTGTATTTGGATGCAAATGGGGGGCCCGGGAGGATGGGGAAGCTGTCGATTTCGCATGATGGGGAGTATGTTGTTGCGACGGTTTTGGCGGCGGGTTAGCTTTGTGGTGAGCTGTTGCTGAGATAGTGGCTATCAGGTAGAAATGACGCCTGGACCTCGGTGCTCTGATACTGTACGATATAGTGGCGATTGGCAGGTTTATTCTTTATAGTTGGATATCTGCCATTGTAAATAGCCAAAACAATGAGTATATTAATGATACCCTTATATTTTGTTCTAGTATTGAGGCGTTGGACCATCGAGTCGCATGCAAGTACCAAGTTCCTATCGCGGACTCCGCTGACAGCGGACATTCTCGTTCCTCCTCAGTCCCTCAATTTTAAGACTATCCAATCTCCGTATCTATATCAAGCTTTGGTTCGACCTCTTTATTTTTAACCCTATTCAACATCCTTAGATACCCGACCCTATCCATTGTTCGGTTGCATCGACTCACGCGGGGTAAGCCCACCATCCCAACATCTCCAAGGAACCACCAACTGACTCACTCCAGACAAGAACTTCCAGGGAAAATCCCAAGAACGACACAATGCCATTCTCCCACCACAGCCACTCGGGCCAATTCTGCCCCGGCCACGCCAAAGACACCCTCGAAGAGGTCATCCAAACAGCCATCGCCAAGAACTTCAAGGTCTTTTGCCTGACAGAGCATATGCCCAGGACTCAAGAGGATTTATATCCTGAGGAGGTACTCCCCCCCTCTATTCCACGCTATGCTACAGCGTCGCTAAATGTGTATGTAGGTCGAAGCCGGCGACACCTACACAGGCATGCTCGCCAACGAAGCAGCCTACTACGAAGAAGCCCTGCGCCTGCGCGAAAAATACTCCTCGCAAATCAAAATCCTAATCGGGTTTGAAATCGAATGGATTCGTCCCGTCTCGTCAAGTTTAGTCCAGGACTCGCTATCGCGCTACCCATTCGAGTTCTTCATCGGCTCCGTGCACCACATGCACACGGAACCAATTGACTACGATCGTCCTATGTACGAGCGTGCGCGTGAGAAGGCGGGTGGTACTGACGAGCGGTTGTTTGAGGATTACTTCGATGCGCAGTATCAGATGCTGACAACGATGAAGCCGTTGGTGGTGGGGCATTTCGATCTGATTCGGTTGAAGAGTGATGATCCTGAGCGTAGTTTTAGGCAGTGGGACGGTGTCTGGGAGAAGATTATGCGGAATTTGGAATTTGTAGCTGGGTATGGGGGAATGTTGGAATTGAATTCCGCGGCGTTGAGGAAGGGGATGAGTGAGCCTTATCCCAAGGGGGAGATTTGCAGGGTAGGCCTCCCCTCCATTATACATCAAACGAATGCAGGAAGCTAACGATACAGAAATTCCTCTCCCTCGGCGGCCGCTTCTGCCTCTCCGACGACAGTCACGGCATTGATCAGGTCGGATTGAATTTCCACCGCGTCCTCGATTTTGTCGAAACCGTTGGCATTTCAACCTTGCATTACCTGCAGCTGTCAGAGACCGATGCGGACACTGCGTCTAGCGTAGATGGCCGATTTCCCCGGACGCACATTGCATCGATTGGAGTTGCTGACGCCAAGTCGTTGTGGACTAGCTGAGTTACCTGTACATAGATGCACCCAGATGATGTACGATGCACAGGTTTCCCGTTCTAGATATACACAGTTCCATCGGAAGATAGGAACGTTTTTTAGTGGTTCTTACCTCCCCTGTCCCTGTCTGTGCTTAATCTCTTCCGTACGTTATTGAACACTGTAAACAGTCCAGTCCATATAAACCCCGCCACAAAGAACCCAATTACATCAAACTGATTGGATGCCGCTCCCCGACCCCACCTAACATCTGTATTTAACACCCGTTCACTCCCACCTCTCTCAGCCCCTCCATTTCTTATTTTCACCAATCCACCTATATCAATAAACAAGAAACAGGAAGAAAGAAAGCAACAATGGGCGTCACTAAAAAAACTCTCCAACCCGGCAACGGCACCGACTACCCGCAAAAGGGCTCCATGTGCGCCATCGACTACACCGGTGCTCTTTATGATGCATCCAAGGATAATAACCATTTCATGGGGAAGGAGTACGTTCCTTTTCTTCCTGTCTTTGAATAGTGGTGGAGTTGGGGATGCTATTGTGAATGGTAATTGACGAGGATAAACAGATTCGACTCGTCGAGGAGTAGGGGTCCGCTTAAGGTGAACATTGGTATTGGGAGAGTCATTGAGGGTATGCACTCTCCTCTTTTTTTCTTGCATGAAATTGAATTGCGTTGTGGTGTCAAATGGTTTACTGATAAATTAATAGGCTGGGACCAGGGTGTCCTCCAGATGAGTCTCGGCGAGAAAGCTATCTTGACAATTTCCAGGTACGCCTATTACTCCCCTCCCCTCTTTTTCTTTGTTTTCTTTATGTGTCTATCATATAATGAATTCATGCTGATTATCACAGTGACTCTGCTTACGGTCCTCGGTTCGTCTCATCCCATTCCTCTACCCTAGATTCAATCATCGTCTCAAGAATGCTGATACTAATCGATTCAGTGGTTTCCCGGGTCTTATCCCCGCGCACTCGGATCTTGTTTTGTGAGTTATGTTCCTGATTGATTATATCTGATTGATTTTATTGCAGGTGCTAACGTGGTTCAGTGAGTGTCATCTTGTTTCGGTTGACGGCAAGTCTATCTAGATTAGATGTGAATCTGAATTTAGGAAATGAAATGAATTCAGTTGGGTTGTGCAGTATGCATGTAGATAACATTCGTAGCCTCAATCCAGCTCTTCTAGTACAAAGTACAGTTACATAATAACTAGGCACAATAAGCCAAAACTGTATAAACATAAAGACCATTCATGACGCGGCATTACATGCCCGTCTCTACTGTGACTGACTGACTGACTATACAACTATACAAAGATAACAAAACAAACAAAACCAATCCAGTAATAGACTATACTGCAGAAAATCGGGGATAAGGAAAGGGTGGGACATCACTCATCAAATAACCTACCACCCGACCATTAAGTGAGTATAAAAATAAGGAGGAAAGACGGGTGCAAGTAAATATAGGAAGATGTAAGAATTCTGGTGGGAGGAAAGCTCGCTGGTCACCAAAGGATAGTAAGAAGAAGAAAAAAAAGCCACACAAACATATGGGGAATAAAGTAAGAGAAGAGAAAATAAGAAGAAAAAAAGGGGGGTGAGACCCTCGGAGAAAATTGATACAGGTAGAATATCAAAATAATGTCCAACATAATACACACTTCTTCCGGAATATGACAAGGTCGAAAAATCTTTTAAGTGGTCTGTTCCCTTATGAAACCGTCTAGTTCCATCCCAGAGAGTTCTCGGCCATAACAGGCGCACTGATCATCTGAGTCCGGTTGCTCCTGAGACTGTGCGGAGAAAGACGACCACCGGCAGCAAATGGAGAACCACCTCCACGGCCCTCGCTCTGCTGTTCGACAGTCGAGTTGGTACGCTGGTGAAGTTGGCGTCTCTTGCGGTAGCGACGGGCCACCCAGAACATACCAGCACCATAAGCGGCGGCACCACCCACAACACCAACACCAATACCAACAGAGCTAGCGCGAGTGGACGAAGAGCCGCTAGCACCACCGTCGGCATTGTCGTTGTTGGAGTTGGAGTCATCATCGCCATCGTTGCTGCCATTCGATCCACCGCCATTGGACGTGCCGCTTCCACTGCTGGAAGAATCGGACCCACCAACGACCAGAGGGATGGTGGGGTCGATCATTGACATCAGAGCGTTGACAGATGCGCTGGCTTGGTGGTAGAGGCGGGATCCCGGGTTGTGCAGTTGGTCACGCAGCTCTTCGACCGCGTCCGTAGGGATGTAAGCCATGGCAACAGTGGCAACGTAACCCGTGCTGGCAGAGTTGTCATAGGGCTGGATCGCGAACATCGAAATCTCATCACCAAGAACGTCCAAAGCATATCCAAGACCTTGCGGGATGTACAGGAAGATCTGCGACGACGACAAAGTCGTGCTGGCCACAAAGCTGTAGCGCAGCTTGCCGTTAAAACCGATTTGAATAAGGGACGAGTTGGCAGGGATGCTGGTCACACCACCGGCGGGCGAAATAGATCCAGGAAGCTGAGTGGGCTGGCTAGTCGCAGTGGCAGTGTTGTGAGTCTCAGTTTCGTGTGTAGTGCTTGGAGGCTCCACCAGGATAGTTGAGGGAACCCAGTCGTTGTCCTCCGTCGTGGTAGGCTTGTGGGTGACGGCCTGAGTGGTGGTCGAGCTCGTCTGCTGCTCAGTGGTTGGTGTAGGAGACGGGCTGCTAGACGGCGTAGGAGTAGGCGATGCCTTGCTAGTAGCTACCACCGATGGCTTGTTGGAACCGAACAAGCCGCTAGAAGGAGTAGGGTGGGCAGAGCTACCGGGAGCAGCTTCGCCGGTGGGGGTAGGAGATTTCGAAGTACCGAACAGGCCGCTGGATGGTGCGTTCGGGGAGCCGCTGGTAGAAGACTCAGGGTCCAAAATGGAGCCCAGTAGCCCACCCAAAAGACCCTCCGATGAAGTCGCGGAGGCAGGTGTCGATGTAGGGACGTTGATGGAGATGGATTGCAGACCAGACGAAGAAGGTTCACCCAATAAACCACCCAAGAGACCGCCAAGAAGACCTTCGCTGGGAGTGGGAGTAGGCGAGCCGACGCTGAACGAGGAAGAACCCGATCCACTAGGGCGAATGAGGGGCTTGCTAGAAGTCGAATCACCTCCAAGGAGGCCCCCAACCAGGCCGTCGACCAGACCCTTGCTAGTAGGAGAGGGAGAGGCAAATCCACTGGATGACGGGGTCGGCTTACCGTCATCTCCGAGCAGGCCACCAACAAGACCGCCAACAAGACCTTCGCTGGTGCTCGAAGCAGAAGGAGTGGCAACAGTAGAGTTGGATCCCTTGGCCGTGGGCGTAGGGCTAGAGTCATCATCTCCCAGGAGACCACCAAGCAACCCCTTTTCTTTGCTGGAGCTAGCGGTACTAGATGCGGGTGTAGCACTGGTGCTGGTCGAGTCATCATCACCCAGGATGTTTCCTAGTCCAAGAAGACCGCCGTTATTGGTGCTAGTGGGCGTGGCAGAGGTGACGGTCGAGTTGGATCCACCGGTCTTGCTAGCCGTGGGCGTGGCAGAGCTGTCATCACCTCCCAGAATGTTTCCAAGGCCAAGCAGTCCACCACCGTTGGTGCTCGAGGCAGGAGTGGAAGATGGCGAGCCCGAGTTGCTAGCTGTGGGCGCAGTACTGGAGTCATCACCACCTAGGATACCACCAAGCAGACCCTTCTCTTTGCTGGTGCTGGCTGTGCTCGACGCAGAGTTCGTTGGGGTCTGCGTAGAGTCACCTCCCAAAAGTCCGCCGAGCAAACCACCATCGTTATCCTTGGTGACGCTTGCAGTGCTAGAAGCAGGAGAGCTTGTTGAATTGTCCTTGGAGTCACCTCCCAAGAGGCCGCCAAGCAGACCGCTGTCATTGTCTTCGCTGGCGCTGGCGCTGGCGGTGCTGGAAGCGGGAGAGTTGGTCGTTTGGGATGAACTGCCTCCTAGGAGGCCACCGAGCAAGCCACCATCGTTTTCCTTGCTAGCACTCGCAGTGCTAGAAGCGGGGGAGCCGGTCGTCTGGGACGAACCACCACCCAGGAGTCCTCCAAGCAAGCCACCGTCATTGTCCTTGCTAGTACTGGCGGCGCTGGCAGTGCTGGAAGCGGGAGAGCCGGTCGTCTGGGACGAGCCACCTCCAAGGAGGCCTCCAAGCAAGCCGCCGTCATTGTCTTTGCTAGCGCTCGCAGTGTTCGACGCGGGAGTGCTGGCAGGAGTTTGCGACTCAGTGTTGGAGCTGGTGGAATCACCTCCAAGAAGTCCTCCAAGCAAACCACCACTTTGGTCGTCGCTGGTGCCGGCCGGCGTGCTAGACGCAGAAGAGCTGGTCGTAGTCTTCGAGTCACCACCTAGGAGTCCGCCAAGCAATCCACTGTCCTGGTCGTCGGGGCTGCTCGAAGAGCTAGGCACGGGAGAGCTAGACGGAGTCTGAGACTCGGGAGTTTCGGTCGGAGTGGCAGGAACGGACGAGGAACTCGAGCTCGAGCTCGAATCACCACCCAAGATACCTCCGAGGAGGCCACCACTCTGGTCATCAGATGTGCTCGAAGAGCTAGGAGCGGGAGTGGACGAGGCGCCCGAATCACCGCCCAGAAGGCCTCCAAGCAGGCCACTATCACTGTCGTCGCTCGAGCTGGGGGCGGGGCTGCTCGATGTTGTTGTCTCAGGAGAGGACGGGGCTGGAGACGACGTAGGAGGTGGGGAAGCGGGTTCGGATGTTTCTTCGGTTGGGGTAATGGCAACAGACGAAGCGGGAGCACTCGAAACGGCCGTCTCGGAGGTCCAGATCGAACTGGTGACTGTCGAGGCACCAGCAGGCGCACTGGAAGGCGTACCGGTGATGGTGTGCGTTTGACCTTTGAGATCGACGGAAAGTGTCAAGGGCAAGACAATCGTTGGCGGAGCAGAAATCGTTGGCTCGGGAGTGTTGGATTCACCACCACCACCAAAGATGTTACCCAGGATTCCAGAGCTGCTCTGGGAGTTGAATGCGCCCTCGTTGGAATCCTGCGATTGCGGGGCGGAGTTGCCTGTGAGGGCATCGATGAGGCCTTTCTTGTTGGGAAGGTGCTCGGGTTGCGCGTCGACGAGGTCTAGACCCCCCATGGACAGGAAGGCCGCGAAAACGGCGACAGTTTTGGGCAGCATGATGGGTCACTAAGTGTACGCAACGATATTAGTATCTCCAACCCAGTCCACGTAATCGCAACCAATGGGGAAACAATTGCACGCACGCCACCCGAGAATAATCGTAGAGAACGTATATGGCGTTTTCGAAGCAATAGAAAAGAATGGACAGAGCAAATGGGCTCAATGAACGAGCGCGAAATTTTCAAAGGTCGAACAGCGCGGTCGATTGACGAGTCGTATAATTCATCGAACAGGGTATAACGATATAAGACGAAGGTACGGAGTACGGTATCGATGTCGATGCCGATGTCTTTATTTCAACTCTCAAAATCCTTTCAAAACCGATGCGACAATAGCGAGGAACCGGGTCGACTTGAAAGAAGCGTTGCGAACGATCAGCCCGAGGCGGTGCTTTCCAACTCTTTTCGTTTCTACCACACACAATATGTATAACGCAGCCTTGGAGTGGCGGTGACTGAGGCTGGTAAAATGACGATTTTGTTCTAATTTATTTATTTTTTTTCAACAAATATCGAATGTTCAAAACGAGTGGAAAGGGGAAGATGACGATAGCAAAATCCCGATAGAAAACGAGCGTGGTTGGATGCTGTAAGGAGCGAGCGAGCGACAGAAATAAGGAGGCGTTTAAAACGAAGCCAGTGTTGATGCTTTAAAGCGGAGGGAAATCGGATGCGCGACCGGGCTGTATGTCTGTTAATATGTCCGTTGACGTGGAGTGGATGGGATGGACGTCAACGACAGCACCGACGAAGCAACAACGACAAGAGCAAAAGAATTGTATATAATAAAGGAGTGAAAAAAACGAAGAAGTGAAAAAAAGAAAGAAGGGAAAAAGAGAAAAAAGGAAGGGAAGGGAAAAAAGACGCGAGTCGTGCAGATGGAAAAAAGAGACAGTCAGAAAGAGTGCAGAGAGGCAGAGAAGGAGGGCGGGTTGACGTTGAATCGGGTTTAGTGTAGGGGGGAAAAATACTGCGCCCCCTCTTCCGCGGTATTACAATACCTTAGCATATTAAAGAAGGTTAGGCTAGTATTTTTCCAGCCTACCGCATGTGCACAGTGGAGTGACAGGTGGGTCCGGAGATGCATCAGTACGGTATCATTAGATATCATTATTTTGCAGTATTATGATGCAGTGTAGTATAATAGTATCATTAATTGTATCAATACCTGTCAGTGTATGGAAAAGAATATATACAGAGAAACCAATTGCATTTGAAGAGTGGTAGGCCCAGGTACACAGCCTCCATCCGGAGTCCATCTCCGTCATCCCACAGGAACCGTACCACTCCGTATCCCATTACAATACCATACACATCTTTATTTGGATCGACACACGTTCTTGAATTTGGGCGAGTTGTTGCTCCCTTTTTTGCCAGGATTTACTCGAGGCTAGTGCGAATTAACCAAACTATCACGTATTATTTGTCTCCTATGCACTCCTTTCTACACCTCATAGCAAACGCGACAGCCATTGAATCGCATCATCACTTGTAGTCCGTACTCTGATCGAATGATCTGTCTAATGTACTCTGCACTGTCCACTGCGATGGAGCCTGTAAAAGGTTCGGACCACCGCCGGACCTAGACCAGGCGTTATGGCTCGTGTTTCGGCAGGTATTGAGCTAAAAAGAGGTACCGTGTGGTATTACGGTGGCTGTACGGGTGGAGCTCAGATCAGTATTATTGTAGAGCACAAGTACGGGCTACTTTACTTGTACAAGTACACCGGATAAGGAGAGGAACAGTGGCAACATAATAAGGAGCTACCGGAGCTAGAAGATATAACATGGTATCAAATTTGCTGATAACCGTTCGTTGAACTGTTGATTATGTTTGAAGAATGCACTACCCCCATCCGGCACATCCTGAAACTGTCAGCCGGAAAACCACATTCCAACCATGTTTCAAGAAAACATCCACTGTACAAAATATGGTAGTGAGGTACTTGTACTCCGGAGTAGGCACAAATAAAATAAAATGAATAATTTCGCACAAGTAATCTCTCAGGGTCTATGAATTTCTTTTTTGCCCTACACAAATCAAATACGGAGGAACAGACCGCCTGTTGATCCTCATATCCAGATCTGAGTTTGCCGATTCTCGACGGGTACTCTCGGTTTGCCATCGGATGCCTTTAACCAGGCTGGAGTCATTAGCGAGAGAAGGATGGTATCTTCTCCGTATTTGTAGGCTCGTGCTCGTGCTATATGAGCGGTCTTGTCCTGTACTACAGTATGTACTTGTGTAACCACCGTATTCGGGTACGACAACCGAACCTATTTTTATCTATATCACCACAGCTGTCTTCACCCAGGGAATCCTCATATCTACAGAGTACTTTACGAAAGAATGAATATTAGTCCTCAGCTTTCTGTACAGGGTACTGATACAGAGTAGAAGAAATCCTTCTACTTGTACAAGTACGGTACTGCAGTCCCACCGCGGAAATTACGCTAAGCCTGTTCCTGAACGAGTCAGTCACATAGATCCACCGCGTTCCACGGTTGCCGGAATTGCATCCAGGTACAGGTACAGGTACAGGTATGTACCTGTACCGTTGTACAAGCCCGGAGGTTATCATAACGGTCGATACGTGCATGGATAATGGTATGATATTTCGTACTGATAGGTATGGAGTAATTATCCCTGCAGGATTATGCAATGTCCAACGGCAATTATATCGATCCGGATAGAGACCTACAATCGCCCAAAGAGGAAGTGTACTTCACACCTGAGAGTATGCACACTTAATACAAGTACACTATATAGAAGTAGAAAAAGAATCAATCAGACTATCAAAGAAAGTTACTATGTAGGCAACAATTAACAGTGCCTGCGTGGTTGATCTGATTAAGCAGTGCGTCGCCAAGAGATATATCTTTTGTCCTTCCGCTATCAGATCCGTAAGTGTCCGTCAGCCAATACGTTCCTGAACCATACCGGGGCAGACAAAAACGTACCCATCATCCCCTCACGTTCATCCATGCTGCTGCTGGTGCTGCCTTTGATATTCTTCTGTGTGGTGTGTATCGTGGCTTTGTAGGTGGAGCATGAGGTCCTGGATAGTGGCCACACGCGCGCCGTTACGCCATTTGGGGAAGGGTTTTATTTTGCTCGCACCCTAATTGTTAGTTCGACAGCTAGTAAATATGTATCAAGAAGATATATTCTAAAAGAACCACTTACCTGCGATGGAGCTGCGGAACGGTTTGTTGGAGTTTGGCGCGGAATAAGATGAAATGAAAGAAAGTGCGCTAGCTGAGACAAGTCCTCTACGGCAGTACCTTTATACAACATCAAATTATAGCTAGTACAAAGTCTTTGCTACATACTCCGCGACAGGAGGAATGGAATCTATTTTATTTGCATTATATTTCAGATCCAGTCAAAAAAGGACAACACTCATTTAATATCGTCTACCTCTTAACACAGCTTGGCAATGCCCTGGCTAGTATTTCCTTCTCCTTTCTTCAAAGCCAAAGGAAGTGGCTCAATTTTATTGTTGTATAATGAGGCCAACACACTTGCACATCAGACAACCAATCACTTAACAACTGAATTGAAGGCAAGCAACATACCTTCTCTCATGGCTGGTATTAACCCTATAGTGCTACAATTTACCACTGATAGCATTGCGAGCTTATTTATCTTAATTTATTCTGGATATTTTATAATTAGTGAAAGATTCTCCATTCTCTCTAGGGTTTATTCACAGCCATTCATTATAGCCTTTAATTTGATGTACATACATAAGTAACAACAAGCACTAAAAATCTACTCTCTTGATTTGCCTTATATTTTCTTCACTTCTTCCACCCCTCAATGCAGTCTTGATTGGCTCTTGTGGTTCGCTGACACACTTTACATGCTTTCCTGTGTACAATCTCTCTGATCACTGTGATTTGTGCAACGGTGATTGCATAACAGCATAAAAGAAAGACTGATGCGCCTATTAGCACTTCATAAGTATCTGATTTTGTGTGCAAACTGCAAATGGTGGTTACACTGAGGAAACATTTCTGTAATGTAAGGTATGATTGAAGCTCACACCTTTCATACACCTTCATATAACTTAGAAACGCCGTGCTGTATCCTTACACGATTAAGTTACAGTGTGGTTCATCCAGCAACTCGGCGATGCATGCGCAGACGGACCATTCTCGAGAAAAGAGTAGAATAAACTCCGAGTCTTTGCTTAGAATAAACCTGGAGCTGAATCCATGGGAGGGGATAAATTTGTTTCGGACCCCCGAGAAGCGAACCTGAAACCAGGTCCTTAGACTGAAGGGAACAGAGATATCCCGGGATGATATGTCTTACGGGACTTGTTCGACTTGTGTTATTCAGATGCTAATACATATGTGTACAGCCTTCATATTGTATTGTTTGCAGGAAGACAAGAATTGAAAATCAAACAGCCAGGCGCGTAATGGTGGGAGGAAATGATCTCCCGTCAGTGTTTGTCGAAGCGGACGTAAGTGAAACACTTCCCGATTCCCAGGACGACATGAAACAGGGGTTTCTTGGTGGCAACCCACATGTTCGAGTTGTGATTGCCGTGAAAATGGTGTATGAACAAAAATAGGCTTGTTCGCGGTCTTTGAATTCATTAAAACCCAGTCGAGGAGAAGTCAAAGTGGCGAGACACCCTAAAGGGCCAGGCGCAGGGACGGCTTAGTATTCTAGGAAGTCTCCGAACTGATCGCATGGATCAAGCAGTCTCCGGATGAGGCAACTTCAGGTCATCTGCAAGACTGAGATTTCCAGACCTTTGTCACTACGACGTATTGTCTAACCATACATCACAGGCTCGCAACTTTGCAAGATGCCATACAAACTACACAACTCAGTCTTGTCTCGTTCATACAAGAACTTCTCAAATCGAAGGCTAATGGCTTGATCACATGACTACTGGAGAGAAATGTAGCTGGTCCCAGGTGTTCTCCGGAGAATATAGTACGAAAATTTATCTTCTAAGTCACAGACTCTAATGTATTAACATAGAATCTGCGCTCACGGAGCTCTACAAAGGCACAGCTCAACAGTCTGATGCCTCGCTACTATTTGAAGAGCAGAACCTTCTGTCAGTCGTGTTTGAAATCAGATGGATGCAGACCCTTCCTGACCTACACGACGATATCAGCGAGTGACTTATTAGACAGCGCACTGCAAGTGCGGATTTTGTGATTGTCGTAAAATGGTACGAAAAAAGCTATTGTGTCTTAATGACCACTTCTGTTCTCGTATGCGGATATGAAATACCATCAATATTCACACCGAATTCACATCTCCAGAGAACATGTTCAAATAGGACTGCCAGCGGAAACAACCCCAGTTTATGAGAATCCAAATATAAAGAGACAATTGACCCTAGGGCTAATCGAACGGTCCCACATCCGTCTACACTTATCATAGAAACCGGCGTGAGCGAGTGTCTACCAACAAAAAATCAGCCAAGGCCAAAACCAATTGTTGATTGAACTTAGTGCCTCGCGAGAAAATGTAGATTATGCCTTACATTGAGTCCTCGGATCAGGGATTGCAAGACGGATATATCGATCCAGAAATAGAAACTGTCGCCGTTTGTTCCGAATCATGTTCATGTTACCCAATCCCGTAAATTCCTTTGAAATGGATCAAGTTCGTTTACGATTCATGGGATCTCCAAGAGACCGTTGTTATAACCTGGTTCATTGGCCTATTTTTCTAATTCCCAGAACCATGATACATCAACCCACACGGGCAGCTATGCGTGCAACAGACGATGAAAGACGATGAAATACGCCTGGGCTGCCAAAGCGACAACATGGTTTCAACTGGTTCAAACTATAGCGTTCGCAGCTTGATATTGCGAGGGCCATTTTATTTGGGTTGGGAGGCACTCAAAGCTATTCCAAACAGATAACCCTCTGCATCCTTTGGCTAATGGGTCGAAACGCCCAGATCCATTCATTTGTCATTATTATCACACCCCGTGTCAAGCTTTGCTGGGTTCTGCAAGCACCAAGCGAGTCAACACCAGGGCTGACAGCATTTTCGTTTGCGAAAGATGGACCTGTTCAGAGCCACATCTGTGTTTCAAGTCATGCAGACGCTAATATATGAGATGAGCAAAACAGCTTTCATGCTCGCTCGAACCTTTCAAACTAAAGGGACCCGTCACTTCTGTTCGGGTGGAATATTAGAAGATAATCTTCTGTTGCTCTGGGGGTCGCTCCCAGGCAAAGACTCCCTAATCTGAAGAACGACATGACAAGCTGGCTTCTGGGCGGGAGCCCAGAGATCAGCTGCGTTGATGTAGTGAAATGGCCCACAAATCGAAAGGGGGTGGTCTACAGACAATTGAGCGCCTTCAGAGCTTGCGAAAGACGTGAAACCAGACCTATGAGTATTTTCAAGGCATGGCTAGTCGATAAATGCTTTCCAATTCAGCCATGACCTCGTTATAGAGGCTGGTGCCAACCACCCTAGTCTCTGTCAGTAGTATGATACATCGGCAAGATGCAACCTGGAGACTTGTCGAAGCTATTTTGGGACGCGTTCTTAGAGAGCCAGAGAGCACGAAACTAGCGTCATTTTGTTCCGCCGTGACATGCAAAACATGCATACTATCACCATCCGAACCCAGCGAGATATATTTGCTCCTAGGCCATGAATTCTGATGGAATTCAAGACAACAATCCCAGAACTTCAGTTAAGTTGTTTGATCTCAGCCATGCTGTCAAAACGACTTCATCCTGAGCGATGAAGGCATTTGGGACTCTATGAAGGGGAGAATGAAAGGTTTCTTATGGAAACTGTATATTCTCCCGGATTTCAGTCTCATGCGTCAGTTGCACATGTGGTTCATCTCGATCAAAAATTTGTAATGTCAAGCTATGGTGCTAGACACCATATCCTACGAGTGTTCTCGTTATTCCACCATCACGAGTAAAATGTCCTGTATAGCTAAATTCACTAGGAGAGTGTCCTTATCCAATTAATAATACATATAATCATAAAACCATAAACCCAAGCCATTTGATCTGGTCCAATACAATAAACGCCCTTCTAGACAAATAAGAAATTTAATTCCTCCGCCGTCTCTCAGACTCAAATACCGTAAACGCATCAACACCACGTCCATCAGAACCACCGGTACGGAAGTACTCCGTTACAACACCAAAGGCATAGCATGTTCCTGCGGCTGCGGTGCCAGTGAAGAGCATCCTGCGGATTGCGTTACTGAATGCGGAGCGCTGCTTTCGTGGAGGGGTTTCCGTCTCTGACTGTGTCTTGGTTGGTTCAGCGGAAGGGTCTTGGGTTAGTTGGGGTGATGTCAATGCTGCTTGTTCATGAATGTCTTTGAAAGCGCCGCCTGCGGTTATGTCTCCATGCTCCTTGGTTTCAAGAGGCGACTTGTCTGATGGTTTCTTTTCGACATCAGAAAATCTCTTGAAGACGAGGATATCCCCACCACCGGAGACAATCTCATAGCCCTCTTTACGCATTTTCTCAAAATATGGTAGGAATTGCGCCGGGTTGCTCAGCCGGGGAAGGACATCACTAGGACGGAGGATCTCATGTGAAGGAGCAAGCGAAGAATCCGTGTCCGCCGTATTAACCTGCATAGTAAATGGATCGTACGCGAGCACACGGTATGTGGCTGGAGATGTAATTTCACTCCGAATAGGAGAGCGTGTTTCGGGGGTCTGGTCAAGAACTTTCGAGTCTGGAAGCCCGTCTCGTGCTTGCAGTTGAGTGGATTGAGGGGCTACTGCTTCCTGTAATGGAGATTGCGTCTCGGTATAGCTTGCTGCTTTTGTGCCTCTCACATCAACAGAGCCCAAAGCGTCTTGAGGCTCGGATTTTAACTCAATAGCTCGGGCATCAATAGAAGTGACCGGGTTTTCATCAGACTTAACTTCCTCCAAAGCGCCGTCGACCTTCTTACTTTGGGAATCAGTTTTAATATCCAACTCTTTTGAGGGGTAAGAGGCGCGAATATCGCTCGCACGCAGGATTTCCAGCTCTTCATTCTCGGGAACGAGGAAAGGCTCTGATTGCTGTGGTGAATCCTGAATCTTGAGTTTCTCTGGTTCCCTTTTGTTCACGTAGAAGAAACCCTTTGTTTTTCGGCCCTCATCTGACTGCGCATCAGGAGTAAGGCTCCTTGGCTGCTGACTATCAACCAGATTGGATTTTTCGACATCTGGCTGTCTTAATGATACGTTTTCATTCTTGGGCTCAGACACAGCAGACGTAATTTCAATCGGCGCTTCCCCAATAGCAGTGCTATTTGCAGTTGATAGCTTTTGAGTTGAAGTAGGAGTCCAGGCATTGTGGTCCCCATTAGAGCCAAGGACACCGTGGTCTGCGTCATGAACGGTAGTCCTCTTTGCGGTGGATGGTGCTTCATGCAATGGAGGATCCCAGAACTTGGGGTCATGATTGTATCCAGGGATACCGTGGTCCTGTGCTACTTCGTTTGCATGCTGTTCTGGTTCTTTGTGCTGCACGCCGCTAATGTCTGAATCGGATATCTTGGCAGTGGTCTCGCCAGAGCTTTTCGTAGGAGATAAAGATCCAGGATGACCATCCTTCATATTAGATGTGTCCGGTACGGTTGAGGTGCCATCTTTAGATAGTGCACCGGCCTCACCTGTCGTAGTTGCTGCAGCAGGCTTTATTACCATGCGGCCACTAATCGGATCAAACTCAAGATCATTTGTTCTGGTATCCACAAACCCCGGCGGCTGCGAAGCATCAATTACTGGAGCCACATGATCCTTTGCCTTCCGCACATCTCTTACTCGCGTACTCGACTTCTTCCCCTCCGACTTAACACGCGCCGTCGCATCCGTATCCTTTACCTTCGCTTTCGCAGTATCCGTACCACTCTTTTCAAACCCAAAAAATGACCGACACAAATCCGCCAGCGTATGTTGATGCTTATCCCACGCCTTCAATCTCATCCCCGATATATCAGAATCATACCTCCCAAACAACGCCGCGTACGGATCCCTCTCAATCTCCCTCTTGATAGCCTCCATCCGCTGCTGTGCACGAAGTCTCACCGCCTCAAAATCATTTGTACCAGTATTATCAAATCCACCCCATCTCCATCCTGGCTTCGATCCCCAACTCCAGCTCCGCCATGGATCTGAATTTTCCAGCGGTGTTTGGGTTCGATGAGGTGGGTTTTGGTTCGGCTTTGTAACTCGTCGACGGACTTTTCTCTCTAGTCGAACCCAATTTGTGCCGTTGTAGGTTCCGTGGGAGTGACGGTGGCTTTGCCAAATCGTGCGGTGTTGTTGGAAGCGTGCAGTGGTAGGGGCGTGGATGGCGTGGAGGGTATTCGGAGCGGAGAGCATCCTGGGGCATCGGGCTGCCCTGGCGCTTGATGCTAGACTTGCGAGGGTCATAGTGAGTTCATACCATATGATGCGTTTTTGAGAGCGATGGATGATGGACAGTCTAGCTAAGCTTCGAGATAAGAAGTATATGAATGGAGCTTGAGCTTATCGCAGCAGGATTTGAGGGTTATTTCAGGAACGGAAGAGGTGTCGATTTGTTTCTTTGTATGATATAATAAAGTTGGTACAGGGTAAGCTTTGATATATAAGCATGCACAGTCCAAGGGATAAAGTGCAGGCGTTGGATGGGATGAAGTGAGGTCAGCGCTGGAAGCTTCCCCGGGCGCTTTTTGCGGGGTCACCGGACCGATCCACCGCCGATTGCGGTGATCGCTACATAACGGGTGAACAAAGTACGATGTATTAGATTCAGCAAGCGTTGACTATTATTCTATTGTGATAATGAATACTCCTGATAGCTGTGAACAAGAGTCTACAGCGCAAGTAGAGATACACCGATATCGATATCCTGGTCAGGTTCAGAGGTGATGTAGTTCCTCCAGAACCGCAGACCTTCGATGCCCTCCTCTCTGCATAGAAGCCCCTTATCTTCAGCCATTTCCAGCTCTTCGGCCGCAACTCCGACGCTCCATTTGAAGCGTTGTGCAGCTTCCTGTGCCGTCACAGCGCGGCCAAACAGGCTCCAATCCCACGCCACCGACTCAGCCGGTGGTATCCGCCGGAGCTCCTCCATCCAGTCTTGCAGTATCTTAAGAGTCTTTTCGTCAGTCCAGTCATATCGCTGGACGACGAGAAGACCGGTTTTGAAGCGACGTAGACGAACAGGCAGCTTAAGTTTCTCCCATAGTTCTGCTGCTCGCTGGAAGTCGGCCGGGCTAACGAGTTCCACACCGTTTCGAGACCGGTTGAAGATGGCCCAGAGGTCGATAAGGCTCATAGTACCGCCTTCCTTATGTAGAATACCTTTCCGATCGTCTGTGAGATACTCTGCCAGGTTTCGCGACAGCTCCGACAAATACAGATTCTCCGCCCCCGACCCAAGCATGTCCTTTGTCGTTGACATCCCTAGGGCAGCAGCGGATTCCGAAAGGACTGCATTGGCTTCCACGGTGCCCTCGCCACCAGACAAGCCTGATTCCCTACCCAGTGTTTCTGCAAGAGAAACAATCTGCTTTGCGGATGCCATCAAGGCCTCAAGGTCCTCAAATGCATTGCCAATAACAAACTCGTTGTTCTTGCGAGCCTCAAAACCACGTCGCTCAAGGCCTGCAATCCCAGCCATCGATCTAGCAGGTACCGGAGATCCCGTGTTCGCAGCTGGCACTATTGCTCCGGGGCTCGAGGATGAAGCAGCCAGCGACGGTATAGGCACGGGTGGAGCGTCGTAAAGAAGCCATTTCCTCTGGATTAGCGCACTCTTTAATCGTTCGTAAAAAGACTTCTCGCCACCCCCGCGAAATGAAAGTTTGACGCTCTCTGCTGTATCTGTATTTTTGATACTATCTTGTTCGTAAAATGGAGCAGGAGATTCGGAACGGCGCTGGTCACTGTTGAGCACTTGCAAGCCGTTCACGGAGGCCAACGGAGCACCACATATTTCACATTCTGCAAGGGACGGGTGGTTCATAAAAGTACATCGAGGGCAAGAAACGGAGGCGCCCGTCTCCGAAGGAAATTGCAGCTGACTCCCATCAGTTGGAACAGAGCTCTCGGGCCCTGGTTGAGGTGTTGCAGGTTCCCTATTAGCTGCCGCTGAAACCGCAGCCTTCAACACCGTTGTGAAAGGGGGTTTGATACCACATGCCAAACAAGGGGGAAGGCTAGTCGACGCCGTGGCTGTAGCTGGATCAAAGTTGGATGGCACAGGGTTCGAGAAGGAGCATATTGGGCAAATCCAGGTAGCATTCACGGGCTTCGGTGACGGTGACTTTGGCTGAGAGGCGCGTAGTTGCGAAGTAATCGTCTTGGCAGGTTGAAGATTCGAGGCTTGTGGTATTGACGGGCTACTGCCCACGCTTTTGGAAGTATCAAGCTTGTTCTTCGCCGGCTTCGGGTGTAGAACGATCTTCGCAGACGACTTTAAAAAGCCGGCCTGAGAGACGTCAGTCCATAGCTAACGTCTAAAGGTGTACACAATTCCGTACTTGGTAGTCTGGTTTGTCGATCTCCTTCAAGTCGATCCCGACAGAGTATTTCCGGGGCTCGTCCACGGCGACGTAGCAGATTCGGTGGGAAGTAAGATAGGCGTGTCCATTTTGGTAGTTTGGGACCTTATATTTGCTGTCCAACCGGTCAGCATGCGTCAAATTTAAGAGTATATAACCACAATTTGACCATAAAACAAAGAAAACAACTTGGAGAGGGCGAGAGATGGCTCACCCTTCATACAATCCCACTGCGTCCTGGACAAAGATTAGAGTCTCATCGGGTAAAAGTGATGGACGGAGAGCGGTGGTCAGGTCCAGAGCCTTGAGAAACATCTAGTAAATGCAGCCAGCATCTCTCCACTATTAGAACTTGGGAAGAGAAAGAGTTGACCGCAGATTGTGCTCTATGGAGGGACATGTTGGAGAACTGAAGGGACCGTCATATTGGGGGTGGGGGGTACGGGAACCCACAACGGCCACAACCGCACCTATAATTCCTAAGCAAATTCAGTGCTTTTCTTTTGTTCCTCGATTGTCTCGATGCATCCGTCTTCCTTTTCACCCGACAATCTTGCTCCTTTTGTCTATACTTCTGACATTCTCGGTTACTCTTGTCTTTGTCTCTTGTGTTATATTCCACTCGAATCTCTTGGTGTACTGCTGCTGTACAGAGTATAGGGGTTCCACATAAGGTCATTTTCGTAGTCTTCTTCGCACTTCTATCATTGCTCCTTTCCTGTTTCTCTCTCCTCTCTATTCTTCTGTCTTTCTTCTTTCTTTCTATCTCTTCTTGCACATTTTCAGTTTTCGGTATGAGTTCTGGAATCCCACCATGGCGCACAACAGCGTCAGCAACGACGACTGCCACGACTCCCTTCTCCGGACATGGACATGGTAATTATAGCCTTTGTGGAGGCTCCGCATTGAGACCACTGCTAACCTCTGTTATAGCGACACCTGCTTATATCCCAGTTCAAGCCCGCCGTAGCCTTGCTCAACCCAAACCCACTCCATCGCAATCGACCTCGGAAGCTCCACGGAAACGAGTAGCTTGGCCCGCCCCTCTTCGGTCGTATGTACAACGATGCTTCGTACCTGAACATCAGATTCCCAGCGTCACCAGACAAGAGATGGAGGCCAAGTTGAAATCGATTATTACCGAGGCCGCAGAGGGTGACAAGCTTGACACGATCAATTGGGATACCCTGCCCCTACCGCAGGTCATGGTACAGAACGAGCGGAATAGAATCTTGGCCAACCCCAGCGTGTCAGCTTGGGGTGAGGAGGCCTCGCGAAAGCGAAAGTCTACGGAGTACACGCCTGCGGATACGAAGAATGATATATCTCCTCCATGGAGACAGACTAACAGTGACCAGAAGTTTGAAGATCGAGTGACTTACAGCCCCACAGACAAACGACAGCGGACAGATTACAAGAACCCAAGTAAGTCGAAAGCTAATCTTGAGTTGCGGCGGAAACGGTTTGAAGAACCCCGATCCCGATACGGGTCGTCGCCGTCGTCCCCACGTGGCGAATCGCCCGTTGTTAGTGTCCACCAAGGCCCCATTGTCGGACGGTGCCAGGATTTGGAGAAGAACTACTTCCGATTGACATCTGCACCGAACCCGGACACTGTGCGACCACTCCCGGTGCTGCAGAAGACGCTGGACCTGCTGAAGAAAAAATGGAAACGGGACAATAACTATGGCTACATCTGCGACCAGTTCAAATCATTACGACAGGACTTGACAGTGCAGCGCATCAAGAATGAGTTTACAGTGAACGTGTACGAAATCCATGCGCGGATTGCTCTGGAGAAAGGAGATCTTGGTGAGTATAATCAGTGCCAGACCCAGTTGCGCGCGTTGTATACACAGCAACCTGGCGGACACCCAACGGAGTTCAAGGCATATCGCATTCTGTATTTCATCCACACGCGCAACTGGACGGCGATGAATGATGCGTTAGCGGACTTGAGGGCGGCCGACAAGCGGGATCCGGCCGTGAAGCATGCCCTGGACGTCCGATCGGCGTTGGCCTTGGGGAACTACCATCGGTTTTTCCAGCTGTATTTGGACACTCCGAACATGGGAGCCTATCTGATGGACATGTTTGTGGACCGCGAACGCCTGTCGGCCTTGACGGCAATTTGTAAAGCGTAAGTTCTACCCCTTTCCGCATCTTTTGGAATGAAGCTAACAAAAAACAGGTATAAACCCGATGTGAATATTCGGTTCATCACTGAAGAGTTAGGATTCGAGTCGGACGAGCAGAGCGCCCGATTTGTGCTGGAGCACACGTCGGGGGAGCTACTACAGGAGAAAGACGGGGCTGTGAAGCTGCTAACGGGCGGCCTAGCTACGCAGATGTTTGAAGCGTCCAAAAATGAGGCGCATCGGGTGGTTGACATCAAGGGACAGATATAGTTTTTCTTTTATGATGATCGAGACATGGGATATGCAGCGGGAACGGGTTCGCGATGATGCATCTACGGAGTTATACCCTGGGGGGTTTTTTTTTCTTTTTTTTGCAATATGGATCGGTGGCGAATGTACAGAGTTAGGATACGAGTACAAGTACAGTTATCAATATAGACCGTTAGTTTTCTACACCGGGAGACACAGTACGGAGCAGTCGTAAGTGCCGGCAAATAAAGGAACAAGTGGAAACCCGAAAATTGGCACGGCAGCAGCTGAAATGCAGCCCAACTCCACCACATCCACCACGAAATACAAATCAAAAGCCAGCATGTCCGAGGCTGCTGTCTTGTCGGGACGAACGGTCCAACAAGTGGTCCTGGAGATGAAAGCGCCCCGGTCCACCTGTCGGCCACGAGGCATTTTGTTGTCCAGAATCGGTGGGCTCGACGTCTTTGTATAGAAGCTCCGAGGCAGTGTTCAGCTACCTTGCATGTGTACTGTACGGGAGTATATACGCTGTATTCCGGAGAGAGCTGCATAGTTATTCTAGTATTTACTCCGTAAATCTATAGCATGCACTTGAATCCTTGCCGATGTTTGTCGCTGGGCCGGATTGACAGCCGCGCCATGGAACACAAGGATGAAAATTGAGAAAGCAATTAGTACGGGGGAGCACAGCACAAGGGGACTAGACTGATAATTAAAAATGTACTAGTATTTTAGACCGCAGACGGACAAGTAGATTGCTGATTGATTGTGACTGGAATATCATCAGATTGCCTTATAGACAGCCTTTTTTTTTTTTCGCCTCTTGATTTTCCTCTTGATTTTCTTCCCTCCTTTCCCCGCCACCGGGTTGAGCAAGTGATAAAAGAGAGATTGAAGAAAGAACTGAAGAAAGAACTGAAGAAAGAACTGAAGAAAGAACTGAAGAACTAACTGAAGAAAAGAACCAAGGAAACAGAACAAAAGGGACATTCGAGAAACCTAGAGGATCGCAACCCATAGGAATAGCCATCGCCAAAGAAGAGGCGATCAAATTACAGCCACCCAGGGAACACTGTCAACAACCACCTATGGTCCTTTTGTCTCCTCTTGTCTCCTCTTGACGCCTGTGGTTCGTTTAATATTATAAAGTCTATCGCCATCGCATCCCGACGCTATCACGTCGACCCCCATCATTCCTTCTTTCTATCTATCATCCGTCGGGTCACTACTCGTCTGATTCATCAATACTCGGCGATTGTTTGAACTGTCTCATATCCCTCATATTCCCAGGCATGAAGGTGAGTCTATCCAACTGTCTCCCCATCTGTACTCTGTTCTCGTTCTAATAAACAGGCCATCCGTCGCTCCCTCAAAGGGGACAAGGACCCCAAACCACACCATCACCATCTCTCGCTGACTCCCAAATCCGCTATTGCCATTCTTCCACCCAAAAAGGTGAGTTTCCCTTTTGAGGCTCTTCTTATTCTTTGGTCTTCCCCCTTTTTCTCCCCACCATTAATTATCATTACTCTACTCCACGCACACACACAAACACACGCACACACCTGCACACACACCCACACAACAAATCTCACATTCTTTATATCTTCTTGCGTACTCTTTTATATTCTTCTTGTTTGTGTTTATATATATATATACATATCTTTCTATATTTCTTGTGTATCATTATCAAAACTTCCGCTCATTACCAATTTTTTAGGTCATCAAAGCCCTCTACGACTACCAACCCGACCACTCCAATTCCCAGGAACTCGCTTTCAGCAAGGGTGACTTTTTTCACGTCATCAGCAGGGAGGACGACGGCGACTGGTACGAAGCCTGTAATCCTCTCATCCCTAGTGCCAGGGGGCTGGTGCCCGTGTCGTTTTTCGAGGTCGTCGGCAAAAACGACAGAGAAAGTTCCGCCGCTGGCGGTCGTTCTTCTTCCTTGATCGACCTCCACCAGCATCACCATAAAAAAGAACCTCACGACTCGGGTTTCTCGGATCGCTTGCTCTCCCCTTTGGGTTCCTCCGATTCTGCGCATCATTCCTCCCCGTCTAAGTCCTCGTCTATCTCCTTCCCGCGACTGTCAACAATGGGCAGAGGTTCGGGCGCTATGGTTTACGGCGTCGTTCAATATGATTTCCAGGCGGAGCGACCGGATGAACTCGACGCCAAGGCCGGCGAGGCTATTATCGTTATCGCTCTATCTAATCCGGAATGGTTTGTCGCCAAACCTATCGGTCGTCTCGGTGGTCCTGGTCTCATTCCCGTCTCCTTCCTCGAACTGCGGGACATGCAATCCGGTCAAGCCGTTACGGATCCGCTCGACGCTGTCCGGCGCGCTGGAGTCCCCAAGGTTGAGGAGTGGAAGAAGATGACGGCCGAATACAAAAACAGCAGCATCACACTGGGCCAGATCGATTCAGCTGCTGCGTCTGCCGGCGGCGGCGGCAGTGGCGGCAGTGGCGGTGGTGTCCCGTCTATCACCGCGGGCGTCAATAAGATGTCTATGAGCCACATGAGCCAGAATGGCAACACTTATGTATGCACCCGCCCAGAATTTAGAGGTGAAGATCGCTACTGACAACGTATAGGGATTCCATCAACGCAACCCCAGTAAAGGAACGCTGTCCTCGCACCACGTCTCGCATCCCTACCCGCAAAATTTCCACCCACCACCGCTCATGGCCCCAGTCGCAGCGTCTATTCCTCGATACTGTTTCGACAATGATAAATACTGGTATATCATTGAAGCCAAGATGGAGGATGGCCGTTGCTGGGAACTGTCGCGATATTACCATGATTTCTACGACTTCCAGATCGCCCTTTTGACCCAATTCGAGGACGAGGCCGGGAACCGTGGCAAAGCTCGCACTCTGCCGTTTATGCCCGGACCAGTTACCCATGTGACCGATGCCATCTCCAACGGCCGCCGACAGAACCTAGACGAGTACATCAAGAAACTGTTGTCCATGCCCCAGCACATTGGCCGCTGCACATTGGTCCGTCAACTGTTTGCTCCGCGCCCAGGCGATTTCGAAATCGACCCGAGCGCTTTCGGGGAGGATGCGCGATACTCGGCCGGGTCGCACCAATCCTCGTCAGCACAAGAGGCCTCGCGCACCGCTTCGCGCCAGTCATCCCAAGTGCACCTTAGCGCGCAACCCGACCGGACCTCTCACCAGCGGGGCCAAGGATCCATCTCTCACTCCAACGGAGGCCCCCCGGCCATGAACCGCCAACCCAGCTCCCTTACGCAAGTGTCCAGCTCGAGCGGTAACGCGAGCGGTGGTGCAATGAAAGTCAAGGTGTTCTTCCAAGACGATCTGATCGCCATCCGAGTCCCTAGCGACATCAACCTCCAGCAACTCAAGGAGAAACTCACAGATCGACTTAAGATCGGCGACAGCATCGTGGTGCAATACAAAGACGAACCCTCTGGCACCGTGGTCGACCTAAACAACGACGGTGATCTCGACACCGCCATCCAGCGCAACTCCAAGCTGACGTTAGTGGTCGGAGTGGCATAATCCTTGTTATTCTTTCGCTCATTCCATCTCTCTTCGATTTTAACCATTTATTATCAACATCTACGATAGATCCTGGCACCTTTTTATTTTTCGTTTCTTTTTTTTTTTTCGCCTTCTCCTGATTTATTCCACGGTGGCCATGGTGTCCCGGCGTTTTTTTACTCTTTTTCTGGTGACGGCTGATATCCATCAGCTTTTGATTGGAGCGTTTCATTTTTCCTGCCTGGTTTCTGAAGTTGATGATTGATAAACGTGATGTCCGACATGTTTATATGATTATGTATTTGTTTTCTTTATCTCGATCTCGATCTTGATTCTGATTGATTTCTGGTTATGTTTTGATGATTGTCTGCTTTTTTCATACCCTTGTGGCGTGTTCTTGTATATAGTCTTAAAATTGTTCATTTTCTTGGTTTCTTTTTTTGAAATCGTGCAACGTTCCTTGTGGTAATACTTTAATGTTATTGAGGAAATCATCTCTCGCATGCCTCGAATCGAGAACTCGAATACAGTACAGACAAGGTAGACAACCCACGCTACGCTACCGGCAAATTGCAGATCTGTGCACTGTATGACATGTGCCACCATCACCATGGGGGGTCGCGTGTAGCAGCGCATGCCATATAAAAAGCAAGTCTGGAGAACGTGGTACGGAGTTATGTATGAGGAGCAATACAAGTGCTTTTCGCTCCACTGCTGATATGACTAGTCTGCTGCATGGCATGTCGGCGTTTAATTCATTACCCTACTCGCATGGCCACATGATGTTGTGATACTGTGCTTGCTATGGGAAAATTAGTCAGTGTTTCTGCTTGGGTTAAGGTGAGGTTGGCGTTATTGGACTTGGGGCTGTAATATAGAGCAGGGCTATTCTGTTTTGACTGGTAGGGTTTGAGTGTATATCACGGTGGGCTTTCCAAAAGCTATTTCATTTCGCACAGTTGTTAAGCGGCAGAGGGGCCATTGAATGAACAAATGCCGGTATGTGTAAGTATAGACATACATGAATTCCACATTTCGGCCCCGAAATCGTCGATAGTAGTAGAGTGGTGTTGTTATTGGTGTCCATGGACCTGATGGTTGTACCTAGACGGTTAGCTAACAACTTATCAGAGGCTGACTGAAGGCTCACGTACTTTTGAAATGACAAGTCCAGTTGATCCAGAACAATTTACTGCTGAGGATTAACAAAGTCGTGCCTTCAACCCGGTCACGGATGCTATAGATTTGATAGTTTTAGCCATCATCAACGTATCCTTGTCAGCTGCTAGTGCGTTGAATCAAAATATATAGACCAGTGCATGGAAGATATGTTATCTGTCTAGGAAGCGGTAGAATAAAACTGGATTGACGGGTTGTTGCAAGTAGGAAACGTGAATGCGAATGAGGACTGCCCACTTGGAAGACAAGTGACTGTTGGGGCACACATCTTTTTCATCTCTCTTTCTCTCTCCCTATATATAATGCAGCTTGTCTGTTTGCGCCATTCAGCTTTCCATTCTTTGATGACGCCTTATACATGGTCCTTTTCAAGCTGGTCTCTTGACTTCTTTTCTCGTTTGCTGTTTGTCTTCTGCTTCCTAAGCCCACCATATCTTATCATTCATCATCTCCTTCTCTTCTTTTCTCTCTATGTATTGCTGAGATAGCACGACCAGCATAAGAACGATGGTAATGCCAAAATGCGTTGCCTGCGGCTACCCAATGGCCACTGCGCTAAGAAAGTAAGACGTTTCCTGGCAAGTAAGTTATTTCCCAAAGGTATACCGTGTCCCACCAACCCTAGAAATTGCAGTACACAAAACCCCAATGGTGTCTGTCCGGCGTGGGCTCGATGATGCGCGACAGCCCTGATCTACCAAGGTTCCTTCTCGACGAAAATAAAACGTGGTTGACAATGGGTACTCAGTTCATGGAACTAGGCTGGGAGACGGACTTACATATGCAGAGGAAAGCCATGTCGACAAAATGGTTTTGCCTTCCACCTGGACTGTTGGGTGATTCTCATGGGGCGTTTTGAATCTGGTGGGTTCGGTTTATATTGGCTTTATGAGGCGTGCAAAGTGTCCCCGAGATTTTTTCTGTGAGTACTCTTGCAGAGAGCATACTTATCATGAGTCTATTGACTTCCTTCATTGCTGACCGGTGAAGTCCATCAATTTTGTAGAGTGCCTTCTGACCGGCAACCTATTAAAAAACTGACAATTGACGACCTCAAAATCCGGGAATACATCTCGCGACTGCCAGCGACACAGAATTGGACTCGTTCAAGGCTGATTATTTGTGTCAGAATATAACGAACTGTTTCGGTACCTTCTACTTAAACTTCGAGAAGTGATAGTTATTAACTACCAACCTCCGACTTCCTAAGCCTCCGATATGCGTCCCGATCAATGAAAGTTATTTTCGAGAGTCCTGCAATCTGGAAAAGCAGGCTCTTCCCGCCTTACAAGCGAAGGTTTCTTGGTGACATTCTCTTGGCCAAAAACCGAAAAGATGTCGATAAGTCCCAAGGGCAAGTTGAAGAAAGAAGCATCAACTAGCACCTTCTCTACCACTGCAATAATCCCACAACCAATACAAAAAAGAGACGGCGAGTACAAGCTACAGATCAAGAAACAAATCTTGCAGGTAAGTCAGTGGTTCGCAGATGCCAGCTGCATGCAAGTCTCTAGAGATGGTGAAAGAAGTCAATGCATTGAGTGCTATCCTAGGCCATGGAAGCGAGGGAAGTCATATCTTCAGCGCTAATATACTTAGAGGCTTCAATGTTGTATTTAGCGATGCTGTTATTCATGCCATGCGAGTATTTGAAGGACTTTCGTCTTCGGCCTGGGCGGAGGAAACCAGGCGACGTTGATAATATGAAAAGGTTGTTCCTGGACCAGGTAGATATCTTGGGATCTTCATTCAAATCAGCAACCACGTCAAATACCCGCGGTATACCCTAGTCCCGCACGATATTCTGCCGGCCACGAAGACGATAAAGTTGAACCCTAGGCCCAGCTATCAGAATGCCGAACATCTCTTGTGGTTTGATTCCCTGAGTGGCTCGGGCATGCGCCATATACTGCACCAGCTGCCGGCGATGTGCTTCCCAGTCCACCCTAGCCGAATTTGCGGCTGTGCTGGGAAGAAGTTTGGATTTAGTGAAGACCACTTCGTCCCGCACCATCCATATGAGTTAATGCGTGGTATTTCTGATCCTATGCGTGATATCCATACGCTCGCGTAACAGTGGGAAGCCAGCATTTTCCGGTCTTCCTGGATTATATAGCATGTCAGCGTGATAATTTGCTTTCGTTTACCTCGTAGACGGCTTGGGAGTTTCCAGAAGCCCCAGTTTTAATATCATACTGGATTTGGGTTCCCATAGACAGGCAACAGCTTCATCCTACAGAAGTGATTGTTTTCAAGATGAGGTATTATCTTGATCTATTCTTGGGAGTTGTTTAGCCCCCACAAGACTATACGATGATCTAGGTCCAGTAATAAAAAATGAGTCCTGCAATAGCTAGTCCGATCATTTTCACAGGCTTATTTTGTAAAATGGAAAAGTGCACTTAGCTTGTTCAATTAGATTAAACTATGAGATAAATTAGGACTATCGGAATCATTTGGGCGGCTGTGAGTGTGCAGATTGCCCATAAGGGAGCCCGACAATTCCTGAGAAAGTTTAAAAACCACTTGTTGCTGGTCCTTTGGTTTGCAGTTGACTTATTTGTCTCGAGAATTTCAGGCATTGTCATGATAGGACCGCCTTGTTGTCACTATATCAGTGCTCAAGCAATATTGGTATATTCATTGCAGCTCACCTACTATACAGCCAACCCCCAGTTGACGATCTGGTCGATACGTGTCGACGTTGTAGTCTCTTCTTATGCTTGGAGATTTATCCCAGCAAGCCGTCCTCATCTGGCTGTGGAAATTATGAAACCGCCATAGAATAACTAACGCAGGAATTTGCAAGACATATAGTCAGCAGCGGTGTCTTCAAAATAGCCAGTGTGCTGTAATACGAGCCATTCTAGCCTCAATCCTGTGGGGTTCGCTAGGACATTAAGCAATTGTGCAAGCTTGAAGGCGTGCCGTTGCTGATGCTACCAGTCAAATGCAAACGCTTCTTCATCTAATTTAGTGACAACGAGTGCTGTTGGCTGGTTAGGCCGAAATAGCAGACGTCACAAATATGGTATTCGGGACGTTGGGGTGACTGAGCATTACGCTTCCGACCTTTTTTGTTTTCTTTTTTTTTTCAGGGTCCTAGCGTAACGATACCGAAACCTATTATATACTCTCTCCCGGTAATCAAGCTAGCCAGGCCACAGGGGAGCTCGCGTTGAGTCCGGACTGCTCCCGGGCGGCGTATATATACCCTCTATATATGCTCCCTAGGAGATCCCATGGCTCATCGGAGACAAGTGTATCGATCAGTCGTGGTACAAACCTGGAGACATGGCCTAGGGTTTTATTGATGGTAAGCAATGATGTCTATCACTGAGATGGTGACGTGAGAATCTCTTCCGTTGTACAGGCACCCATTGAAAGAAGGCTTCTCTGTCAACTTTGTTGAGCAGTTTACTCAAGTCTTTCGTCATGAGTTGATTCTCGAAATAGAAACCAGAGCAATGTTGATAAAAACCCACAGCTCCCCGTATATATTAACCAAGTTGGAAAATGGCAGCAACTTATTAAACAAGAAAGCCAACATGTACCAAATCTCAGTACATTTTCATGAAAGTAGCCGGATCTGTGCGAGAGTTCGGTATTTCTAGAGGCACGCTGGCTTAAACTGAACGTCGTCCGGCCGTTGAATATGACACATATTCTGAGATTCTATGGAAACCACGAATAATGGGATAGTCAGGACCAATCAGTTCAGAGCTTACCACATATGGTGTCAGGGATACTGCGTCCTAAGCGTAGGCAAATGTCGTTATTGAGCTATTATATGAAATAAGTAATCAGTCTCTAGAGGGGCTTCCGTAGCATGACGGCTATGTATAACGTACCGTCATGGTCGCCTCAGTAGACAACTACTATTATTGCATTCCGTCAAAATTGCTTCCTGGTTGCTTGCGCAAAACGCAAACAGGTAAAAAAATATCCACTTTGCCCTTTTCTTTCATTTATTGGCCCTCCAACGTTTTCTTCTGAGGTATCCAACCTCATTTACCTTTAGGACGCGAAGACGCTGGATTTCCTCGCACATAGATATGACACCGCAGCCTGTGGTTCTATTGGACTATTACTGTCATGATATGTACTGTTGTATATCAACAGCAGTCGATAAAGCACCCAAAATACCTCACCTGCGCAAAAGACTGTCATTTCGGGCAGGGCTTCCAGGCGTCAGTCAGACCACATTCGCGACGTATGAGCCATTTGGCCCATTGTGACAATGGGAAGTACGTCTCACATTTATTTGATCAAGAAGCTATTGCTGCTCAATGGAATTTTCTGTCTCATTGACGTCTGCGACAGCGCCAAAGTAGCCCGGTGATTATAGCGGCATTGTCATCCTATTGTGGCATGTCTCTATAAGAAGCCAAATAAAAAGGGAATAAAGTGGCTTTCACCTCATCAAGTACTCCATAAATTCACTGCCCAGAACCGACAAGGACTTGTATGGTGCAGCAGCATCCTGGAGTAATTCAAGGTCGATTAGATATACATTAACCTCTTGGCCGTATCGCAGCTGATGATCGCTTTTTTTTATACTGGGACTCACGGCCTAGTGATGATTTGGGGCCAGCTTGTATAGAAGATATTTGTTGTGGACCGCTTCAGTATATCCAATCATTTTGGCAAAGGTTGTTAAGGTCAGGTAAGGTAGGCACGTCGATTATCGTTCGAATGTGTGATGCTATAACTTCCTTAAGCAAGATAAGTTTCTCTTCCTGCTAGGTACTCACTGGAAGAATGCCTCGCTCTACATGATGAAATGGAAGATGAGGACTCGCTCCCAGAGCCTCTCCACAGCGAGCAAAAAAGCCAGGGCACCCTCGCCCTTCGATTTACATCTTGCACACCAGTCACCCCGGTATTCTGACAGGCGAATATCATTCAACAAAATAAAACGAACGTTATATTGACAAGGAGGATGTACTGCAAGAAGCAATTAAATGCGCAGTTGGTATAGGGCTGCCACTGGGAGTAAGCGTCTTCTGCTTCCCGTATCTATGGGCCTAAGTCGAGCTTTCCGCCAATATTTTGTTGGTAATTTGATCATGAGTAATTAAAGCTGTAACCATATGATTCCACAGGAAATTTGCTGTCTTCGTTAGAGGTTCCGCACGAGCCTTTCTCTTTCTTCACTGGCAGGGCCGCGCGAATGGAAACGGCTCGTACCTGTATACCATAAAATGCGCGACATGTTCTCGGGTATACTCAAATGGGGCACTGTAAAGTCGACTGGGTTTTGTTCCCAGATATTAACGCGTGCCGGGTGCAGAGAACAAACACCGGCCTCTTTCCACTTGCAACCACAGCACAAAATACCCAGTATTTCAGAGAGCAGTCATCGTTAAACAAGGCCATAGGGGTGTTGTTTGTTTGGGCGAGGCAAAGGAAAACGGTTAGCAAGGGAAGCAATCTAGAGCCGTCCGCAGATTTTCCGCTTAGCACGAGGCTGCTCTGCTTGTTTCATACATGAGCGGAGCTCTAGGTCGAGCCTGTTCCAGTTGTATTCCATTTGAAGATATTCCATTGCTTTTAGCTTCCAAAACAATTCGAGAACAGTCCGTTCTCGTAGTAAATACCGAGCACGATGGATCAAGGATTAGATTGATATGGATTTCTCGGGTACTTGGAATCCAGTTTCTGAATATAGATCGATAGACCAGTGATGTGTGATCTTCATGTCCAATCAATTTATCATATCTCAGCAGGCAAGGCAATATTACCATCTGAGTTGAAGCAGAGTCTGGAATTTGCGTCCGCCGAGAAAGTGAAAGAAAGAGGAAAAAGCCAAGAAGTTAATACCGGTGCTGATGAGGCTAAGACAGAAAAAAAAGTAGAAGAGAAAACGAGAGATCAACGGCACCATTCACTGAATGCAATCACTATAAAAGCAAGACCATTCCTAGACCGCGGATAAATTTATACGAGTCAGGATGACAGGCCACCGTCAACACAAACTCAGCCCATTCCTGGAACGCCCGAGGACGTGCCAGGGAACGGCACGTGCATTGCCCGAATTAAGGTTAAGCTCATATCAAGTTAAATATACAGAGGTCTACCAGCATCACGAGTATATACATACGGAGTTGTAGAATAAATTAGAATGGATAAGTAGAAGTCCTTTCTTCTGCGAAACACATTTACCCGAATAAAATGCCATACGTACTGTTATTTCCGAGCGTCGAAAAAGAGATTAAGGAAAACCAAGCCAATAATGAAGAATACAAATAACAGAAATATAATGAACCCCCTTATCTCGTGCAATATCAATCAATCATATCCAATCAACAGCCTCCAGCAAACAAATTATCGTTCATCGTAAGTCCCAAGCCCGGAGGGGAAAAACCGTTCGGAAAGAATGAACAGAGAGAAAAAAGAAGCAAAAAAGAATACACAAAAGAAAAAGGAAAAAAAAAAAAAAGACCATTCATCGCAGATCATGTGTCATAATTATTTGTCGTCATAATTCGTAAAACGGTTTTAGTTTTGGTTTCGGGTTCAGCTTGTCGCGTAAAAGAAATGGAAACGAATAAGTGGAGTGGATCACAGAAGACCTATCACTTGAGGCCGGTGTAGCGCAGGTTAACGCGAGGAGAGAAAGAGAAAAGGATCCGCAACGGACAGGACGTGGCACGTTCAGATATTGAGATACGTATCATCCACCGAGAACCGTGTTCACCGGCACCGCGTGTTGCGAAACTTTTGTGGAATGGAGAATGCCAGCAATCGAGACAATTGTCGTACACACTTCTGTAAGACCGAGGTTTTGGTGTCGTTTCGGATGTGTCGCATGCGATTGAAGTAAAACGAAAAAAGAGGCGTAGCTGACGAAGAAAAGAAAAAAAGAAAAGAAGAAAAAAGAAAAAACGGGGCGACGAGATACGGAGTAATCGCAAAAGCAATCGCAACACCATCACAACAAAGTAAAGTAACCAAACAAGATAACCACCCTAACCGATTCAAGTCAAGCCAACTCAAACCTAAATCAAAAGCGTTGTTGGGGCCATAGTTGTCCCAGGTATGGGCCGCTGGCTTTGGCGCAGTTCTTATGTTGTACAGGATCTAACATCTTGATCACGACCTCGGCGGCGTCTTCTCTGGCGTTGTTGAGGTAGGGTCCGTCGTACCAGTATCGTGCTGCGAATGTTTGACCTTGGATCTTGACCGTGCTGGACCAGGCTGTGCGGCCTCCTGGAGAAGAAAAAAGACCATCAGTATCGCCGGTTGTTGTTAAAAGTCGGTGAGCATTTGATTTCTTGAGCTCCACCTTATGCCGATACACACAATAGGAAATGCTCGAAATTGGAGAAGGGAGGGGGGGGAATGACCGGTTCAGACCGGTTATGTAGGGGAATCACAGGAAGAAGATAGAAAGAAAACAGAGAAAACGAAAACAAGAAATAAGAAAGGGAACGGAATATACCTCGACGATCGGAAAAAATGTGAAAGGTTGGCGTTTGGAAGTTGGACTTTTTACAGTAATCTTGGACATCAGAGTCAACCATCATTCTGGGGGATAATGTTTCCAATCAACACGAGGGACAATATCATGACATACCTTCTAGCTGGTACTGCCAGCGACCACCGGTCTCTTCGAAGTTCGGATCATGAGACATCGTTGCAATTGACTTTCATACCAAGGTAAAGAGGGAACACTCCGGCAAATGTTTGGTCCGCCTGTGGTGACCAAAGAAAAGCGAGTGTATATATATATATGTGTGTGTGTATCAAGCCCACACGACACCTCGACCGTTAGGGATAAATCGACTGTGGAGCGATAGTCCGGTAGTAAACGGAAGAAGAAAAGAAAGAGAAAGAGAGAACGATGTCCGACAAAAGTCAATTGGAAGAACGAGGGTTAGTTTTCCTGGAATGATTTTCGCTTTTCAGACTTTTCTTTTCTATCTTGTCCTGTCTGTCTTTTGAACGATTTTCAAGAAATTTGTATGGGAAGCGGGGAGTCAGTCATATAAACTGTGGATCATGAATCAAAAAACCCCAAAACGGTTTCGTTGAAAAAAATTTTTCTTTTTTTTTTCTTTCAAAAAAAAATATTTTTCAATGTTTTTTTGTCATGGCAAACACGGGGCCTGACCAGCAAACCTAACAGAAGGGGCTTATGCAGGTTGCTGTGGACATGGGGACAAGACAGCGTCATCAAATTTTCCTTGCCCCTCCGAGTCTTCTCTTATCTGCCCACTTGAGGAACCGCAAGTTGCATGGGGAACATGCGGATCATTTTGAGGCTGCAAGCTGGAACGGCCCGGCGCACGCCGATTGAATGTGCACCCTTGAAGAAACGCCAGATAGAACCAGGGAGAGGGAAGCACTAGTCTCCACCCTCAGCTCAGATCCATTCGGTGACAGGGCAAGAATTGACAAAAAGAAGAAGCAAAGAGATACAGGGCCGATACAAGGCGACAAGGTAGATGCAATTGACCGGCATACAACAGCCAACGGTTTCCCTGACGGTTTTTGGACAACTCAGAACACTATCTTTTGCTTTCTTTTTTTCGCTTCCCTCGCTCAATGGTTATGTTGTGTCCGACGAGTAAAGCAACCGATGTCCATGATCGGGTACCCAAAGAAGCGGAAAAGACAGAATTGGTCCAAAACATAAAGAGCCAGGGGAAAAAAGCCAACGGGAACGCTCCCGACTTGAACGGGGAAAAGTAAAGAGGTCTTTCTGGAACGAAAAAACAAAAATACTGGAAACCGCCCACCAACCACCTATGGAGGGGTAAAGTAAAGTAAAAGTTGACTTGACTTCTCGTTGCCCAAAAGCGGAGAGGGCTCCATCGGAAAAAACACAAGAGCGACGAATTGAAGCCAGACTCAACCTGTTTGGAACCACATGGAGGACCGCAAAGCGGGCCCCGCGAGGCCACAATTGAATTGCCAGCTCATCAATCAATCCAGCCGGGTCCAAGTTGTCGAGACATTTCAAGGCTTGAAGCGCACCCGTTCCTCTTTTCCTTTTTTTTTTTTTGTCCGGCCAACTAACTAGCCACACAAATTCTCTCCACCGGGCCGCTTTGCATGAACGGGGAATCATGGGAGAAAATGTCTGCCGTTGTCGGAGGGTGGCAGATGAAATCGGACGGTCGAAGAACGGTTGATTGGAACATGACTCTTGTCCGTCTTTTCTCAAAATCGACGTCTGCAGGGGACTGAGTCTAGGTTGATGCCAGCAAAGTTGGCACAGGAAAAATAAAAGTAACGGAGTTAAACGGATCTGATGTACCCTATTGCATCTCCGATAGAGGAATGGTTATGATTCGCTGGTTACATGTTGTGGTCTCCGCGGTCTCGTTGTCGGATGCAGGCGTTAATGCCCAACATGATGGCCTTCGTCTGTATCGAGACATCATTTCACGATCATCGAGGTGAACCATGGAAATCAAGTTTCGATAACCGATGTAATAAACGTCTCCTATCCAATGATTGGGTTAAGGCGTCGTCAAGAAAGCGCCGGACGCTGAAGCAAGAGGGAGAGAGGGAAGGGATAGGAGGAGCGTAGAGGCTCAACTGCCCCGCAGTATCAAGTTCGGTACTCTTCCAGAGCCAATGGAATCAGACATACCCAAACAATGCAGACAGAGCTGGAACTGTGAATTGAAAAAAAAAAAAAAAAAAAAAAAAAAAAAAAGGAAGAAAGAAAGAAAATCAAATGTACAGAGACAAGAACAAAGAAATGAAAAAAACAGGTGTCGAAATTGATATCGTGCCTCGTGGTCCAATCAATCCCTCACCCGTAGCAGCAAGTATCTTCCCCGTATTCGGTTATGGTTCATCCCATCGTACTCAATACCACGGTGGATGCATGACAAAAGCACTTACATCTGGTCCGTTCCAGAACAAGGTCAGCCTGGAGAGTCTGTACAAAAGAATCTATTTGTCCGGTTCATGGGGACGGAGATCCGTCTCAGGCTATTTTTGCAGACAGGTGTCACTGCGCAGTATACATGCTGATCATATATATAACCAAAAAAAAAAAAAAACAAAACATAAGATGTCTGGTCCAATAAAGCAGTTATTAGTCCAAATGCAAGACACATCGGCGCCTAAAAGATTGATATAGCCGCCCAACCCTAAATAACCAAGATGCCTTAAGTCCAAAAGTCCAAGATGTGATATTAAACAAGAGAGAAATTAACAAAAGAAATAGCCAGTCATATGCGTTGTCGTCAAGTCATTAGTAACATAGGGAAAGTCTAGGCGTAAGCTCAGGTCGATGCAGATGCGCAAGGGTGATCGAAGGCCGAATGCGAATGTCACGCGAGATCTCCAATCAAAACAGGGTTTCTCATTCCGACAGTAGTCCGAGATCCTCTTCTGTGCTCGAGGAATGGCGGTGGGATACTGTGCTGGCAGCCCCCGCGATTTTATCAAGAAAAGCTGCAGTCACTCTCGACCACCATCCCTTGCCATGTTGCACCGCCCGAAAATAACATCCAATATAGCTTTCCTTCGTGGTCGTAATCATCATATTCGTCATAATTATAGCTCATGCTGATTCCCGGCGGTGAAACACTTCATCGATGAGGCGCTTTGGTCCCAAAAAGTCGATACTTTTGGAGGAAAAGGCCTTCATCGGGTCCAAAAGATGGGCAGACCGACTGGAATGCCAACGGCGGCGGATGCAGTCGTCGACCAAGACAATCAACCCAGTGGCCACAATTGCACTGCAGATAGTTTCATTAGCTGCAGCTCTGTAAGAAAGAGGGAGGGGGCGTGATCTACTTACTCCGCAACATCCGTCATCCTCTTATACTCCGAAGGTTCACTGATCCACAGAGATGATGGCGGTATCCAACCGCCCTTGTCCTCCTCTTCGATGGCTTCCATGGGAGTCATAATATCGGGGACCAAGTGGGCGACTGTCTTGGACGTTTGCATGTTGACCAAGTAATACGATACCAGGTCACGCAAATTGCCCTCCTTTCGGCATTGTCGTCGCCATTGATACTTGGTTGTCCAGTACTCGAACTCGTAGTGTTTCGATATCCCCCGTTTCACCTCGACGTGAGCATAGTTCGAGAATTCCATCATCGTCGTGTCAACAAATGGCATTTGCTCTCGATCATCATCGTCTTGGTCAAATTCTTCATCAGTCGGAACGATTGGTGCGTCGTTCACAGATTTTGATCCCGAATCCCTGCGTCTTCTGTCTGGAGACACATAGCCTGATCGCAGACTAGCTAAAGCAGTACTCCACGAACGAGTCAATCGCTTGTCGAGGCCAGGGGATGAAGCCCTCTTTCTCTCGGTGTGGCAGACCTCGCGACCTGAGTCGCGACAGTAGCGACGGAAAGAGAATTTCCTCGAGAACAAGTCGTACATGCGAAGATGGAATAGAGTGATATCTTGCTGGAACCCAGCCCGGTGTGGAACCAAAGCATCCACGCGCAGGTTCATGTTCCCATCGAGCGTCGAATCATCATGTCGAATAAGAAGCCGTCGCGACGAAGGAAACAAGTCACCAAAGCTGAGCGGATTCGACGGAAGCGGATCTGTGGGGAAGAACTCAGGTCTGCGGTCGACAACCACATAGCGAGGTTCCTCCTCCGGAAGTTCTTCGGGGAGGGTTGATGCGTAGGTTGAGGCAGAATTTTTAGGGCCAATCGCGAACACTTCATCATCGTCGTCGTCGTATCCGACACCCTCGAGCACTCCTTCATCGTCGTCCTCGGGGTCCACAGGCTGCTTTTCTTTTTGCTTAGACGTGGGCCGATGATCGCTGTAGATCGTAGGGGCCGTGCTCTTCGAGCGCGCGGAAGCTTCACTGTCCGTTGAAGAGCTGGTACCTGGTCGAAAACAGCTGTGGCAGGCACGACGCGACTTTTGGTAAGCTTCCATGATGGCGCGAATATAACAACGCCAACGCATGCGGACTCCGCGGTAAGTCGAAATAATCTTGCGACGGGTTCCGTATATAACTCTGGTTGGCCGCGGTATGAATGCGGGCCGCTGAATCGGGAAGGGTAAAGAAAATGGTAGTAAACAAAGCAAATTATACACAGAACAAACAGAGCTCAATCATGCAGTCGGACAAAAATGAACATTCTCTCAAGTAGAAGAAAGAAGAAAAAAAATAAGTCACGGGGTTCGAATAATCTGCGAGACTTGTGTGTTATATGGTCGACAACACATTCGCGATTCACATGGGCGGATGTGGATAGAGGCAAGACACGATGGAAAAAGATGTTTGGGTCCAGTGTTGCCGGGGAGAGTTCTTTAAAAATAAAAGGGAGAAAAAATAGAAGACATGAAAACAGCGGTATCCAAGTCTAATAATAAGAATGAAGCAAGAGAATCAGGAATGCCGCCCAGAGTGAGCAAGCCAGGCACACAACACAGGTAAGGCAGAGGCAGTGTAGTAGAGGTGGATATGGCAGCAGCAGCACCGGCAAAGCGGAAGAGAAATTAAAACAGGGCGACAATTTGGGTCCAAAAGAAAAAGGAAGAAAAAAAGAAAACATGCGGGATTTGAACATTAAGTGGCGCAGGAAAATAAGATACAATAAGATACAGATGATGCCGGAAGACACGTTGATCGCCCAAGTATGAAGAGGAGCACTGAACTGTCCTACTCTTTTTTTTTTTTTTTTTTTTTTTTTAAAAAAAAAAAAAAAAAAAAAAAACCACCGCCGGTCTTAGTCGGGGCTCCTCCACAGACAGCCGCATTCTTGGGGCTTTGCTGGGATTGGCATCCTTGGGTGTCAGAATTGTTTCTTATATCTTGTTTTTGCCGTGGGATGAAGAGCAAAGCCCGCGAAGATGATAATCCGGTCGGTGTCAGGCTGTCAGCCAAATCCGTGATACAAATTTTCCCTCTAAAAGTGACGCCGACTGGAAATAGTGGAAATAGAGAATATCCATTTGACACATAGCCACGAGACAAGCTATTGCCTCACCAGCAGCCTGACATCCACCCCAATGGACACCGACCCCGAAGATCTTAAAAGGATCTCTCCCATTCGCGCCTGACGTACAGGCCCTGCAACCACCTCATTCCAGAACTTAATAAACCATCCGGCGGTCGAGCGTATTACTTGGCACCAAGTGTTATATACTTCACATTATTGACATGGCTGCTGATCAGAGAGGCCGCAAACCGGAAGGATGACTATTATGGTAATATTAATCAGCGTAGTTATCTTTACGGCCAGCCATTAATGTTGACGAGAATATGTAATCCCCGGACTCTTATGAGTGCTTTATTATCGGCCGAGCGGTATTACAATAGCAAAGCAGCGCCTAATCCGGCCCCCGTCGCAATGAGCTACACCGTTTGTGGAGAGAGGTCGTGCGGTGTATGTGTCAAATGAATCACGTTCACGGAGAGTACAGTGCGCAGTTACCATTACTACCCCTGCAGGCTATACCCGATTGTTTCACCTGTCATGCAGGTAGGCAACAGGATCTCAAATTCGGTTTGTTGGGCCTAAAGACCTGGAGAGTACGGAGTAGACTGGAGAATATTCTCGTCCCAGACTTCAATGGTTCTCCGACTGCGCCTTGTGGCTGCCCAAGAGGGCGCAGTCTCGATTCTATTCGAATACAGGCAATATTTATAGCGTTATGAAGGCTGAAATCCATTGAGCGTCGCAAGGCGGACATTACACTTGGGAGCACAATTAGGCGACGTTTGTACCACGGTACAACTACGGATCGGACCGAATCACTGACCGTCGGTTATTCTCCCTCAACAGGGATTCCGATTTCGCTCGTAAATTATCACACGCATATCTGACCACTCAGATTCGCGTGCAATGCGATGACAGCTAGATTTCACTAATCGAGAGTAGGGACAGCATTCCTGCGTACGGAGCAAGAAATATCCTGCCATGACATGACATCCCACCTCATGATCATCCTGTTCAGGGCGTGTCCATTCACGCTGAATTGGAGGGGAAATGGTCCGATCGCTAGCGGATCGTCTGGGAATCCGGAGGTTTTGAAGAATTATGACATCATCGCGTCTTCCGTTGTTATTCCTATTCGGGAACTAGGCCCGTTACAGCTGGTTGACGCTACCATCTGGACTTGCGCAGTAGATGTTCCATGGCTCCTTGACACTAGGCACCTAGAAGAAAAATTTCTCCAACGATGGTCATCGCTTCATAATTTATACTATACTGCTCAAGACCGTAGTCAAACTAACCCACAGACCACCATAACAACCCAACATCATGCGAAACAGCATGCCAAACGAAGACCACCAAGCCTTCTACTCCCTCCCTCACTCCCCTCGCACCATCTTTCTCTCCACCGGCTGCGTAGCCACCTACATCCTCATGAACAACCTCACCAGGCCCCTATACTCTTTCTTATACAACATCTCCGGCTTCATCCGCGCCGCCAATCTCAGCGTAATCCCATCGTCTTGTGCGTATGCTGTGGTCTTCGATCCGGAGACGGCTAATATAACGGAGAGACGGGTTGAAGGAAATGGGAAACGCAGACGTGTCATCACGGTGAAAAGGCCGTTGGTTGAACTTGAGGGGTATAAGTATCGCGAGAAGTCGCCGGAGCATTTGGGGGATGTTTGGCTCGATGGTGTTCGGCATGAGAAGGCGTTAGTTCGTATTGGTAGAGCGGGTTAGGTTTGCGTTAGCTGGTGTTGGTACTGGAGTGGCTTTTGAATGGATTGGATGAATTGGATGGATATTGCTTACTGAGTTTAATGTCGTCTTCGGAAGCCCTTTCTCATCGCCGTACGTTACCGGCTTGACCTCTTGGTTCTTCTATTGTTGCTCTCATTCAGGAAGCATAAACGCCTCGATACTTGTAGCGGCTACGAGGACAGAGAATGGAGCCCCTGATTAACAACCCCTTGCCCTACATCTATATACCAGTGCGTGTAGATAAAGAGTCAATCAGTCACATAATGATATATTCACTGCATGTGATGTTGTAGTTCGTATTATTCAGGCAAAAACAGACTGCTAGTGCCATCTTCTCTTTCATCACAACCTCGAAATCTCGACACATACTACTCCGTCATCAAGCTCTTTTCAGCTCTCAAAGCTCCATCACAAAAAACAAATGATAATCTTAGAGCACCATCCCTCCCAGGACAAGCCCAAGGAAGCCAACATCAATATGCCAAGCCACAATCACCAAACCTTTTACAACTGCCCTCACTACACTTCCCATGCCTTCACTTCAATCGGTCTTTTCGCTACCTCCTACGCCCTCCTTAGCGGCAACACTTGGGCTTATGCTGGAATAATTCGCCGCTTCGAGCTCGGGTATATTATTCTGACATATTTTTGGGTCACTATCTTCAATCCGGAGACCGCGTGGACTACTAAGAAGCATGTTGGGAGAGACATTGAGAGCGGTGAAGGAAGCTTTGTTAAGGTTAAATGGCCGTTCGTCGGGTTCAAGGCTTGCGAATATCGCGTCAAGACTCCAGAGGCATTAGGAAATGATTGAATTCGTGGGATTCAGCATGAGAAGGCTTTTGCGTTTGAAATGGGAAGAGTTGATTTGCTTCTGTCTGTTGGCGTGGTGTCTGTTCGGTTACTATTGTAATTTTTATGGGTGTTATTTCGACAGGTGAAATGGGTTTCACTGGCACGTTGTAGTTGGGATCAATAAACTTGTTAAAATGGAGTGTGATTATACTTGAGCCTATCGTCTCTATCAAGGATACCTAAAACTAGTCCGAAAAAAAGTTCCATGGTTCCAATCTGTACACTGTAGTAGTAATCTGCATCAGGCAGAATGCTCTGCAGGAATATACTCCACCTCTCTCTAGAATGCTCAAAACTGCAACATCAGGGTAAAAAGCCACACTCTTCAAGAGACTCCAACATGGTTAGTGAAAACCAACAAGTATTCTACTCCCCACCCCATGGTGTTCCCTGGCTCGCTGACTCGATCGGCTTTTGGATAACCCTCTACGTCTGCCTCAACATTATTGCACCCCATGCACCTTTCCACATCGATCTTCAAGAGACTTATCTATCGATTTTCCTCAACTCCCTCTGTATTGGTTGTCTCATCAATATAGCTCTATTGTGTGTTCTGTCCATTATGTTCGATCCGAATACAGCACATACCACAGAGAAGCAGGTTGGAGGCGACGGTGAGGATGGGAGTGGGAGTGGTATATCGCAGGTGATCAAAGCCAAGCGGCCCTTTTTTGCATTCAAGAGATTGAAACTATGTGTGGACATATCGGAAGAGATGGGGGATGTGTGGTATGATGGGGTATGGTATGAAGGGGCTTTCTTCGAGATTTGATGATGGGTGTTCATTTGTCTTTGCGGGATTCGGTTGGTGTTGGGGTTGAATAGATTGGGTGCATCTTGTTTTGCTAGTTTGGTTGCTCAATAAGTTTAAGAGATGGTCTTGTTGAGATGGAAAACGAGTCACTTATATCGGAGTCTTCGAGGTTGGACTTATATACTTATTGCTGCATTTTACTAGTTGAGCATATTACTGGAGTCTAAGTACCCATTTTATTCCTTTTTGGGGAGCGTCATCTCAACCTGGTTCAGAGTTGAGAGATGTGTTCATTTGGTCGTTTACTTTAGCTCACGCCAGGGGAGTGTATAGCTAGCACAGTTGAACTGCTGGGATATCGTTTATTGAAGTTGCCGGCGTACTTACTGGCAGAGCTATGTTACTCGAGCATGTTGCTTCTATTTTTACCGAATAGTACTGGAAACATTGCCATTTCTGAATGTGTTTAGGAAACATGACCCAAAAAGGATCCATTTAAGTCAAGGTTTTGACATTAGGCAGACAACCCTATCTCTATCTTAAAACAACTGCTTTCTCAAACTATTTTACATCAACTAAGTCAAGCACATAGCGAATCGAAGTAACGCAACATGTCAAACCAGACTTTCTACACCTAATCTTACACTCCTTCCTACCTCATGTCCATCAGGCTTACTGTCACTTCTTACGCTATTTTAAGCTCCATAGTTGGGCCCTCCACCATTTTAGCCATTATCCGCACCTTTGAGCTAACGTTCGTATTTGACACATGTATACTCGCAGTATTCTTGACCCGGACATTACATACAGCACAGAGGAACAGATTATCTACAGTGAGGAAAATCTGGATGTAGCAGTTAGCGGAGTTAACCGTGAGGGCGGCCGTAGAGAAAAACGTAACATCACGACTATACGGCCGCTGTTTGGATTTAAGCATTTCAAGTATTGCTTAGATACGAATGATACGCCGGAGGACCTTCAGGCAGATGGGGTCCTCTACGGAGAGGCGTTGTTTGAGATTTGATTGAGTAAGGACAAGACTTGATCCTATGTGTGCTGGTTTTTGATTTGTTTGGTTTATTGCTATTTCTCCCGGCACTTTTCAAGGGCGATTCTTTTTGAGTGTCAAGTTTGGAGTGGCTTATAGAGGTTTATAGAACTCTCAACGTCCATGCTGGACTAAAATACAATACCTGCTAACGCAGACAAATAGGTATATACTGCCAACAGAAACCATAGTATTCAATCTAATGGAGTTAAACAAAGAATAGGAGTTTGCGGCTCCTACTCCGTACCTGCCCTTACTCCGCATGGCCATTGCTCTTTCCATTCACTATCAGTATCACTAAACCAAAAAAAAAGGCAGAATTGCAAGGCCACTTTTCTCACTGCCGTAATCGTCCCCCGCGTCATTATCTTAGTTGATTCACATACTACCTACAAATCCTCCTACCACAGCGCAAGATGGCATCCTCATGCCAGATCCTATACATGGTCCCGTATGAGCCTACTCTCTTGTTCCTCCTTATTCTTCCCACAGTCGCCATTTACGCCTTTCTCTTGGCTATCGCCGCCCTTTTTTCGCCTTGCATCTGCACCGTTCTGACCATTACTCGGGGTATTCTACTCGCGTTCATCGCTGTTGTTTGTCTCCTCGCAATCATCCTCGATCCGAAGGCCAACTACATCTCCAAGAAGACCATCGCTAGGACTGACAATGAAGACATCACCACCGACTCTCACTTCGTCCCTTCCTGTCCTCCCATCAAGGCCAAGCAATGCACCGCCATCATGACTGTCGAGGGGAAGGTTGTGGGCTACGTGGCCGGCGGTCACGACGATAACTCCGGCAATAAGGACGCTATCATCTACGAGGACGGTTCTGGAGAAGGAGGAAATGTGGGATACCGCGCATGTGGCCATGGAGAGGAGCGTATTAAGCGGGTTATAAGGCCTTTAATCGGATTCCGGAGCCAGAAGATCGTTATTGACGAAGACACCATACCTCAGGGTGTCCAGTTTAGGGAAATTCTGTATCGTGATGCCTACTGGGAAATCTGATGGCTTATATTGGTTGTCTTTCGGTTCCGTGTCGGTCTAGATCGTTTGTGTCGGATGGTGCTCGAGTGTTTGTGTGTCGGCTTGTCTTGGGGTTTCTCATTTGTGCTGGATGATGTTTCAGTGTTGAAGTTTCGGGTTGCTTGGACATCTCTTGTCCATTTGATTTTTTTTTTTTTTTTTTTTGGAACAATTCTAGCTCGTCAGTATCTCTATGGTTTATCTCGGTTGGCCGGGTTCGTTACTGGCTTTCGTGATTCTTTGAATGATGTTTGGGGTCTTCGGAATCAGTCACGGTTTATATAATAATTACGGCTTATGTTACATTGCCTGCTGGTGAGCAAAAGAATTATAACTGCTTCAAATCTTCATCTTGTGGGGTAGACGACCGTCTCTATTCTGTGCAGAAGGCGGAAATGGTCCATCTGGTTGTTTATTGTTCAGCAATACCACTGAAGTAGCGTGTAGCTGATGCAATCAATTTTATCTTCATGTTTACGAGTTGGTACTCTTCTATCTAGATCTAATGATGGTTTACAAAGTCTACAAGTCTCTGGTTCCTGCCTATAACTCGGCCAGTATCGCTCCTTCCACCAGTCTTGACCTAGTAAATAGACCAAAACAAACTGACAGGGTTGGTCCCTTTTCTTTTCATACCCACAACCTTAACCTCTCATTCTACTCTACTGATTTATTCTAAAATACCAAGCTAAATTCTACCGAATCAGCAAGCAAACGCATACCTCACGGAAACCCGCATCAATGCCGAACCAGAATGTCCAGACCTTCTACCGTCGCCCCTATTCTTCTCTCTCATTCTTCGTCATAATCGCATTCAATCTCGTCACCTATATCTGCTTAAAGCTGGCCACCGCGTTCGTAAAGCCTCAAGTTGCAGTGACCCTACACTTGATTCGTGTTGCCGAGCTTACATTCGTCCTGGGTTTGTCTTTCATTGCGATACTTCTGGATCCTGAAACTACGTTTAGCAGGATGAAAAAGGTCCAAGAGAATGAAGATGGTGAGGGCGGTAGAGGTTCATACAGGTACAAGGTCAAGCGTCCGCTGTTTGGGTTTAGGGATCTCAAATATTGCTTGGATTCCCCGGCTGGAATGGCGGATGTTTGGTGGGATGGGGCACGGTATGAACGAGCTGTGTTTGAGCTTTGATGGGTTGACAGGTTGGAGGGTTTGGTGTGTTGGTGTTTGAGCTGTTGTTGGTTTATGGCTGGGAGATGTTTTGGTGGTTTGTCGGAGGATTCGTCTCGAGTTCTGTGGGAGTCTGTCGGGGGTGTGATTCCGCGAATTTTGGGTTGTTCTTCGACGAAGCGAACTGCGGGCAAAGCTGCGAAGAATATTCAACTGTAATGTTGATTAGGCTATATTCACTTAGTGTTTGTTATGTCCATCGCTCCCGCTTATGGTGAATGTAATACCTCGATAATCTCTTACTGCGCAAGGGCTCTAACAGCTCAATCGTTCGCTCATTACCCAAATATGCCCTTTCTCTGCTTTTCGACCACTCTGAAAGAGAAATACCTAATGAACCAAATAGAATGGAAACCCTTGTGACCATTTGACTGCCATAATTACCCGAAGAAAGCATGTAGGTCTGCGATTCCAATCTGCACTTCCTCCGGACAAGCATCGCTCCTCACTCCGTCCGTTTTGTACCAACAGTAATACTAAGTAGAGAAAACAAATTGCCAAAATCTTCCAAGATTCTTATTCCTTGTTATCAATATCCTTCATCTTGAAACAAGATAAAAAAAAATAAAAAAAAAATAAAAAAAAACAAAAACAAGACAAACCCTCAAAAGCAACTAACAATGTCGGCCTCAACCCAAACCTTCTATTGGCAACCGTACGATGCGCGCGTTGTCTTCATTCTAATTTTGCTTGACATGCTCTCCTATATATATCTTACCTTGGCCCTTACCTTAGACAGCATGCGTGAGCCCCGCCTCTTAGCCCTCGTCGTAGTCATTACGAACTTTGTGACCTACGCCGAGAATAGTTTCGCTATTTTCCTCTGTGTGCTCGCGATCATTCTGGATCCGGCGACGACTTATACTACAACGAGGTTGATTCAATGCTCTTCTGAAAATGGAGAGAACAACAAGGGAAATTTGGAACTGAAGATCAAAGTAAAGAGACCGCTTGTTGGCTTTGAATGTCACAAGTATTGCCTGGAAAGTCCAGTGGAATATGGGGGGTTGATGGGTACAGGTACGAAGAGGGTTTGTACGGATTTGAGATGATTGCTTTTGAGCTGTTGGTTTGGCGCTGCGCTAATTTCAGGTGCTTGGGATTGGTGCTGATGTGCTATGGGAAATGGTTGGGTTTTGTGTTTGTGCGTTAATGCTGGGGTAGAAAGTTGTCTTTTATCGTTGTCTGTTCTAGTCAGGCCATTAGTGATATCCGGCACTTGTTCGATTGTTCTCGAGAAAGCACTGCGTTGGACAGAATGCGGGTGCGGTTTTTCTGATTCAATACTTGAAGCTGCTTCCTTTGCTCATACTTAGTGGCGGATCACATTAAAAATGGTATCTAAGCAGTCTGACTTTTTAGAAACATTTAAAATCACCAACCTGAATGACGGAGCTAAAGAAATCTATTTGAGATTTACGAAGTAGCTAGCTCCAATGAGGATCGAGAAAGCAAAGAAGTCCCTTGTTCATGTCTACCCTAATGGTATCGCTACCTCCATTCAACCAGCACCGCTAAATAGACGAAACAATCGGCCCTGAATTTCTTCGTTCCTGTTGTTCACCATCGCCATCCTCAATCTTAAAGCGTCGTGATTCTAGAAATTATACTACTCTATCAAATTCTTCCAAGTCTTCAGACTTACATCCGAATGAACCTCCCACTCTCTCCTCCATGACATAACATGCCCGCTGCTACCCAGACATTCTACCACCACCCTTATCACCTGTACAAGTATCAAAACTTTCACCATCTTTCCATTTTTCCCTGGATTTTATCAACGCTCGGCACTCAGATTTATCATCGTACTTCGTGCTTGGGTCATCATCATCGATCCGAAGATGACTTGGGCTGCGACTAGGATGGCTGGAGGTGCTCCAGACTGTGGGGAGGGAAACAAAGGAGGAGCCGGATGGAAGATTAAGGTCAAGGGACTGTTTGTGGAGTACTAGTGCATGAGGTACTGTGTGGAAAGCCTGGCGGAGAATGGGAGGTGTGGGCTGATGGATACAGGCACGAGGAGACGCTACTGAAGCTTTGAAATGAGTTGATTTTGCCTGTCGGGTCGGCGCTGTGGTGGTGTTGGCGTGTTGAGCTCGGGGTATTGGTGATTTTGAACGTTTGGGATCTGGTCTATAGTTTGCGCAATACTGCTGGTAGAGGAAATGCTTCTGATTATTGTATGTATAGCCCAATTGATCTGGACCTTTACTTCGCCAATTTTGACACCACAGTATCTAGTAAGGTTGGTCAAGTGGTTCTTGTCTGTTCTTGTAACAGCATCGCTCCTTCAGCTCAATATTTGTACTCCCAAGCTGACAGCAACTTGCATCAATGCTCCTAAAAATCCATCGATCCTCCTCCACCAAAGCTTCTTCCCTTCCATTATTCTCGCCGTCCTCTGCTTTCTTCCAAACTACCTCACATCCTACTGCAAAGCTGTGAATTGCCATCTCTCTTACATACGCCGAATCGCATCTTATCACGACCCGATCCCACATAAAAATATCAAACAAATATGGAGCTTTCCCAACAAGTATTCTACGGACTACCCTACAGTCCTCTTTACTTTCTCATCTCCATCGCACTCCTGATCCTCGACGGTGTGTGTATCAAATGCGTCTACATCTCCGCCTTCACTCTTCCAACCATTGGTTGTGTTTGGGTTTATGGAAAGAAACATAAGAAGACAATTATACGGATGTGATGAGAGGATATGTAAGTGTTTTTCTGCGGTTCTTTTGAGCTGGGTTGGTGATAGTGGGCGTTCATTTTGTTCTGGGTGCTTGTTTCTTTGGTGGGAATTAGGGAGGGCTGCTCGTGTATGAAGAATCATTTTGAAGGATCAAGAGTTGGTAAGAATCCCTGTTGTCGTGTTCGAGAAATTGGTTTTTTTGGTGATAGATGTTAAAGCAGGGATGTTAGGGTCAGGGACTTTACTCTGTACTCATTACCATGCTGGTTGAGAAGTATACAGCCGGATCAGTCGAGTTGGATTTTGTGTTTATCAGTTGACGCTCCTGTATAGATCTGATGAAACTGAATGGAGTAGGTTCCTACTTCTGGCACAGCAAACAATTCTTCTTTCCTACTAACCTCATCATCCTTGCATACGCTGATTGACTTCTTACTCCGAATTACCGACTGAAATCCGACTCTGAATTGCTGATCAACACTTGTACTATAAATCACAACCTCTACAAAGCTCGAGAACCGCACCGAAACAAACAAACCGAAACCCCAACGCTCTCCACATTCTCCAATGATGTTACACCACATCTTCTACACCAGACCCTACACCCCATGCACCGGATTCATCTACATCAACATCTACACAACAATCAACCTGGATGACATCCTCTCCAAGTCCTCCCTCTACCTGCTCAACGGATGGCTGGCTGGCAATGCGGTTGCAATATGCTTCTACAACATTGTCTGTGACCTACTATGTCCTGGGCTACGGAGAGGAGGTTCAGAAGGATGGGCTCCGGTATGAGCGGGCGATTCTCAGGATTTGAGAGATTTGGGTTGGGTTGTGCTGTGTTTGGGTTGTCGTGGTTTGCCGTGGTGGCTTGGTTCGAATTTTGGGTCTGCTGGTGGTCTTGTGATGGGGGGATTCAGTTGCAGGGGGTTTTGGTGAGCTCACTGACACCCTAGTCATTTGGTTGTCTTGCTAAGAAGATAGACAGCAGGGCAGTTATAAGCAGTGTTTACGGCCGGAGGATTGGATGTGGATTGATTACGGATCCATATTTATGATGCTTCGTTATGGGCATGACGATTATGATCATTCATATGTACACAGAACCCAATCCTCGAAGATCTATTATATCAGTCGACAATTAAATCACCGAACAAAACCAGACCCAGCTGAACACCAATCACCGCGACTATCAAACTATACAGTACCCGATGCATCTAGATCTGGGTCGAAAGAGGCGGAGGGAGAGCCTCTCCAGGCTTGATCATAGCCTCCTGACGACAAACCGAAATCAGACCACGCCTGTCAGGAGCTGGTGGGCGAAAGCCAACATAGGCCTCACGCCGCGCCGGCTCCCCTACCGTTACGGACCAGGTGTGCAGGCCGTAATAAGAGGCAATGGAGTGGACAAGCCAGCGACTATCACGGTCAGTACTTTCTCCTTTGCTCCATCGCATAGTATGCACTCACCCAAACCTAGCAGTCCGATCCTCAACCTGACTCTCAAGCACCATCTTCTCACCGTCACGCTCATCATGTGTGTACATCGCCTCGCGTATCTCTTGAAGCCTAGTTTTGTGCGCAGGCGAATCGTGCATTTGCCCGTTTCTTCCCACAAAGACTACTTCATCCTCGGAATCGTCAGACTCTGGTGCGTCTTGGAGGCCCTCCCTGTGCAGCAAAAGCTGCTTCTCATTCCAGTTGTGGATGAATTGTCTGATATCTTCCTCAAGATCCTGGAGCATGCCACGCGCCGCACGGGCATGTTTCAATCTCAGGCGCAGTTCCTTTGGAATGCGGTGCTTCTCTTCCTTGGTGACTGTGGTCTTCTTATCGATATGCGCATAGTGATGGTCCCAAAGAGGGGCGAGGTAATATGGCACGTGCTCGTGACGGGGGTAGGTAGGCCCAACGACCCAGTCATTCGGAGAGGGAGGTTCAGCCCACGGGTTATGGAGTAGACGGTCTTTTGAGATGGTCAGCATTTACGGGATACGTCCAGTACAAACTCGCGGAACAGTTTGACGCGTCGTGGTCAGTAATGAGCGTATATACGCCGCGGCGCTGCGCTTTACTACCCGTTTAACGCTCAAGACATACCGTTCTCCCAACGCTGTCTCCTCCGGCTCCCGTCCTTCCCCTTCTGCAAGGCCTCGCGCCTCCTCAGACTATCCCGACGAAGCGGTTCCCTCTTCCGGAACGATACGGTCGGCACCTTCGCCTCTTGGGGTTCCTTGGGCGCGCTCGTTCGCGTGGCCAGTCTCACGCGCGAGGAGCGGTGGTCAGTCACCGGGATATCATCGAGCGGGATAGTCAACGGGAGCGAAGCGCCACGCAAGGACCGGCTCTCATCATTAACGTCGATGGGTTCAGAGAGAGTGAGGTCTTCCAGCGAAGCTGTCGCCTGTTCGGTCCAGGCGGATATCGCATGGGTTTGCTGAAGTGTTAGGGACCCCTGGGGCGGGTCATGCGGTTGGTGCAGTTCCGGATGAATGGCCATTGTGAACGGAGAGGCGGTCGGAGCGGGTGTTTGGAGAGAGCTTATTTCGGGACGTAGGAGAGCGGTCGTGGGTCAGTATGCACTATTTGTACGCGACAAGATGATGGATAATAGAGGAGAGAGGAGAGGAAGAAGAGCGGGGATGCGAAGGAACAGATAAGACCAAGATAACCCACCGAGCGTGACGCGCCAGAGCGTCAGGATTGGAGGGTCGATGAGTCGATCCTTTTGAGTCAGGGCTGTGGGCACGAGAATGAGAATGCTACATTATTGGCGGACGGTCACGCAGCCCTAGCCCTGGGTCCCTGCGTCGGGATAAATGGAACAATGATAATGCGGTACATGGTTGTGCAGTTATGCAGGCTATTCTGTTGCCTGGATGCCTGGCGGAATGAATGTCAATGAGGTCACCATGTTTACAAGCACTACAATAATATGCTGTACTATGTCCTCTACTGTGTATGGTAGCGTACTCGTATCAGAACCGTAATCCACTATAGAGCCTAAAGGAACCACACCGAGTCCAGACACGCCCAGACCCAATGGAGGATGCCCAGTCCACGCCTGACCCAATCGGGGAGACTAGAGTGAACTGTCTCAATCCATTATTATTGTAAGATATCACCCTATGGAGCACTGTTCCCAGTGGGAATATGTAGACATGTCACTTCGCAGCATATATTGTAACTATTGACAGGCAACAAGACAAAAAAGGTCCTGTCCAACTTGGCACTCCACCCCGGGCGGCTAAACCTCCCTTTGTTGCTCTTCTGGTTTATCATTATTTAGTCTGTCTCAGCCCCGGAAGTCTTGACGCAACGATCACGTCTCGTCCTTTTTTTCTTCTTCTTTTCTTATAATCCATAGCCATAATAATAATAATATTATTGTTATTAGTATTCCTGGTATTCCTTCTGTTCTCTTGATTTCTTTCATTCTTCCTCGCTATTCTATCTATTCTATCCATATCTCCCGTCTCCGCAATGAAGATCACCACTGCGCTTGCGCTGAGCGCAACGGCATCAGGCGCGTTGGGAGCTGTACTTCCCCAGCAGGAACCATTGATAGATCATACAGCTCATGTCCATCATGAACCTGAGAAGTTCCTCATCGAGCTGGCTCCGTATCAAACCAGATGGGTGACCGAGGAGGAGAAATGGGTTCTCAAGCTGGTACGTTACTATGAATCCAATATACTCCGCATTCCAGATAAACCCCAGGACCAGACTAATGGGTAACAATTCTACAGGATGGCGTCAACTTCATCGATGTCACCAGCGCACGCGACACAGGAACATACCCCTCCGTCATCCGTACAACCAACACAGTCCGTTACCCCGGGAAGATGGAACACCGCGACAATGTCACCCAGCTAGCCCGGGGTCTCTCGAAGGAGAACATGAGGCAGAACCTGGAGCATTTCACATCCTACCACACACGCTACTACAAGTCATCGACGGGCGTGGAGTCCGCGACATGGTTGTACGAGCAAGTCGCCGGCCTCGTCACGCAGTCTGGGGCTGACAAGCATGGCGCTACGGTGGCGCAATTCGCTCATCCCTGGGGCCAGTCTAGTGTTATTGCGAGGATTCCTGGACGCAGTGGGAAGACAGTCGTCGTCAGCGCTCACCAGGATAGTATTAATCTGTTCTTGCCGTCGATTCTGGCTGCGCCGGGTGCGGATGATGATGGGAGTGGGACGGTGACGATTCTGGAGACTCTGCGTGCGCTGCTGCAGTCTGACGATATTGTGGGTGGGAAGGCGCCTAATACGGTCGAGTTTCACTGGTACTCTGGCGAGGAGGGGGGTTTGCTGGGCTCCCAGGAGGTTTGGGCGCAGTACAGAAAGGACCGCAGGGATGTCAAGGCTATGCTACAGCAGGACATGACTGGTTACGTTCAGGGAACGTTGGATGCTGGTCGCGAGGAGGCCATTGGTGTTATTGTGGACTTTGTCGACCAGGATCTTACGAAGTTCATCAAGGAAGTTATCACTACGGTAAGCTGACACTTCATATTCTTTGTTGGGCACAAGCTGATGAAAACAGTACTGTGAGATCCCCTTCGTCGAGACCAAGTGCGGTTACGCCTGCTCCGACCACGCATCCGCTAGCAGACAGGGATATGCCGCTGCGATGGCCATCGAGGGTGAAATGGAGAACACGAATAAGAAAATCCATACGACCGATGACCAGATCAAGTACCTAAGCTTCGATCACATGCGCCAACATGCCACAATGGCATTGGGCTTTGTCTACGAGTTGGCATTTGCACCTTTTTGATCTCCTTCTCTTACTTCTTATCCTTATATACCTTCGAAAGACGATATTCCTTGAATCCGGCGTTATGCGACCGCGTCATGGGTAATGATTGCATGTTGTCTGGCTTGTCGGGCCTGTTTGCTTGAAGTGTTCACTTGACCTCACGTTGCTGCATTCTATCTTGCCGTATACCCCTGGTTCAGTACATACGGATAGATTATTTATACTTATTCCGACGCCGCCAAGACGCGATATTATTATTATTCTCATGACTTATTTCGTAAAACACGGGGTACAGTACTCCTGAGACAAGTCCCACGTGACATCATACGTAAAAGTCCTCCGCCAAAATGGCGGCAATTGCCCGCTGTGGCTCTACAGATCACAGCCACACATGTGAATCCGGATTGCAACAAGGAATTTGTTCCTTTTCTCTCATACTCAGGCTCGCTACGGGCCTTGAACATTCCAATCCGTCCGTTGTCCAACGGACTTTCCATGTATGGTGTCATTTATCCTGCTGGTTGGCACGCACGCACAGCTAACACGTACACCAGACCGCCTATTGGGATTAAATCCCAGGCAGATTGAGGGGCAAAAGCAGGTCTCTTTGTGCCGGTATTGATCTTCAAGACCAATTCGATCACCCTTTCTTGATAGTTTTTCAATTGTCACACCGGTTGGGGCAAGATATCTCGGCCCTGCAATTCTACGTCATTGGCTTGATTATCGCATCGCTCTGCCGAGAAAGACTATCATGGACTATTCCGGTCCCTACGCCAAAGAGCTCGAGCTCGCATGCTTAACTGTCCAACGGGCAACGCTCTTAACGAAAAAGCTCCTCGAGGCAGTCGACAAGGGAACACTGGACAAAAGCGATGATAGTCCCGTGACGATTGCCGACTTCGCCGCTCAAGCATTGATCATAGGCGCAATTCACAATGCTTTCCCTGACGATGAATTCGTGGGCGAGGAAGACTCGACAGCTCTGAGACAGGATGAGACTCTTCTCGAGCGCACCTGGGAACTTGCTTCGACATCCCGTCTCGACGATGAGGCCAGTGAGAGCTTGCTCTATGCTCCGCGATCCAGGGAGGAAATGTTAGAGGTTATTGACCGGGGTGCTAAGGGGCAGTGTACCCCTCGCAGCCGTGCGTGGGTTCTGGATCCCGTGGATGGGACTGCGACGTTTATGAAGAACCAGCAGTATGCGGTATGTCTGTCGCTGGTGGAGAACGGGCAGCAGAAGATGGGTGTTCTGGGCGGTCCGAACCTAAATCTCGAAGACGGGCGGATTCACGAAGAAGTCATTGACCATGATGGATATGGCCACCAGGTCTTCGCTGTTGCGGGTGAGGGCGCATGGATCCGGAAGATGAACACGGGTTCGCTCCTCCCTGCAACCAAGCTCGACCCCGTGGCACAGATCACGGACCCGAGTGAGATCCAGTTCGTCGATTGCTCAGCGGCTACATCGTCCAATTTTGAACTTCACGCGCGCGTTGCGAAGAGACTAGGTGCCCCGTGGCCGCCGCGCGCTGACCTCTGGGCCGCGCAGCTGCGCTATGTAGCAATTGCCATCGGCGGGTGTCACGTACTGATGAAGGTCCCTCGCAAAACATCCTACCGATCAAAGATCTGGGATCATTCTGGGGGGATGTTGATTGCGCAGGAACTTGGGGTTATGGTTACGGATCTTACGGGAAACCCGGTGGATTGTAGTTTGGGGCGGACGCTGGCGGGGTGTTATGGGATGGTTGTTGCACCTGCTTCTATTCATGGACGGATTGTTGAAGCTATTCGGGAGACTATGGAGGAATCGGATGATGGCGATGAGTAAACATGGTATTGGGTCGTCGTATCCTTGGTTGGGATGTGAATAAAAGTAGATGCGGATAGACGTCATCATTGCAGTTGCATCATCGACTAGAGTACGAGGACATTGATATAAAAGTTGATATTTTTGCATCTCGATATATTCTTCTAATAGTATTTGTAGATTTTCAATTGGTATAGGAAAATGACATCCTGTAAGTTACTTTATCAAGTCTACTGGATATATACTGATTTCTAGACAACCCATTTGCGCGCCGGGAATCTCATCCCACATCTGCTCTCTCGACATATCGCATTCTCGTCCCTCTTTCATGGATGCTGGTCGTCATCGTGGGAATCTACTACACATTTCACTCCCCTGACGTCAAGCATGGCCATCGCATCTTCAAACAAGGCAACAAGCACACCACGCCGTTTAGCCTGAATGGAACGCTCGCTGGAATCTACTGGTACCCTCCACTATGCCCATACCCATGCGCACATATACTAACAACAATAGGATCCTCATCCTCCTCTCCCAAATAAGCTATGTCTACCATCTTTTCTCCCGACAAACCGCCCTAGTAACCTCCGCCGCCAACATCGCCTCCCACTTCATCCTCAACAACCTCGCCCTCTTCATCTGGATCCTCCTCTGGACCCGCGACCACTTCTGGGGCTCCGAGATCTTTCTCATTCTCAACTTCATCAACCTCCACGCCGCATACTGGCGCCACCGTCGGCTTCCGGCATTCGTGCATCTCCCTGCTATCGCGGGACCGTATGCGTGGACGTTGTTCGGGTTGTTTTGGAATGGAGCTGTTGCAGTGAATAGTGATAAGTTGCCGGCGAGAATTGTGGCGAATGTGTTTATTTGGGTGCTGTTTGCGGTTGGAAGTGGGCATATTGCGTCGACTCAGGATTATATTTTGGGATATTGTTTGAGTTGGTTGATGCTTGGTGAGCCTTCCCTTCATTCTACTAGAGATGCACAGGCTGATTTGAGCAGCATTGGCCGTCAAGCAACTCGCGATCAAGGTTATTGCTTTGCAGTGGATTTTCGCATTCGTTATATTCGCTATTTTCCTGATCGAATCGGTCTATCTGTCTAGTACCAAATACTACGGTCGTGATTCGCTGTTTCGACGTGTGGCGCATCCAGAGACTGACCGTGAGCGTGAGCCATTGCTTAACTAGAAAGTAATGAACGTGTGATATCTGGATCTGGGACTCGGACCATCCCTTAGAGTGTCGGGGATGGGTCTGTTCTTGTGTGGATCTACCGACTGGCTGGATCGATTTATGATACTGTGTCTTGGTTTGGGGTAATTTATTGTGTTTACATATACTGAAGTGTATGGATAGTTCTGTGGTTCTGGGTTGGATGGTGGGCCGATATGTATATATTTCGGAAGTTCTACCCACGGGGCGACGCATATGGCAATAATGTTTACAGGCACGAGGACCGCTACTTGGTACAATTAAATTGAATTAACACTGCAGAAAACAATCCGGAATAACAAAATGCAAATGAACACGCAAGGTACAGCCAGGTTTACTGGTGCATTCACTCGGAATTGCTGCTCGTCGCCCCGCCGCCAATCGCCGTTGCCGTGACGACAACCTTAGAAACAGCCTACGAGCAGCGAGCTTAGCGCTGCGAAACAGCTCAGCTCCGGTTCCTGAATTATTGTCGTGGTTTTAATTTCATTCAAACTGTCTTCATCCCCGTGTCCGTTTTTTTGTGGACGTATTTCCGTGTTGGTTGTTTACTTTTATAAAAGTATCGCCGCCTCACCGTCTATCTACTTGTACACATCCACACCGTTATTTCAGCATTCTTCCGCAGCTCGTGCTTTTGTTTATCTTTTACTTATCGCAGAAGAACAGGTCCTGCAACTATCAGGCTGTCTGTGAGTAGGTGACATTCTTCAACTTCTTCATCCAGTAAGGAATGACAGCGTTGCTAACTGCCGTTCGTCGTTTGTCCTTCAGACTCGAGCAAACGAACTCTCATCTTCTTGTCCTGACCATTTCTCATCTCACTGCCATGATATGAGCAGCTCTTGAGCAAAAGAAACAGGCTTGAACAAACACGCGACGATGAATCCCCACTCATCACGCATGTACTCTCATGCCCGAAACTACTCCGCAGACGAACCCCCGGCCTACAGTGCATATGGCGATTCCGCATCTCTGCTGGAAAATGAGTCGCCGCCCCGTCATGGTGGACCAACGATGAGATTGTTGCCTACGTCGGGAACGGGCGTGGATGAGGAACTCGATGACGAGGATTTGCAGGATCATACTTCATCGTATCAGTATGAGTCCGAGTATCCCTCGTCAGAGTATCAGTATCCGGATGAGGATGGGATGTCACGGTTCGTAACCTACCCCGTGTGAACTAGTGGTCATGGCTAATTTGCTTTTAATTGTGTCGGTCAGTCGTCAATATTCCCGCGGTTATTACCAATACGATGGCTACGATGATTCCCCCTCCCGACCACCTTCGAGTCTACACCACATTCCCTCAATTCCTCCCCCAACAGCTTCTCAAGCCGATGGTCCAGACTATTTATCTCGTCCAGGATCGCCGCTGCGCCCCTGGAGCCCCGCTCGCTCAGACTGGACCAGAGCACCCAGACCCCCATCCGTTTCTAGCTCGCAGTATGAACGGGCCGATCTCAATGGTAGTCCACGGCCAGGAACGCCTAGCACTCGCTATGGGGGTAGTCCGAGACGTCCATTACCACCAGCGCCCCTGTTCGCAGCACCGACCTCGTCTGCTACCGGGCAGGATACGAGTATTGATATTGGTGATGGTCATGAGGATGATCCCTTCGGTGCAGGTGGTAGGATGGTAGATCCGTTTGATCAGCGTGCCAGTTTTATGAGTGAAGAGACAATCATCACGGATGAGAAAGACGCAATGACCAAGATTGATCTCGACGATGATGAATATGTTGACGAGGATGATGAGTCCGTCGACCCGAACATGCATTATGGTCCGGCACCTGTGAAGCAGGGCCGTCGTGGTGTTCGGGACACCCTGATGACGAAAAAGGAAGTGCAGCTGATCAACGGTGAACTTATTCTGGAGTGCAAAATCCCGACTATCCTGCATAGTTTTCTGCCGAGACGCGATGATCGGGAGTTTACGCACATGCGGTATACGGCTGTTACCTGTGACCCAGACGATTTCACACAGAAAGGCTACAAGCTTCGCCAACAGGTCGGCAATACAATGCGCGAGACAGAACTCTTCATCTGTGTGACCATGTATAACGAAGACGAGATCGGTTTCACCCGGACCATGCACGGTATCATGCGTAACATCAGCCATCTCTGCTCGCGGACGAAGTCCCGGACCTGGGGCAAGGACGGATGGAAGAAGATTGTGGTATGCATTGTGGCAGATGGTCGCAAGAAGGTTCATCCTCGCACGCTAAATGCCCTAGCCGCACTTGGTGTGTATCAGGAGGGGATTGCCAAGAACGTTGTCAACCAGAAGCAGGTCACGGCGCACATGTATGAGTATACCACGCAGGTGTCATTGGATCCGGACTTGAAGTTCAAAGGTGCTGAGAAGGGAATTATGCCGTGCCAGATCTTGTTCTGTTTGAAGGAACATAACCTGAAGAAGCTTAACTCGCACCGTTGGTTCTTCAATGCGTTTGGTCGTGCCTTGCAGCCTAACATTTGCATCTTGCTTGATGTCGGAACCAAACCTGCTCCTACCGCATTGTACCATCTCTGGAAAGCCTTCGACCAAGACTCCAACGTCGCCGGTGCAGCTGGAGAAATTAAAGCTGGAAAGGGCAAGAATATGTCCGGTCTTCTGAACCCCCTCGTCGCAAGTCAGAACTTCGAATATAAAATGTCCAACATCCTCGATAAACCACTGGAATCGGTCTTCGGGTACATTACCGTGTTACCCGGTGCGCTGAGTGCGTATCGGTTCTTCGCGCTGCAGAACGATGCCGATGGCAATGGGCCGTTGAACCAGTATTTCAAGGGAGAGACGCTTGTGGGGCAGGATGCGGATGTGTTCACGGCAAATATGTATCTTGCTGAAGATCGTATTCTGTGCTGGGAATTGGTTGCTAAAAAGGAAGAAAGATGGGTATTGAGGTTTGTTAAGAGTGCGGTTGGCGAGACTGATGTTCCTGGTACGCCCCTTTCCCCCATTCTGACCAGTAAGCTACAGGGTGCTAACTTGTCTAGATACTGTTCCTGAGTTCATTTCGCAACGTCGTCGTTGGCTGAACGGTGCTTTCTTCGCGGCTGTGTATTCCATCGTCAATGGTAAACAGATTTGGAAGACGGATCATACGTTTGCACGGAAGATTCTGCTTCAGATTGAGTCCATCTATCAGATCTTGAACCTTCTCTTTACGTATTTTGGATTGGTATGTCCTCCCCTTTCAGTTTGATGTTGATATGCTAACGGGACAGGCAAACTTCTACTTGGCATTCTACTTTATCGCTGGCTCCCTTTGCGACAAGAAGATCGATCCCTTCGGTCACAACGTGGGCAAATATATCTTCATCGTGTTGCGATATGCGTGTATCCTGGTTATGTGCTTGCAATTCATCATTTCAATGGGTAATCGACCTCAAGGGTAAGCTTCAACCCTCATTCCGCATATAAGCGACATTCTAACGAAGCGAGCAGCGCCAAAAAACTCTATCTCTCAGGAATAATCGTCTACAGCATAATCATGATTTACACAGCCTTCTGCACCCTCTACCTCGTCGTCCTCGAACTCATCGCCGCAACAGGCGGCGATGTCGACCTCCCCGTCTCCGACGGCCTAATGGTCAACATCGTCGTCTCGCTGCTCTCCACCGTCGGTCTCTACTTCTTCACCTCCTTCCTCTACCTCGATCCCTGGCACATGTTCACCTCGTCCGCGCAGTACTTCGCCCTCCTCCCGTCGTACATTTGTACCCTACAAGTTTACGCCTTTTGCAACACACACGACGTAACTTGGGGAACAAAGGGAGACAACGCCCTAAACACTGACCTCGGTGCGGCACGGATAGTCAACGGTTCCGTCGTCGAACTCGAAATGCCCTCCGAACAACTCGATATCGACTCCGGGTATGATGCCGCGCTGCGCAACCTCCGTGACAGACTGGAAGTCCCCGAACCGCCCCCCTCCGAGTCCCAAATGCAAGAAGATTACTACCGTGCTGTCCGTACATACATGGTTTCCATTTGGATGGTTGCTAATGTCGTTCTCGGCATGGCGGTGTCTGAAATCTACGGTGTCCAATCGAGTGGTACGAACGTTTATCTCGCTATTATCTTGTGGTCCGTGGCTGTGCTGGCATTCATTCGTGCCGTTGGCTCAACTACATACGCTATCCTATTCGTCGTCCAGAAGATTGTCGAGGGCAAGACCAAGTTCGATGCGGGGAATATTGCGAATGCCAACGCCGCCGCGAGCGTTAATGCAAGCGCTGTCGGAAGCAGTACCAGTACCGCGTTACGGTATGGAGGCGGAACTAATGTTAAAGAAAAGTTTACGGAGGCCTGGTGGGCTACTAAGAGGGGGGCTGGGAAAATGAAGTTTTGGAGGAAGTAGTTTGTTTTATTTGATTGGGAGGGGTTTATTTTGTGTTTTTCTCATTGGTTTTTGATATCTCTTATGTTTTGTTTGTATGATGTATGATCGTTGTTTATGATAAGGGTTTGGGCTGGGTTTGCTTTCGGGATATGTAATTATGGCTTAACGATTGTTTATTTAATGGTTGTATAAATGATTTACATGCACGTCGTGATTTGGTTAATCTTGTGACGGTTAGCGGGACGGCAGAAACGGCTCTCATTGAACCGCGCTTCTGCCGCTTCAACGCATCCATTGCATCTATAAAAGCTCGACATCTCTCCCTCAAAGGACCACGCACTTTCCCTTCCCCTTTCCCTTCTCCTGTTTGCATCGCCCGGTGCACTGCCCTCTTACCAAGATGCTGTGTTACCTGATGATTTCCCCTTTTCCAGTATGGTGCTGTCTACTCTCCTCAGGGTGGCCGATGGGTCATCTGGACAATTGAGACATTGAGACCTTGTTACTGTCACTTCATTGGAAATTGAGCTACCCACTTCACCCTTGATGCTGTGCTGCTGCTTATCATTGCAGTTATGGGCCTCTTCACGCGTCCGCCAGCTGATCAGTGACCCTTTGAGTTGCCTCCAGGCATGCTATCCTATTTGGGCTTTCCCTTGAGGACTTCTGGATCCTTGGCTGCCTTTCTTGTGGTCTCTCATCTCAAGATTTCATAATTGCTTCTTCACCAGGCTCCCAAGATTCTACATGGGAAAAGTAACATTCTGGTTATCAGGCTACCAAGTCTGGCTATGAACCGGGTTGCGCCTGTCCCCTTCCACAGCTGTCGTTCAACCCCACCAGGATCAATTCATTTACGTATCCTCACCATGTTTACCAGCCAACAGCGAAATCACTGCATTCTTTTTATTTCAGCGTATTTGACATGCGAGGCCTGGAGCTGCAACAACCAAATGCAATTGGCACCAAATCTCAGCCTCCAGGCGTCACTAGTAGATGAAAATAGACACATCAGCAGTCTTAAATGATATTTCCAGGACAAGAGAAATTTGCCTCATTGCTTCTGCCGATGAGAAAGGTGGAATGGTGGACTTGACAAGCCGAGGGTAAGTATAAAGGGGATGATTGAGGCCACAGAGGTTGCAACATCTTAACCTAATTTCTCCCATAACCCGCACTCTCCCCTTCTGCTTCCACTTCCCTCCTATTCCCTCTTTGCAAGTCACCTGTCTGTTATAATATACCCCTAAACGTCCCCAATTCCTAAAATATGCCCCCTACCTTTCACATGAACAACTTCAAGCCGTGGGCTCACCCTTTGGAAAGCCATTCTCACCATGCAAATCACCCAATACATGTACCCCAAGAACCCGAAAAATCCCCTTGCCCCAAGCCTGTCACAGGCTGCGCCTGTAGAATAAATAATATGTTATTCAGAGGGATGGTCAGACTGGCTACCTACCCCGCATAACGTACTTTTGTATATAGAAGCTGTCCGATCGGACATCCGTCCTTCTCTTCTTCAATGAAATCTCTTGTATGGTAGCTAGTTATTAGCGCTGCGGGCTTAACCCCTAACAAAGCCTCATCATGATTCCCTTCCAAACACTTTGCCACTTCTCGCAGTTGGTAAGGCTATTTCGGTAGCTGCACATGGGGTGCGATTGTATAAATGTTGTTGACGGATGCAATTCAGACAAAAAGGGGGGGGGGTGAAGATGAGATTTCGAGCCTGGTTTTATTCAATACTGATAGAATGTGTTGGTTAATCTATGACCTCCTTTTTGTAAAGGGTTAGACCCTACTAAGTACCTCGAGACGTTTCGACGTCTCGGATTGAAGCTATTCAGAAAGTGGGCCCATGGACGTGTCGGAGATGCGGCTTAGTCAGGGTTGAAAGTACGTATTAAGCGTATATGGTGGTCGAGGTCTCTGATTCTTGCAAAAGTGTGCTAACTAGGATCCTATATAAGACCGTAACTACCTTATAGAGTATACTGAGCGATTGTGCGGTTTCAAAAGCAGTAATAGCAGAGTAAATACGCTGCTTGCGCCATATGATATCAGCGAGGCATCAATCAGGCATGAGTTGGTATTGTTTGGTAAGGAACCTCTATATCCCGACAGGACGAACGAGACCACGTGACAATCTGGCCGTCTTCTCAGATAGCCGCCGCTCCGTACACATTTCTTCTTCAACGAGTTCTTTTGTACGCTATATCTAGTTATAGGTAGCTAGGCTACGGCTCTTGACACTTTTAGCTTGCACCTTTTGATAGTCTGGGCTCTTTTGGCAATTTAAAGCCCTAGACAGTGAGGAAATGGGTCAAGCAAAGCACTGAAGTTTTCAGGTAAATAACAGCCAAAGAGGGCCGGGGGAACCCCTCAAACATACACCATAGTTACATGTACCCGCCGCTGGGACGGCTTATGACATAATCAATCAATCAACCAACACACTAATGTCACATGCTCACATTCCTTGGCGGCAACAGCGCGGTGGTAATAGATTCCATAGGTCTTACCATCTCTAGACTCTATTGATCATCTCATCTCACTACATCCTATTCCCTGCGAATTATTTCCCAACTTGACTTGAAATAGTTTCAGATGGAAAACTGACACGTATCGCCTGCCTGTGTGAACAAGGCCGTCAGCAACCTCTCTTTTTACAGTATTGTTTGTCAGGCAGGTGCATTTCTAATTCTTATTAGGCAGGTGCACTCCTTGTTCTCATCAGGCAGGTGCACATCTAGTTCTTATCTTTTCAATGGCCGCCGCCATAACCAGCTAGGTGTTCAGCCCAATCCGATCCTTGACAATGTCTCGACCGCGTACTCGCAAATTATGGTGTGCTGTCCCTGGCAACCTTATGCAGCCATTCTCTATAGAGTGTGTTGCAGACCAAGACGATATTGAAACACTCATGAAGAAGATATGGGAAGAGATAAAAGAAAGAATCAAGGATACTGCACCTCACTACAGCAATCTCACTCTCTACAGCCCTGTGGTGCAACTCAATCATGAAGAGGAGTTTAGGATTGATAATGGTGAATTCCTACATCCACGCCGAATGATTACATCACTCTTCCCCGAAAGCAAGGATTCAGATGTGGATATCGTTGTTGTTGTGAGCGGGGATACCACTACACGGAAACAGAAGCGCTCTGAACCACAAAGTGGTGAGACTCATTCTTAATGATCTTCTCATGCTTATAGTTAACAATTACACATATAAGCGAATATACATTGGACAAATCCCATCACAGAGAATCTATTGATATGCCCTCGAGAGCGTACAGTATCAAAACTTGCGATCATTCTGGATGAAGTGAACATAGTCCATGTGCGTGGAACACCAGCCAGTGGCAAAACATGTCTCCCGGAACTTTTGAGAGACCACTATCTTAAAGAAGGAAGAAAGGTTTCTTTGATCAAGAAATGGGAAACACTTCATTACAAGAATCCTTGGAGCAGTCTTATCGAGCTTGTTGAAAAATGGAATGAGGGACTGGAAGGTGCCCCCATCACTAATTCCACCATGACTTCATTGCAACCAGAACAAGATTTCTCTTGGGTTTTGACATCGAACACTGTGGTTCTTGTGGATGAGGCACAGGTGGCCTACAATGATACTGCACTCTGGAACACAATCACCAAAGAAAAACGAAGTCTTACCTGTTTATATAATTTTCGACTATGTCTTTTCTGCTCTTATGGCAGCCCGAGAACAGGCCCAGATCAAACATTCTTCACTCCAGTTACCCTTTTTGATGGACAACGTATCTCATTGACACCGCAAAACCAGTCACGCTCACCAAATATTGGTCTATTCTATGACAAAGAAGAGTTCAAGGATGTTGATTCACGGTTACTTACATACAAATATTCAGAAAGGTTCACTTTTGATGAAGATGCCCAAGACTACATATTTGCATTGACAAACGGCCATCCAGGAGTGGTGGAATCCATAGTCAATGTACTTTTCCAGGTACGTGCCAAATATCCCTTTTTATTTTTATTTTTTTTAGCTTCCCCATATTGGGAAATGCTGAGAAGTTTTATCTGAGCAAAGAAGTTAACAGTTTTAGGTCTATCGCCATGACATCAAGCATAGGCATAATAGGACCCTCACAGAAGATCATGTCATCTGGTTTCTGGAGGATACCGCTACAGTCTTTCAAAATCTTAGCAAAGAGTCAGTTAATCACTCTTTTCCAGTTATAGAGAGATGCACAAGTGGAATTTCAAACATATTGAACACAATTACAGAAGATGGAAATATTCTATTTGATCTCAATGATGCAGACATCAGGTTCTGTTATCAGAATGGTTGGATTCACAGGGTAGCCCTAGATGGTGAAAATATTGCAGTTCTGCCATCGCGCTTACATGAAAAGTAATTCTTCTCATATGCCCCTATTGTTTTGAACTGACCATATTAGGTACATTGAATACTCGATTGGCACAATGTCAAAACCCCTGCCTGCCAGATTCGACTCGCTACAGAAATCATGCAAAGAGATTCTCTGCAAATTCTCCATCATGAACTTGAGGCACTCAGTTGAGGGCAAAAAAATGTCAACTGCATCACAACCCAGACCTATGGAAGCCCAGTATCAAGCTGAATTCTACAGGGGGTTTGTCCATACAGCAGGGCGAGGTGGACCGATATCCACTGAATGGTCAAGAACCAAGGATGGTCGAGTGGATTTCTATATCCCAGAAAAGAAATGGGCCATTGAATTGTTGATAGATCATTTTGAAGTCAATGAACATATCTCTCGATTCAAGGACGGTGGAAAATATCATCCTTGGCTGAAGGAGAAAATGGTCAAGGATTGGATCATAATCGACTGTGCGACTTCTTTACCAACCAAAGGTGTGTTATTACTCCATGTTTAATTCAGTAGCCATAGTTTATTCCACTAACAACTTGATAAGAGTTCTCTGAACCTAAGCTATGGCATGTCGTGCTCGCCAATGATTATTCTAAATTGCAGTTATATAACCATCAGCAAGCTCTTATGATGTCTGTGCATCTACGTAATTGAGAATCAACAGGGATGATATTGCTATTACACTGCTTAATTACACATGTCTTTTATTGTGGTATCTTTGTAAGCTGCAGCCAACTTCTCGACTATCAAGCAATCAAATGAATTCACCTGATTTGCTTTGTCTTACCCCTATGATTTCTTCTCTTTTCTCTTCGGGGTTGATATTCTCGTCTTATGGCTACCTATTATAGATTGAGAATAACATTATCTCGTTTTATCTACTAGACTGAAACTGTGACAATAAGGGCACAAGTGGAAATAGAAAGCAAAAGCTGTATCGATGTCTTTCCAATCTCCTGTGGATCTCAGCTCAGCCCACACGATAGTCGGCTGTGTTCCAGGCAGCGTTGAGCAAGCTCCTTCGGCCCAGATCGATCCCAGAAGCAGACTGCAACTGCACCCCGAGCTTAATCTAGATAATTTGACCAGACAAAGACATGGCCACAATTGACCATCAGATTGATAATTCCGGCGCTTGGGCCGTGGGTTTTCGCACCGGGTATGAGTGGCTGTAGAGTATTGTACCCCTCCATAGAGCACCTAGGCTGATTGCGTGAGCGTCAAGAGTTCACACCTCCGTGGCGTGGTTGATATCAACAAACGCCGCGATCTGAGCAAACCAAGAAAATACTTAGCGTGGGCTGCGCGGCCACACATCATGTAGATAAAAGCCCCTTTTCCTGTATATAGATTTCCTCTTCTCTCTTCTTTTCCAGATTCGATATTCTCGTCGATAGTCTAGATAGGGAACATCGATTCATTATTATCTTCTACTTCGAGGCCGTGACAAGAGTATGTCACGAAAGCTTCTAGAATGTGACTATGTGACCTCTAAGCTCTAACACGAAAAAAGGAAAGCCTGGAGTATGAGATGAAGAAGGTGAGGATAACAGCAGTTTTGTAGATGAGAACAGACTCCAAAGGGACAGGGAGTACTACAAGAGATGCTCATGGGAGGAACGATGGAAGCAGGAAAGGATAGAGTCAGCACAATGGGACTTATAACTGGAGAGAACATGATAATCCAGGGGGAGCCAAAAACGGCTTCCCTCCGCAGCGACCGCAGCGAGAGCTTCTAGATATCCATTTGAAATTAGCGCCAAGGGATATGAAACCCTTGGGCTGGCGTGGAGGGAAAGCCAAGACGGGAATTGGTTAGCAGGGCTCCTAAAACGGCCGCTTGCTAACCATCATATTAGTAAATCAGTAAAGTTTATGAAAGTGTAAAACAAAAGGTGCATCTAGTCGATTAGTCTTCGTAATGATACTATCTAAGTAAAGATCCGACTTTGAATGGACATCTTTTGTAGGGAGCCCTCTGTGCTTCAAATTAAAGTATTCTCGCCCACTTCGAACCCCAGACCATGGCGTCAGCTTTGCCCCTAGTTGATTCCGACACCACCATGGATTCTTCTCTCGGAGCTTCGTTCTGAGGGTTTCAACATTTGGTGGGGTTCGTAGTTCCACTGCTTCCAGAAGAGAAATAGAGTATGTCTTAGGAGGATTGTCTATGAGAGAACTCTCTCCCTTGGCCTTCCTCTCAACCTGACGAGAGCGTATCACAAACAAAACATCACAACATAAGCCCCTGCAATCCAAAAAGTCTTCAAGAACCAAGCATGGAAGCTTCGCGTCGTCTATTGAATTCAGTAATGTATCAACGAGATACCACAGAAAAACAATCCACACGGTTGTCCTATGCACTCTCGGCGGACCACTCCTGCGGAAATCACTTAGATAAACGTCCATGTTCTCGGCAGGCGTGCGGCCCTTGCGTATGAGACGTCTCACAAAGTCAGTGCGGTAGCAGATGGCAGCGGTTAGAAGTAAGTTGGCGTCTCCTATGTTGTTGTTGTTGTTGTTGTTGTTGTTGGTATGCTGAGATTCTGCTTTTAATTTCAAGTTGCCTAACGTACTTGGAAGAAGATGATGTTCAAGGCCGTATTGTAGAAGCCAACATAGGTAGGATAGCAGACGACCAGACCGTGCGAGATTGACGAAGTAAATGGTGACCATTTTGGTGCCCCATCGGACACCCTGAGATTCTGGATGTTGGATGTAAGTATAATCGTCACGCACATTACCGAATTCTTCCAAGTATTGTGAAGGAATAGCGTATCCGGCTCTGCTGATAGCGGACATCCAATCAAAGGTAGATTCATACTGATACATCAACGTCCTTGACTCGCATAGTACCCCTGGTGATGGCACCAGATCCGCGGGTCTTGCACGCGCATGCTTGAGCTGAGTGAGTAAGAGTCTGATTGTTGCGAATTTTATGTCAAAGTCGATTGTGCGCTTTTGCATTTGTGGTTGCTGGGTGTTGAGGATGTAGTAATATGCTGTGCGGTGGATAAACCGTATTTCGAAGGCGAAGTATTTATCCTGTTGGTGTGGCTGTTGTACAACTTCTAATAGACCTCGTGATAGACGGTCTATAAGGCAGTTTACATCTTGGATGCATTCCTCGATTTCGGAATCTGAGTATGCACGCATAGATCGATTTAGAGGGAATCTTGGGTCGTCCAGGTCTTCCAGCCATCGGTAAAGCAGAGCATTCCTGAGCGGCGGGGCTTTCGGAGCAGACTGCTGGGCTAGGGCTACGACGAGGAATAATTTGTCTGATAGAACTCGGTCCTCAAGGTCCACAGAGTCTAGCATCTTGCCAAACAGCTTGTTTAGTTCCTTGGAAATTGTGTGTAGCTTTTTGGTGAGATACTCGAGGGTAACTCGATAGCCTATACCTTTTAAAAGTGAGCGCACTACTAAACGAGCCCACAGAAACACGCCCTTGAAGAGTTTCTCAATCTCATCCACCAAATATCTGTAAGCATGTTTGATTCGTTCAAAGTTAGGGTCCATTTCGAACATTGCCAAACCGAGCTTCCGAATATCGCGTTGAGTGAGCTGGTGGATTTGGATTTGAATATTCATGTCTGTTGCGAAGGAATGGAGGAAAGGAATATGTGGGCGACTGCTGATGCAGAGCTCCACGTTCTCTGAGTTTGTCCAGGATTGGAGATCGTGGCATATGTGCCAGTGGTCTACTTCGTCACCTTCGTATTCGTCGAGTCCGTCGATGAAGAGGCAGATACGGTGGCTTGATGTGACTTTCTCACTCATTAGGCAATTGAACGCGGCTTTTATTTCCTCGAAACGAAACGGGGCTTGATATGAAGGCGTAGTTCCAGATGCCAAATTGTTCCAAAATCCAGGAAAGCACCACGGTATCAATCTAGGACACTGTCTCAAGACCTCGAACAGAAGGTGTCTGTACAAGCCCTCGAAAGTCATTTGGAATTTGTCTTCCGAATCCCAGAAATAAAACTGTGCGAAGATCAGTTGCTTATCTCCGGTCCAGCATTGCAGCTCTTGTTGAACTCGCGAGGATTGGCCCAGGAATTCCATCAATGTTGATTTGCCGGCGCCAGCTTTTCCAGAGATGTGAAAGACATGACTGCCTGAGTTGAGCCATGTCATAAATGCTTGTCTAGTTCTTTGTCGCACGGTCTCTTCATCGTCTTCTAATATGTCTTTTTGCTGGCTCCCCGTTTTATTATCATTTTCATCGACCATCCATGCAAAGGTTCCAATCGTCACATCGCTTATACTATCTTCCCGTTGATACATGAGCGAAAACATTAGACGCTGAAGGATGTGGTTTTCACTATAGATAGAAGTTGTGACATTTTGAAGCTTTACCAACAAGATGCCAATTTTGCCCAAGGATCCATTAGACAAGCTCGGTGAGTTGTCAAGATTCTCCGTGGAGCTTGATACAGGCCTCGATTGCAATTGAAACGCTTTTATTGTCGTTGTTATCTCGTCTCGAATAACGTGAAGCTGATTTGCCGTCTCGTTCTGTAGCTGCCTTGCTTCGCCTTCGACTTTGTCAAGCTTTGCCCTTACCGCAGAATGCTGCTGGTTGCTTTCTGCGCTGTTGCTGCTTGTTAACATGAGGTAACGAAAAAGATAACCGGGTGACATACCTAATCATGAGATGCAGACGAATCAAGATCTGCGACTGAAATTCGCTCAACCTCCGCTCTATGGCCTCAATATTACTTTCTTTCCGTATACTCCGCCATTTCACCCTCATACCCTGCCACCTTGACCTCCTGCCGGCCACCTTCAGCAGGCCGAGAATCTCAGCGAGCTCCATAGATAGCTCACGACAAGCAGAAGCCAAGTAGCAAAGTTCCTCTTCGTTCCCGGTTCGATCAGGGCCAGGTAAGTCAACCAGTAGGCCTTTTGTTACGGCATTCAGGTCATCCAGGAGTACGCTCAGTGTCATATTATCGGGGGTCATTCCACTGGCTGAATTGAATATCTGGTAGCCGCCATAAACTATTTTGCAGGCAAATCAAATGAAATTGATAATGTTGTCAGCTAGACCGATGGCTGTGAAGGGGTCCATGATGCAGGTTGGGTGATTTTGAACCATTCCATTATTATGACTCGAGGAAGGTATATGAAGATTGTAAAAAGCGAGCACGGGAAAAGAGGGGATAAAAAGGTGGTCACAGCCTCGTAGGATATACCATGGCCTCCTAGTGGTCAGTGGAATTAAGCGCTTATGCAGATAGACATGAAAGGCATGGATTGGCACCAATAACACAGAAGGCTGTCCAGGTAGCTCCGTTTCTGAAACAACTGTGTATTAAAGATAGGCCGCAATGCCCTGTCCTTGGATGCCTTTTTTATGCTCATCATATCCTAGTCTATGCATGGGTTTCATAGTCTGTGTCTGACCCAGCACTAACAGGCAAGGCCGAGATCGTATTGGAAATGAATATTTGGTAGGGGCTATTTTGTAAAAATCTGGCTTTTAAACAAATATCACGTAGCATGTTAATAACCGCAGGCGCTTTTAGTCATGCTTGACTTCGAGAGCTGCGAGCCTTCGCACGAGTACGGTCCCAACGCAGGAAGGGGAGGGAAGTTGTCTAGCTCCAGTGCTGAACTTACAATGAGGAAAAAAAAAAAAAAAAAAAAGAGTGTAGGTAACTAAGCATTGGATTGGAGTTAAACAGAGGGCGTCTAACCCAATAGCTGTTCAGACTGAAGGGAGTGGATTAGGTGGGAGATGTCCGAATGGTTGAGCCGTGTTGATACTTAAAGTCTCGTGACACGACACCATGTGGCCACTCGAACCTCGAACTGAATCCTACTACAAGTTCATCATCAGCAACCATGGCCTGGAAGCTACTCCCACGCCTCCAGATACCATATACCTTCCCTCAATGTCAAAGCTATATAAGACCCCCATCTTCCTTTTCAATCCGGCATCCTGTGTATACTACCTTTCGTCCTAAAACTCATATTTCAAGCAAGCAACCAAAGACTATCAGTACTGCGAGGGCAATCAAAGAAGAGATACTTCATGGCTATATAGCAGAGCGCTACTATCCAGTCTATGTCGGTCAGATCTTCAATTCGCGGTATCAGATTATAACCAAACTTGGATTTGGAGCTACCTCGACGATTTGGTTATGTCTTGATTTACAGTCAGTCACACAAATTCAACAACAGAGAACGCTGACAGCTGACAACTGCAATCAGAGAAAACCGCTACCTAACCCTAAAGCTCCACGTCCGAGCAAATCAGCCAATCCGCGAATTGCAAATCACACAGCACCTACAAAGAATCCAGCAAAGACACGGCGGTGAGAAGTATACACGCGTTGCGCTGGACTCGTTTCAACTGGAGGGACCGCATGGAGTACACCATTGTCTTGTCTATGAACCTGCGGGGATGGATATGAATCAGTTGCTGGATGTCTTTGAAGGAGCCCTACCGATGGCCGTTCACAAGACTGCTATCTGGAGTGTTCTTGTTGCGTTGGATTATCTGCATAACGCTGGTGTTGTTCATACAGGTCAGTTTCATACTGTCATCTATTGCTGGACTTCTCTAATCTCCTCCAGACGTCCAGTCAAACAACATCCTCCTAGGCCTCGACAACGACAACGAATCCATCCTCGACGACCTAGCAACTACCGAAACCACCGACCCAACATCCCGAAAATACCTCAACAACCGCACAATCTACACCTCCCGCACCACGCCCATTACAACCGGCGAGCCCGTCCTCTGTGATCTCGGCGAAGCACGACTTCTCCAAAGCAACCAGAAACAGAACGGCCTCATCATGCCAGCTGCTTACAGGGCACCGGAGGTATTGTTAGATATGGACTGGGATGAAAAAGTTGATATATGGGCGGTGGGGCAGACGGTATGTTACTCGTCAAGTTTTTGAGAGGGTCTTTTAGGGCATGGTGATTATCTTATTTATGGATATACAGGCGTGGAGTTTGTTCGAGAAAGGACATCTATTCCTAAATAGACCTCTCGAAACGGATCTCGATCACGCTCATCGCTTCGCAGAGATGATATCCCTTCTAGGGCCTCCGCCACTCGAGTTCCTTCGTCGGAGTGAGGAGAGTCTCAAGTATTGGGATGAGAACGGTAAGTCGACTAACCTTATAGCCTTTTTGTTTGCTAACTACATGCGACAGGAAACTGGCGAGGCGCTGTCCCGGTACCCGAAGGATCACTTGAAGATCGGGAGTGCCAGCTCGATGGTCATGAGAAGGTTGCTTTTCTGAGCTTTATACGGAGGGCTTTGTGTTGGGTGCCTGAGGTAAGGGCTAGTGCTTGGGAGCTTCTGTGTGATGAGTGGGTGAGGTGGCGATAGGGTAAGAATAGTATATGGATAAAGACTTGTACAGTATAGATCCTGTATATAATAGGGGCTACTTTTGTGTATAACTATCTTTGACTTGTGGTCAACGGATCATGTTACAGAGAAAAGATGATGCTTCAGATGATGAATATGGATACTTATGTTTCGTTGTATCCAAGTATTATGGGTATCCATTTGGAATAACACGCACACACACAAACACATATACACATATACAGGAAACTAAGGTAACCTCCACACACTAAAATCCCTCATACATGCAACACACAAATACGGCTTTTGAGGTGTTATATGCAGATGGGAACGGAAAACCGGAAGATCAAACCACACATACAAGGTCTACTTTCCTAGCATAACACCCGCTCCTCTCAACATGACAATGGTATGCCCCTGTTTGACCTTTCCTCCGCCGACAGTCTCCGAAAATTCGAGGAAATCTCCCGATTCGACGTGGAAGATGCGCAACCGCCCCTCTTCACCAACGCGATTATTGTCGTTCTTGACATGTAACCGCTTTGCGGCGTCGTCCAGTACCCGTCCAACCTTCCACCTAGTGTCGAAATAGAGATCGGCAGCAGGTGGCTCGTTCTTTTCCGTATCACAGGTCCCCACAACGTGTAGATATAAACGTCTCTCTGTGGGGACGCCAGCGTCCCCCTTCGCGGTGCGTTTCATTGTATTCAGCGCTGCAGGGCCACTCGGTCTCGATTTTGTTGTCGTTGTCGTTGTCGTAGCCGCCTGACTTTTCTCCTTGCTCCAAGTTCTCACTCGCGAAAACATAGACCGTAACGTCTCGTTCGCAGAGGCTCCAGCTCCAGCCGGCCGGGCACCCAACGGCGTCATCTTCGCACAGTCATGCTCTTCCTTCAACCTGTGCTTCAAACAATACTGCCTATTACAGTTGGGACACTGCACGCCAGGGTCCTTCAATGTATTAATAAGCGTCTTGCACGACAAGTGCGCGCATTGGTCCGAATTGTAGATATTCGGTTTCTCGATCGGTGTGCTGCTCTCTACTTTGTCGGTGCCTGCCCTCCGTCGTGCCCATTCTCCTGCTCGGGGGCATTTGTGTGCTGTTTCACTGCGATGATCTAGGCAAAATGTGCCCTCACAGGAGCCGCAGCGGAAGGGGAGGAAGTCGAGTTGGCCGCAGAATTCGAACTGGCAGTGACGGCCGATGGTTTCGAGGTCTTTGTCGGCTAGTTGATTGGTATATTCGGTATTCGACTTGGCGGCTCCTTTGGAGATGGAGATGGGCGCCATGGTGGATGATGTGTCGGGTTAAAGAGATATATAAGATAGGAAAGAGAGAAAGATTATAGTGAATGCGAAAGCGAACGTAAAAGCAAAAGTGGTGGTAGAGACGGCAGCACAGAGGATACCTGTGCTGCTAGTTGGAGAAAGAAGAGAAAGAGAGGAAGGAGAGGAGAAAGGGATATAAATAGGAAGGAATCTGGCTGTCTATAAGCTATGCGATGCCTATAATGGTAGATGTAATGATATGAAATGAAAGAAAGTAGGAGACAACGTTCCTGCCTGCAGATGAATGAATTGGAGATGAATGCCTGGAAATGGCCGGAAGGCGCTGGCGTCTGCGGAGACATGACTCAGCACAGTGGCGCAGATATGGAGAACGTTCCAGATGTGGCGGTGTGATCTTCTGATCTGGAGATAAGATACTAACTCCGAATAGTCTTGGAGATGGAGCACAAAATAGCGTCTCTTATTATATATGGCGTATAGATCATGTACATTCTTCACATCCTTGGTATCATCTTCACAAAAAGGAGTGTAATTTAGACACTCATCTTCATCTTGATCGCCTTGTGAGGCTGGTAACCGATCACTTCGAACTCATCATCCTTCCAGCCATCAACGACACCACTTCCCCGATCATCACGCTTGATCTTCAATTCCGGAAACTCGTTAGGCTCGCGAGCAAGCTGTTCATTCAGAGCATCGATGTGGTCAAGATAGACATGAGCATCACCCATAGTATGAATCAACGTTCCCGGGTTCAAGTCAGTCGCGTGCGCCAGGATATGCGTTAGAAGCGCGTAGGAAGCAATGTTGAACGGCACTCCCAAACCCATATCGCACGACCGCTGGTATAGCTGACAAGACAAAGTTCCCTTCTTATTGTCTTCACCCTCGGCGGACTGGGGATAAGAAACGTAGAATTGAGCAAACATATGGCACGGAGGCAAGGCCATCTTCTTCAAATCCGCCGGGTTCCAAGCACTCATAATAATACGCCGATCAAACGGAGTCTCCTTCAACTTGCGCACCACATCTGCCAGCTGGTCGTACCCCTGGCCAGTGTAATCAGTCTTCGCATCAACATATTCCGCCCCGAAATGTCTCCACTGGAACCCATAGACAGGCCCCAAGTCGCCAGCCTCCCGGTGTCCAAGTCCAACCTTATCTAGGAACTCCCGACTGCCATTCCCATCCCAGATCTTGACCCCGGCTTCAGAGAGCGGGATCGACGACGTGTTTCCGGAGATAAACCAAAGCAGTTCTGCCAGGACAGCGCGCAGGAAAACGCGCTTGGTCGTGAGGAGAGGCAAGACAGGGATCGGGTCGGAGGAGGGGCTAGGGCCTGGTTTGCAGAGTGAGAAGCGTAGCTGCGGGGGTGCAAAGATGGATCGCGTTCCTGTGCCGGTACGATCGGGACGGTGCTCGCCCTCGACGAGGATGGTGCGGATAAGGTTTAGGTACTGGTGTTCTTCGTGGGAGGTGTTATGCGGCGGGGACGAGGAAGTCTGCGCTTTGTGCTCTGGAGTGAAGGTCATAATGTTGGTAGCCGTATTTATATTTTGTGAAAGCGAAATGATTCTGTACAATCTCAAGTCGGTATTATTAGGACAGGAGTGGTTTGATGGTCTGCGAGGGGAACTCGGAGCCAATTTTTCCAAACGCGGGGACGCGACGCGCCGCGAAGTCACATGACTTATAAGCCTGTTTATATTACCCATTGCAATATTGGTAATTCTGACATCAGACGCCTCTATTTGTGTAGTTATTTTGGAGTTGAATGCATTGAAAGATACCGAGCGTTCAAGAAGAAGGAATGCACATCAATTATTCCGGCATTTTCATATCTCAGATCTTCAGATGTACCGCTATATGCTAGCAAAAGGCTATCTAAATGCACGCTCAACTGGTAAATAATCAAAACGTATTTTTGCTTTGCTTGTAAGGAAAGTGCAAAATGAGGTGACTTCTATGAAAAAGAATATGCTTAACCCGCGATCAAGTCAACACCAACTCTCCGGAGCGCTCCAACGACCCAGTCCGGGTAATTTGATTTATCCCCGTAGAGCTTGCTAAAGAACTCGCGCAAGAAAGCAGGGAATCTATCTTCAATGATAGCTTGTCGGACTGACCCCATAAGGGCGAGGAGGTAATGGACATTATGGAGGGTAAGGCTGGTAACTCATGAGCAATGATTATTCAAGACTTGAATGAAAAATATAGTACACTTACAGATGAGCACCGACAGTCTCCTTCGAAGCCAGATGATGAATATATGCTTTGGTAATTCCTAGCCCGCCCTTATATCGAGGCGTGCAGCAAGCACAATTACACCCTTCCACAACTGGGCCAAAGTCGTCTGCAAAGGAATGATGCCGAAGGTCAAGAGTACCATTTGGAGTAATAGCGTTTCCAAATCGCTATGACCACATCAGTAAAATTATTTATCGGCCAAAAGCACCACAACTTACCGCCGTTCTCGTCGGCCAGACACAATCGAACATATCCGCGCCGAGTGCGGTTGCGACGATCAGATCTTCAGGATAGCCCTAAGCATTTTAGTGTGTACCTAAGAAACGCTGGCAGCATCAAACTTACAATGCCCATCACGTATCGTGGTTTTCCCTCTGGAAGTAACCCGGTACAGGTATCTACCCTATGTGACAGATGTTAGTATGACCGGTAGTGAAATCACAACCAAAACAAAAACAGACATACACTTTACAAAAATCCTCTTTGGCTTCACCACCAGAAAGTCCTCCAATGGCTATTCCCGGTGTATCTCGTGCAACCATCTCAGCGCAGCACTTCTTCCGCAGATCCAGATCTAAGCCGCCCTGGATGATACAGAACAGATTCTGTCTCTCGGGATATTTGTGTGCTGCTATGCATCGGTCTAACCATCGGACGGACCGCTCCATGGCTTCCTCGATCCTCGCATGATCTGGTGATGTAGTTGCAATCACATCATCTAGCTGCATGATGATATCTGATCCAATTGAATTTTGAAGAGAAATCGAATGTTCGGGGGTAAGGAGCCTGGGGCGTTCTTTGTCAGATTGTTTCAACCATTTCACTTAGAAGACATACATAGGCGAGCCATCATGAGGGCTGAGGAACCGAACACCCTCTTCGGTAACATTTGCAAGTTTCAGTAGAGAGACCATTTGGAAACTAGATCAGATACGTTACCCCCCGCAGAAACTTTCATTTACATGGTAAACTCACCCGCCACTATCAGTTAGGATGTTCCGATCCCATCCTTGCAACTTATGTGCGCCGCCCACTTGATCTAGGACAGCCTGTCCCGGTTTAAGACCCAAATGGTACGTGTTATTCAAACACAACATGCACCCTGTCTGCTTGAGTTGGTCATAGGTCAGACCTTTGAGTGAACCCTGTGTCGCAACAGGCATAAATATCGGCAATGAGACAGCTCCATGGTGTAGACGGAGTGTGCTTGCCCGAGCTTTGGTTGTCTATGGACGATGTTAAAATGACACACTGGCTGCTGAGGATATAGATACTTACAGAGCATTTGGCATGAATGTCAAATTCCAATGCAGAAGGCATTGATGTATGCTCCATAACAGTTGCCGACATGACTATGCTTCGAGCCCCGCGCAGGGCTGCACTTTTATACTTGGGAGATCCTGTTGTAATGGGATACTTGTAAGGTGTGCGTATCCGCCAAATGGAAGAGAATTTCATCAACAACAAGAGATGCTAAATCTTGGCAAGTTTATGTGCATGTCTAGAAAAAAAAAAGAAAACCAAAGGTGGTGGCATCTCAGCGATACCTTATCGATAAGTGTTTGCAGTGTTTGAGTCATGGACTCGTATAAATTACAATACATTACTAGTAGGGGAGGGACAGTGAAGGGACAACTTGGGGGAGGAAGACAAAAGGATAAAGGTGCACATTTATCCCCGTAGCATCCCATGATGGCGCGCGCTCGAATGGCGAAGGTACACCTTGCCCACTTCAGTGGCCACACCCTAGTTCGAACTCGACTGGTCGTGCACCAAGCAGACGAAAGCTCCAGTTTGGCCACTCGACTATCACGGTCCTACGTTACTAAATATGCTCATTCTTACCCCTGTAGATTTATCAAGCCTTGGTAAGATCAAATAAAAGAGAAAGAGAAAGAGAAAGAAGGAAAGGTACGGCAAAACAGCGCTTGTATCTGAAGTATACATACTCTGCCCCACAATGATAGACTCCGCTACAATTGCTGATGAAAGTCGAGGTGGATCAATAGTTTGTCCGATTACCAAGGCCGACAGATCCCTCATATACGGACACACACACTCGTTTAGATAGCCAAGCACTCATTCTACCATCTACAGTGTCTATAGATATCATTGTCACCCTCCGTATAATCTAAGTTTCTTCTTCATATATAGCCTCGTGCAGTCCGGATAATCGACTC